AGAGCATAGATTGTATTCTAAGTAAAGTGCGCGGCACGAGCACATGCCTAGAATGAGGTCTATGCCTGATCCGAATAAGTGACATGCACTGCTCCTTTCTTCCTCGCTATCACTGCCTGTCATCATTTTCTGGTCCTTGTGGCTAAAATTCTTTGCTGCACAACTACCAGTCTGCTCAATCAAAAGACCCCACCCACCACAACCCTCTAAGTTGAGCAGCTTCGACCACATTCTGTTCACCTGTGGTCTCTTGGGACATCAGATGGCCAAGAACACAAATGGCCTTTGGCTAGCCATTCCTAGCTTAAGCGATCTCCAATTTACTGGAACTACTACCATACCTATGGCAACAGTTTAGCTCCCATCACAAGCAATTATTGATCCCCGTCAACCCTACTTACGTTTATAGGTTTCTGCAGCCTTATATAATTTCTTCAAGCCATATCCCTTTACTTCCTAACCTGTTTGTCGACTACATGGCATTCGCATCCCCTCCAGCGTATAGCAGCCTTCATATTAGAACGTGAATTTCCTACTACTCCACTGAACAGTAATGGTTCCTCTACTATCATCACACTGGTGGGGCACCTAGTCATTAACACAAACTGTACATCCCCCCACCAGCCCAGATACCTGGTTCATTGATCATTGGCTTAGTGCGGCAGGTCATAGCAACACCCTAGGGGTAGGGGACAATGTTGTAGTCTACAGAGCTGTCCCCACCGATCAGCCTAACGATGGGACACTACCTGCCTTCTCAGGTATCTTGACTCATGTCACTGCCTGCAGTTCATCCATAGTGGCGTTCGCCCTTCGTGATGCCCACATGGGTGGTGCGCACCCCCGGACCATTCACGTTCCTTTTGCCCTTGCTCGCCTCTCCTTTACCCAAAAACTGCAAAAGACATTCTTTCTTTTCCCCCACTGTTTCCATGAACATTCTCGGCTGTCGTTCACATTGATGCCGAAGCACAACCTACCATCAATCGCAGAGCATGCACGAGTGCCTCGGGATAGTGACGATTTGCCCTGTTGGGATCAGGCGCCTCCTGGGGGTAATTTTCCTGATCCTTTATTTCATTCACTGGACATTAACAACTGTTGCTTAAAAGTCGCTGGACCTCTACCCTACTTGCCTTGGCTTGATACAGACCATTTGTGACCTTCTGATGCTGCTCGGCCCACCTGCCCACACAGCTCATACTTGCACTTTTCTTCTAGGTCCTTATCGTCCATTTCAGCCGAAAACCCTTTGCCGGGTTTTTACCCAAATAGTTCTGTTGCCCGTTACAATTGTGGTTCTACTATAGCGAGTTTTAGTTTGTCTCTTGATGACAATTAATTGCCGGTTTGATTTGCAACCTCACTTTGAGTCCAAGAGCATAGAGCAGTCATGCTGATACATACTTGTCAATGGCGATGGTGATTCTCTGAGCTCTCAATGCTTTGGGGTTAACAGCCATAATAGCTGCAGTATGCTCAACCCGTCTTCCTCATTTCACTAGGACTCTATCACCATGCTCAATGTCACCATTATCAATGACCTCTGTTGTATGCAATAAACAGATCCGGAATGATCAATCGCACAAGCTAGCTCGAAGGGTACAATGACCTCATCATCGCAAGGAAAGGAACGCTCTTAGTGTGCGGGCAACTGTGGATGCTTAGAAATAAAATGCCCATCACTGATTGTGCCGCCAACACTTTGTGATTTGCTTGGACGATTGCCCATTTGCATGTGTGGGTGTAGCAAAGTGGTGTTGGAGTTCGCCCACCGCCCACTTCGTACGAGTGGGGTATTTAATCCGGGCATTTGAAAGCACGATCTAGAACAGAACAAGTCGTCCAATCCAGAGAAAGAGCCACCAAGCATTAAAAGCATTCAGAAAGTCTTGGTTATTATGAGTCGACAGGTCTCAACACGTTCTTTTTGCACTGTTGTCATGCTGATGACCTACAATGTGTTCATAGATATCCCACACACAATCCATGTACAAACTTCACAACGGACCTTGGCAGTCGTACACGCAGCTTGATGGAACGGAACCTGAGTTTGAGATACGGAGAGCGAGGAGGGTGGTGGTTCCGAGGGAGCAGGCATGATTGATTGTGGTGAGTGTTAAGAATCTTATATTATCGTGGTTTCGTGGTGCTTACTGTGATTGTGATGTAGGTGCCACCTAGACAGGCAGCAGGTGATTACAATTGTGTACTCATGTCTCAGGATAATGGTAGCCCGAGGAGATAACTTGCCTACCAGGGCCCCAACACAAGGAGTCGACAACTGAAGGGTTCGCTCCAGACGATGCTGGTGCTAGCGCTGGTTTTGTATGCACTATTATGTATCATTAACATTAGAGCCTGGACAGCTGCCGTTTATTTCGAGTTTATTTCTCAGTTTGTTTCTGTATGTGGCGTGGCAATGTGTGACTTGCGGTGACAATGAGTGACGCATTCGTGACATGTCCATGAGATTGGCTTGCGGCGGCGCTGGGCAGCGCTGTCATCACGATCAACTGCGACCAACAACAAGGTCCAATTCACAGCCTTCGTGCTTCGCTACTCCAAACTGTTCATTATTGGCCATCAGATACTATCTATTTTGTTCACTGTAATAAATACATGCTGAATGATTTTAGTCCATGAGAATGTACAAATTTTTTATTGAAATGGTAGAATACTTGAGCTCGCTGTTGCCTACAGCGAGCACGAAGGTTTTGACACCGTGTGGCGTGAGGTCGCGCAATGTATCCAATTTGGTTCGTAACGCTGGACGGTGGCTTGTCACATTTATTTGTGCATGTTGTGGTAAATGAAATAAACTGCGAAATAAACTGCGAAATAAACGGCAGCTGTCCAGGCTCTTAGAGATTTCTGGGCAAACCGACGGACACATGCATGGTCTATGACATGGACGCTGGGCTGTGATGAAACCAAAATTGTAAGTCATGCTTCATTGGCTAAGAGCCTGGACAGCTGCCGTTTATTTCGCAGTTTATTTCGCAGTTTATTTCATTTACCACAACATGCACAAATAAATGTGACAAGCCACCGTCCAGCGTTACGAACCAAATTGGATACATTGCGCGACCTCACGCCACACGGTGTCAAAACCTTCGTGCTCGCTGTAGGCAACAGCGAGCTCAAGTATTCTACCATTTCAATAAAAAATTTGTACATTCTCATGGACTAAAATCATTCAGCATGTATTTATTACAGTGAACAAAATAGATAGTATCTGATGGCCAATAATGAACAGTTTGGAGTAGCGAAGCACGAAGGCTGTGAATTGGACCTTGTTGTTGGTCGCAGTTGATCGTGATGACAGCGCTGCCCAGCGCCGCCGCAAGCCAATCTCATGGACATGTCACGAATGCGTCACTCATTGTCACCGCAAGTCACACATTGCCACGCCACATACAGAAACAAACTGAGAAATAAACTCGAAATAAACGGCAGCTGTCCAGGCTCTAAGGGTAGTTGGATATCATCTCCTGCAATACTTAATGCGGTGATTATGCATGGTCACGTGATCTCACAAACAACACGTCAACAAAGGACTTGGGCGATATTCCTGCACTTCTCCATCAACCATCCTGCATTACTGTGCATGTCAGCGTGTGCACAGATTTTTCTGGCCTTTTTCGCTCCTTCTCAACACGGGTTGATGAATATTCACGTGCCGACAGCCTTCCTGTGCCTTCCTGGTATGTCTCACCTTGTTCCTTTGCTGTGCTTATACTATGTACACCCCCTTCATACCTATATGCGCCCCTTTTCTGCTGTTATACGCATTTTTTACTCATTTAGGCCTCCAGGACCTTTCTAAAGCACCTTTTGTGCCCTCCGTGGCAATCTTATTGCGCATATATGCACATACTGACTCCAGCACTCTCGCAGAACCCAACTGCACCTTCAAGCACTGCACCTACCAAACTGCAGTTACCACACCCTCCAATCGCCCACATTTGCTTACAGGCACCCTGGCATCAAGAACATGACTGAGAAGCAGGTGATTAGAGCCAGTGTTGACTTAGTTGGTGCGTTCCTCCATTTTTTCTTTCTTTATCTCTTTTGTGTCTGCGGCACACCATCTTACTCTTTTTCATTTGAATATATTCCCTAGAGTGCATACCTCCCACCTCATGTTCACATGGCGATCTCGTCTTTGATCTGCTCCCCCACAGGCATGCTCCCCTCGCCCTCTTTTACCCCTGCCTCGCTAATGCCCATGCTCTCCCAACCCTTTGTAACCCCACGGTTAACAGTTCAACTCGTGACCGACCATAACACTCGCACACCCGATATGCAAACCAGCCGTACACCAGCTCCTCTAACGAACAAGCCTATTAACGGCACCAAAGTCCACATTCGCCGGAGGGTATAACCTTCTCCCACCTCTGCCCTCTCAGCACCCGACCGCAAGATCTCACCATGAATGGTTCGTAACCACGTCCGCATCTACGTCGAACAACCGCAACTCCATATCCCCAGCTAGCGAGGTCACCACTCCTCAACAATTCCATAGCTGGAACTTTTTGGGGTTTGGTTCGAGTTTGAACCCCCAAAAAAGCGAACCTGACCGTTCCGAGCCGTTCACGAGGGTCCGGTTCTGGTGATTTTGTTGGACTGGACTATGGTTCAGTTCTGGTGCAACACCCTTTGAACTGGACTGAACCGGACCGCAGCAGCACGAGCACTGAGCACACTCAAGTGCATTAGAGTGTTCAGGTACGTATTCTATTGTGTCATCTTTCATATCACTCTAAAAAACGCGTAGATTCCGCCAAAAAGCTGACATCCTGCCCAGCATTATTGCCACCCTTTTCCCTAAACTCGTCACTACTGCTGATGGCATGCTCAATACCGCTCCCCATCCCAACCCATGTCCCAGGAGACTGGTTGTCATCCACGACTCTGGTCTGTCGACAATCACTGCTCAGCTTATGCTGCGTCCACACTAACTTTGATTTCATAGTCAGGGACACTGTCTCTCCGCAAGTCAGCAAGGTTGTGCTGCGTGCAAGGTGCGTCTCGTGTACAAGCCCACCGACGCACTCATTGATTTCGATGATGGTTGTTGCAGATCTTCTCAAGCTCTCCGATGAGACAGACCTTTCCATTATAGATAAATTATATTGTGCACTGTATAGTAATAATGCTCGCATCATGTATTTTGGACCCACACAGCTAGGATCTACTGGTTTCTCACCATCCAATGAATTTCTAAGCCTGCCTACACTTACCGGAAATTCAGTGGATAAAATCCACTGATGTTATATAACAGATGCGTGCCGGATCAGTGGATTTTTGGTATACAGAATATCGGTGCATAATCCACCGAATTTATATACGTCTAACATCCACTGAAATTATATAACCCGTCCTTTCTACAGTGTGCAGTGATCATTAAGTATGGAAGAAAGAGAATATTATATATAATTAACGGACAACTTCACGATTCAGACGAGACGGCGATCTAGAGGAAAGAGCGGAATGCTGATACTGCGGGCGACAAAAGACTGCCACGTTCCGTAGTAAAACGCTGCCGGATTTCCACCAGACGACGGTCTATACTATCTGTAACCTTTCTTCAAGTACTCGAGTCGACGACTGACTTCATTGACCGATTCAATTACATCAACAAGGTCTCATCGACAAGCGGACCGTCCGGTGCAACCGTATAATCCAGCCAGTCGTGTATGGATCAGTAAGCATGGAGGAAAGAAATGATAACAGACGACATACCATACATCAACAGATTGGCAATTACAAGACATCCATCATCGATCAACGTGAATGAAAGAATGGAATCAACATCTAAACATCCATGCGATAACAAGTCAGAAACCAGAGCGCAAGCGTCAACATCGCTGAATACTTGACCGATCGTACAAGTTTGTCAAATGCGGTAGGAACGACACGCTGAGTCGTTGACTGTTCAGGCAGCTACTCCGCGTGGCGGTCATCCCCAAATTTCCGACTCGAGCGTTACAGTACTAGTGTCGGACATGATGGATTTCGTTGGCGGGAGAGTTATGACACTTAAGAGTAGAAGTAGGAGTGGTATCGAACCAAGAGGTGTGTCCTCCCAGTCAACATCGACCAAATACGTACAAAGTCCAAAGTCCAAATCTATAAAAAATAACGCAATGCAATTCATTGCAATTCCATTTCATATTCTCGAGAGGACATATGTACAAAAAAAGAACAACAAACAAGCTATGTAAAGACTAGAATACTATTGGACGGGGTAAGTAAGTACGTACGTATTGATTGGATGCGAGACGGGAACGATATGACATGGGATATCGGTGAGAGGAAGCGACGCGGTTTGAGCCTATCGTGGGAAGGCAAGGGTTGAGCGTATCATGGGAAGGGGAGAGGGCACATCGGGAGAATTAGAGCGAGAGCGAGAGGAGGGTCGTAATTTGACAAGAATCCACGTAGAGCAAATAGATAAAAAGAGAGGAGCCGAAATTTGAGACTATAGTCGTCCAGATGACAAGTTCGTTGAGAGCGGTCGAGAGCAGCAGAAATTTTCGTTGATAGACGAGAGACTCGAACGACCGATCGATCGAACCGGAAAGAAAAAAGACACAGAACGAAAGGAGCGAGCGGGGACTTGGATTAAATTGAAACGGATGCGATGCTGAACATGCTGCTGGGATCGATATTGTCGAGTATCCTAACCCACCCAGACGAGGGACGGCAAGAGAGAGAGGTTGGATAAGAGACAAGACGAACCCTACTTCTTCGAAATCGTCAAACTCCTCATACTCTCCTCCAAAATATCGCACACATTCGCCTTGCACGCTCCAGGTCCAGTCGCAGGTTTCTTCTCCCCGCTCCCGCCCATACTTAACGAGGGCACCGCCACCGGTTTCTCCACCGCTCCGCCCATCTGAGGCTCGATATCCACGACTCTCACAACTGCACGGCCTTCAAGTACCTTGCGCACTTTCTCTGCATCCCATTCTTTCCTCATCCCACCCATACTCCCCATTCCACTTCCACTCGCCCCACTTGAACTCGCAGGACCAGACCCAGAAAACGCCTCCCAAAATGCACTCCCCAACTTCCCAAGCAAGGTCTGAGATGCAATAGCAGCAAGCGCCGCTTGTTCCCTCGTAGGCCCTTGCGCCGCTTTACCCCCACCGAACGTGGGAGACGCAGGAGGCGATGGGTACGCATTCGCACCCTTCCCAGCGAGTGCCTTGGAAGATGATGCGAAATATGCGGGTTTGAGGTTTGATGCCAGACCGTGAGGGGTGTACCCATTTGAGTTGACGTTGGCGTGAGGATGAGCTTGGGCTTGCTGCGCAGCCATCTTCCCCCATAACTGCATCCGATAGGCATCGAGAGTCTTGAGTGTGAACGGATTGGTATCCGCAAACGCATCGAATGCGCCCATTCCCATTCCCATGTTTCCAAGGCCGTTGAGTTGGCTGTTCGTCTTCTCGACGATTGATCCAGGGCGGTGTAAAGCAGGATTAATGTTCTCTTGGAGAACGCCCTTGACGCCCACAGGCGTATGCGGGATAAGGGTCGTATGCACAGGCGTAACTCCCATGCCGCCAAATCCACCCCAAAACGGCCTTGCGCCGAGCCTGGGAGAAGTAGGGAGGTCTTTTTGGGTGTTTGGGGTGATGAGAGGGGTGGTTTGGACGGGGGTTGGAGCTGGGCTTCCGGGTGGTGAGAGGGGTGCACCGATGGGGTTGGAAGTTGGGAGGAGTTCTGCTGGGGGAGGGAGGTCTGGTGCTTGACGCCTTGATTCGAGGAGGCAGCGTTTGAGGGCTGAAATTTCTTGGCGGAGGGCTGTGTTTTCTGAGCGGGAACTGCCTAGTTCTGAGCGGATTGCGTCGATTAGGCGGTCGCGTTCTGCGATGTCGCCTTCGAGGGTTGTGATGTATTCTAGGAGGGGTTAGGTGGTTTGATAAAGGGAGGGAAGGAACTGACCTTTTCGCCTGACTCTGAAGTTGCGTGCGCTGATCTTGTTACGGAGCTGCCTCTTCTCTCTACTGCTCATCTTCTTGTATTCTTCTGGACTCGGGCGCCAGTCTTCTGGTTCGAGGATCTTGAGGGGTGCAGGGTCCTTTGAGTTCTTTGTCTTGCCTGCGCCAGAGTTGTCCTTGTCAGAAGGAGAATAAGATTTCTTGATACCCCCAGATGCGACTGCGCCGCGACGGGAGCGTTTGGGGGGTGGCTCTATGTCAGAGTCAGATTCTTGGTCTGAATGGTCGTTGGAAGTAGCGGGTGTTCCAACGAGTTGTGGGTCTATAGCGAACATGGGAGTTGAAGCGTCGATGCTCTCTGGGCTTGAGCCACTTGCACTGGCGCTAGCTTGAGCGGCGCCAAAAAAGTCATAAGAAGGGACGTCGAGATTAGGGAGCGAAGGACCCTTTGTGAACTCGTTTGTGTCTAGGAATTGAGCAAAGAAGTCATCGTCTGCTCCATTTGATGGGGGTGGGGTTGAGAAAGAGAAAGGGCTTGGTGGGGAAGAAGTTGTTGCTGTTGTTGTTGTTGTTGAGTTTAAGATGTCGAGGTTAAAGAATTCATCTACTGATGGGTCGAATGAGAATGATGGCGTTGATGTTACCACATCCGTCAGCATGGCTGGCTCCTAGTACGTCCTTTCGATTTAATGGTGGATGTTATCACTAGAGTCTGAAGATCGATGTGAAGTGAGGCGTGTTGCTAGTACACACGGAATAACCCGATGCCGATTCGGCAAGAACGCGTAATCAAAATAGGTGACTCAAGCGGTGTCCCCTAACACAGCCATTCCCTCTCCTCTCTCTAACAGACTCAGAACGCCCGGTTAAGCGGTGACATTGCCTACTAATGATTACTCTTCCTCCGCAGCAGCATCCAAAATCACGCAGCTCAACAGCATCTCCGGTATATACTATTAGCTCCATTCGGAAATCACCAGCCGCATCCATTCTCGTCCTTCGGTACGAGAATCCCACTGGTCTGTGCACCTCACTCAAACTTAAATAGGCCGTCTGCTGCCTCTCATATTTCTTCCCCCGCTACATACACAATTTACCAACACCATTGGTTTATTGAAGCGTCCGACAATCCTCACGGTAATTGCCGAAGACGTTGATGTCTAGATATATGCCGTAGTTTGGTCATCAACGTCTCCTCCAAGTTGACCTGTTATTACTAGAGCACTTTAAAGATTGACCAGAACTAGGCGCTTTGTTTTCACAAGAACCATTCAAGTATCTAGGTTTCTTTGTCCAGAACTAACTTGTCGTTTGTACCCCCGAATTCAATAAATAGTCAGTCCTACTGCATCTTCTCCGCCCTTTCTTGCCACTCACATGCATCGTCTTACCACACGAAAATCTTCATCCCCCTGTGCGTGCTTCTCCACCGCGTATCCCTCAGTTATCACTGGTACTGTATATGTGCACGAGTAAACGAATGGGGGAATTTTACACTGCCCTCGATCGTGAATGTGAAGTATCTGGTAGTATACGGTATACTTCTCATTCACGATCGCCGCGTCGCATTCACTCCGACTTAACCCCACTCCAAACCGATCTCGTCTGTCCAAATCAAACAACGACATCTAAGCGCATTTGCGGGCACTTCACGAATCATACAAGCACATCGGAACTCAGACATCAATGCGGAATTTATCGCTGTTCCCGCCATCAGGGTCGTGCAGACGACCATCTCACATCGCTTGTGTAGCTCACGAATTATTTACCGTATTAGTATCACATTGACACGATCTCCTTAGCGGTGCTGAATTCGCCCGATAAAGTGTCCAAGAGGATCAAGCTTGCCTCTCAATGTGTATCCAGCTCATACCCTATCAGCTATTCCACCGCAGCAGCAGCATCACATACGGCGCGAACATCGTCTCGATTCGAAATCGCGCAATTACCTCATACAACAGTATGTTCCTTTATTCACTGTGTCTGTATCACCCATTCCTCCTCATCTTACCGCAGGCACATCTCCATTCCTCTCGTAGGTGCTTCTCCGCCGGTACTGCATACGTAGTCGAGGATGAGAGGTGCGATGTTATTTTAACCGCCCTTCACGTCCTCGTCGACGTATACACGACCACGGCATTTCTACTCAGCCCCGTTCAAAATCGATCACCGTATGTGTCTCTTCAATTCAACAACGGCATAACGAAGTCTCTGAATCATAAACTCATCACAACTCATATGGCATCAACGAGGAACCTATCACAGTTCCTGCCATCATGGACGTGGGCAGATCGCTTGCGCATGTCACAAGTTGTTTACCGTATGAGTATCATGCTGAAACGATCTGGTCACCCGTGTCGTATTCGACCCAACAAAGTATCCCATGTCAAGTGGGAGCTGCAAAATAATGGATCATATATCGGCGTGTTCCCCTCCCGCCTCGGGTTCTTTTCCTGCCATGTAACCTTTTCTTATTTACAGGTTCCTACTCTCGCATTGTATTGTTCGATGCCTTTGTGCCATTACTTGCGGTAGTAATCACCGTCCTTGGTCTGCTCCCTGACTTGATTTGGCCCATAGCAAATATTATTCCCCATCGCCATACCCAGCATCATTTCCCTCTCCATTACCTGAAATAATCCTCTCTAGCGCATTCTTCACATCGCCTACCTTCTTCACGTCCCACTCTACTCATTCGCTTCAGCCTCTCTAGTACCGACATTCCTCAATGTCCTGAGGACCTCACAAACAACCTCCGTCTTATAATAAAAATGAAGGAGGAGCCCGAAATGGTCTATGGGTTTCCTGTCATCGTGCGTAACTTTACTTTCGTTCTTGGATGTCTAGAAAATCATATAAACCTTCTCCTCTCCACAGCCTACCTCCGCTCCTCACTATCCTTGCCCGTATCAGACCAGGATTCGTGAGGTCATACGTCAGCTCGAACGTGCCATTTATACTCACTTCGCCGCTGGTGTTGCTACGTTATCGTGAGGCACAGGGTGAACGAGGATCGTGTTTTTCTCCGAGGTCGTCGCTGTTCTACACCTTTCCATCGCAGTCCATTCCTGTCGTTCACGGCTAATCCGCCTCACCCCCCCTCTACAGCGGGCAGTGCTGGCAAACCAATGGGTGTCTTCTAGTGTATCTGCTGGTTTTTCTAGCGAAGTGCCACGCTTTACGACTGGCGGTAGGACTAACCCTGGTGATGGCTGTTGCTTCAAAGGCAAACACGCTGTGAGCGAGTCCAACCCTGCTGCAATCATGCATCTCGAGCCCTCCTGCTGTGTACGTTCCTGCGAACAGGCTTTCCAGCATGATCGCGGTTGGTGGTGCCATCGTCATCATTTTAGAGAGCCTGTTGTTAGAAGAACCGTTGCAAGTATATATGTTTATTCGCCCAGAACTAACTTGTCGTTCGCAGAAACTACTTTTTGACGATTACACCCGGAATTCAATAGTCAGTCCTGCTGCATCTTTTCTGCCCTTTCTTGCCACTCACATTGATCGTCTTACCACAGGCAAATATCTAATCCTCCTGTACGTGCTTCTCCACCGCATATCCCTCGTACTATATATGTGGACGAGGACAGGAAGGGTTGTGCTCCCCACTATCCTTCATGTTTTCGTCAACGTATGCTTTCTTATTCATGACTGCTGCATTTCTGTCACTGCGACTTGTCCCCACTCGAAACTGGTCCCAGCATCTGTGTCTCTTCGACACAAATGACGACCTAACTAAGCCTCCAAGGGCGTTTTCGGAACCTCCAGACTCAATGCCAGAATCGTCGATCCTTACTGCTCACCCACTTGTTGCATCACAGGAGCAGCATAGATTGTGCTGGCGATTATATAAACTATCGGTTCGCATATGCGACTTCGTACATAAGACTTCGAGCGGAGAGCTACAAACTTTGTCGGCAGATCTAACTCTAGTAAAGCCCCATCGATGTCACGGTAGTCATGGAGAGAGTTGTGGGCAGAAGAGAGAAGGTCGCTTGTATCAGTATTTCCCTTCTTTCTTGGTACAAAATTCAGAACGACTTGACCTCGCCGAAAATGTACACACTCACATGTGACTATTTAGTCTGTAAATTGCACGAGATCGGCATAGATGCGTTCTCTTTGCATCTTCTCTCTGAGTATACGAGCGGAAAGTGTGTCCTCATTGCGTCTAGCAGCGCGAATGACTTCCTTGTCTTGCTCGGTCATCTCAGTCCGTAAATGCAACTGATTCTGCTTATCCGCCCGAATATGCGTGTTGATACACCTACGCAAGGGAAATGTAAGGGGCTCCAGTCGCTGAAATCCAACGAATAACAACAGTGCACCTACTCTAGACATGTCATAGTACCCATGGGTTTCATGGTCTCAGCGCCCGTGATAGCAGAGATACATGGGATAGGCTCGCGTTTCCTCGCCGCCTCAAGGATAAGAGTGGGGATGTGTACCTCAGCGGTTAGTGAGTGCCCTGGATTCTCTGCACTACCATCAACAAAATCTATGAGTCCAACAGGATCTTTGGCGAAACCCTCTGCGTTACATCTTGCCCGAGCTTCACGCCATAGGTATAGCTGCTGCGGCGTATAAGGAACTTCAATGCTCGGGTGAAATGGACTGATGGCATTGACTTGCACCATGCCCTGAAGCTTCTGTTTCTCCCCAACGGCCTTGTCGTTCGGGTTGAGATACAATCCAACAAAGTCAAGAATGTCACTCGGCTCAATGGCAATGTTAACACGTGCCACGAACGGCACGTCGAATCCCACCCGGGGATCGTCGAGCAGACCACAGTCGAAGGCGACACCAATCTTGAGGAACCCCATGATCACTGGGTTCAAAACGAACATTCGTATGAATTTGAGTGGCCCCGAGGAGCGTTCAACTTCGTGGCATGCCGGTTTGTGCGTGGGCCTATCAGTGCGCGCATATGAGTCGAGTCAAAGTCTGGAGTGAATCATAGAACACACTCACCAATTTTTCTTTTGACACTACACACGACATCAGTACATCAGATTTCAGTTCGTCCCAGTCGCAAATCTTACCTCTTTTGAGCAATACCAGATGCTCTTACACTAAAAGTGAATTACGACACTCGATGAACGCCTGCAACAGTATACAGATATTTGACTGCCACCTTTGCACATTTCAAAGGTTTCTCCAGTCCTATGTGACATTGGGAACACCGTACGAGGAAACTCTTCTGGCTCGCTTTGAGGAATTCTCTGGAAGCTGCTACAGCACTGAAATGACTATCCCGCTCCGGATGAGTCGCATGTTCGAGGTAGACAAGCTTTGAAGTTGCAGAGGAGTTGTTGGTATAAGTACTCATGTTCTCACAAAGGCGCAGTGGGAGATGAATGTGGCGGCGAGTTGAGCACTAGCAGTGGATAGTGTAAAGGATACCTCAGTTGTCTGCTACAATTAAATTTTTACGAAAGTTCTCTTACGTGCGAATCTATTTTGGATGCTTCCAAGTTCAGTCTTGACTCTGGGTCCTGGTTCGAGAATTCTGATGCTGATGCTGCAGTGGCAGTGTTGAAGTACAACGAGGCCACATGATCCAACATACATGTTGCTTCCCTGCTCGTATCGATCACCAGGTAGGATTTCTGCCATAAGCCGACGCCGAGCAGCATTGGACTTGCAGACCACATCGTCTAACAAGGAACTCTGTAATGCACCAAGGTTCAGGCCTCAGGTCCGTGTTGTGCCCATGGTGGAGCCTCAAACCTCGTTGCATCGAGTAGACAATGATCATGTGCGCACGCACATCGCGCTCATGTCACCAATCTGACTAGTTCCTTAATTCCATTTCAGATGTGAATTCCTTGGTTGCTGAGAAGAAGCGTTTCACCACCTAGGATCCTTCGACCTGTGTTCTTTGGAAGTCCCCGGGCGCTCGCCAAATCGTAGCAAAAGGTTTCCTTTTGTCGGACGAGACATGGGAAGATCTCCTCCGAGGGGAGTTTCCAATTTCGACTTTATTGGGATAGGTTCATGTGTAAGTGGTTGTCCAAGACCCTCCCTGGTTGCGGAATCATATCACCTTTGCTATTATTCCCGCTACCTTGTGTAGTGGGTTACCTCTTGACGGGAAACTTTTGCGGTAGATTTGCAAGATTTTGCCGTGGCAGTGTTTTTTCCCTGAAATAGTAAGTGGCTGTGATGATCCGAATCGATTTTTCTTCCTCAAAAAGTAAGTGGCTATGTTGATCGATCGGTCCAGGCCCTCAGGCGTACATCCTGGTTGGAATTTGATTCACTACGCATACGATTATCAGTCTGCTCAGAGCGCTGTTCGTCTTTATCGATATCTTAGGTCCAGGCTCCTGATTCACTGAAATTCTCACGGCCTCTTATGATGGTCATGCGCTCACAACCGACGTTGAGTTCGAGATTGTGCGTAGCCTCGAATCCGATATTTTGATTGGGATGAATTGGATTGCTGCATGGCGCACGGTTGGCCAGGACGACAGGCATCCTGTCTGTAATCCCTATGGTCGTTCTGTGTCTGGCCCTCGAGGTGAGAGTGTCTCGTTGTCCTCTTTTATATCTCTACTGATCCTCTTCTGCTGCTCCAGAAACTTCGTGTATACTTAGTGGTGATCTATTTAGGTCTTCGTCCCTCGTTGGGGCAGTTTTATCGTCTCGTAGACGTTCAGAGTCTATTGTCCATGTCATTTTTTTCGGTCATCTCGTTCTGGGGTTCGTATTGGCCCACTTTCGCCTGAAAGGGCGCTGCTTGCTCAGGCATGTGCTATGCATAGTTTAGAAGTAAGGAAGTCTCATCAAGTGGCAGAGCTACGTGACATGTTGTTGAAACATTTCCTCTATGGCGAGTGTGTGCCTTCAGACACGCGTTCTAAGCACCACGATTTTACTGCGTCGTGAGGTTGCTGCTGGATTTGGCTCATCCTCGGACTTAGTCGATTGCATCTTGGACATGTTGACGTCGGCTGACTTGTCGGCAATATCAGGTGCTGTTTTATGGACCATTGCGCAGAGCATCTGTAGTGATTTGGTTTGCAGTCCCGGTCAAGAAGATCATCAAAGGCGAAAAACTATTGGTGTTTTGACTATTTTTCGCCATCGAGGCGTGTATGAGGGTGTGTCCCAATCATTGCAGTCATTGTTCACCAACACAGAACGCATGTCTAAGCCTTCTCTGGAAGTCATAGCATCTTGGCATGGACTGTGCTTCGTGGCCTATTATAGTGTTGGTTCGACTGAGCTGACGGTCCTCGCTTTTATTGAAAAAACCTTGAAGAGAGACTCAGGAAAGAAGTTTCTTCATCTCGAAGCGATAGTAACATCCTGGCCATTCTCCGTGATGTGAAATATGGGAAATCGTAAGTGGGAAAGCTCAACAGCACGGACACCGTTGCGCTTTCGTTCCTTGCTGGCTGCGATGGCGGCTGGTCACAACTTTGTCACGAACTCCTCCTGCTAGTCTATATTGGTGACCCCCCATGGCTGAGTATGAACATGTTGAATTTCTCGTAGTATACATGGTCATATTTTGCTGCAGCAGAGTTATGTTCTTCTATAGTTCCCGCGGCTACAAAATCAAGGACTCATCCGTTCACTGATGTCACTGATCATTGTCAAAGTGTAGGTGTTTGTTTGGCAACACCCTTTGACCAAACAATGTTCACTTCCCGAAATGCTGAACCCTGACCACACATCCGCGTATTCGAGCCGTTCATACAATGATCTGCTTCTCTTTCTTTCCCCCATTCTACTGACCGACGCGCATATAGGCAGTACAAGGCATAATAGCGATGACGAGCACAGACATCACAAGTGCTACTCATACACCTGGTATAATGCCACCAGAGCTAGAGCAGACGCTTGCTTTGCTATCGTTACATCGTTCTGTCCTCGGATACCGCTCTCTCGTGTGTACCATGTAAATATCATACGCCATCCAAGTCTCGTCTTCGAGGGAGTAAGGCAAGAGGTACGCGAGCGTTGATGGGGTGCGTAAGCAAGGTATCTTATCTGACCCCTTATTTACGCATCGTTTCTGAGACTAGATTCGCTTCATGAGAATACGAAATAAACGCCATGAAATCATGATTTCGCCTGCAGGTTGGTGGGGGATCTGCGTTCGATGATGTCTATACTCACTCCACATTGAGAGATATCTTCTCGCGGTGTTGCGTGACCCCGCTTTAAGAATCTACCTTTTTCAATCATATCTCCTCCGACTGTATCGGCAGTATCTCACGATCCAACGCATCTCTCATCGATGGTGGACTCGCTCATTTGTTTTGCATTGTCATAGGCAGCGACGTAGCCCTAGAACTTCATGGCATATTATTGACACTAGACTACCGCACTCCTCCACGTGTATGATGTTACATTAACGTTCTGGCGAAAATAACCGCATCAGTACTGGGACTCGGAAGGCAACGAGAAGAAGAACAGGGCTCACCCCAGGCACTGTGCATTGAGGCGCAGTGAGTAAGAACCATTTTCACTCTTGCCTCTCATTTACAATAGCCAGTCAGATCACCAGTCACTTCGCAGCAACCCAACGCGCAGCTGCATCTCTTAAAATCCGAAATTTTGTCGTTTGATCCACAATAATACAAGATCTGGTGGTCGTTGTTAAAACCTGGGAGTAATCCGCACTCAAATTTGCCTGCGAGAAACCGTAAGCACGCGGTCTAAGATTCACACGTCCAGATTACGCCAGGCTGCAAGAGTACTCACCAGGACTGTAGCAGGGTTTACCGATGGGGGTGAGGTCAGATATGCTGGCAGCTACGCCAGTTATCACTGCGGCAGACATGATCAAAGTGGCAGGTGAGATAGATTTCATAGTTGCGATCCAAGAGAGGGTTGAGACTCGATGGGGTTTTGATATTGAGTAGTAAGCTAGTACGTTAGTTGTATATATATGTAGTATATGGAGCAGCCAAAGCATCCATCCAGTGCGTCCGATGCTCGCATGATTGGATGTTCCTCGATTTCTGAATTAGGCCCTCGGAAGATCGGTCAGAGAGCGGTACCTCTTGGCCCATCTGTTGACATGACCCGATGACGTTGAACGTGTAATGGAATCTTCTGTGAGAATATGCAAAGTTGAATCTCCTGAACGACCGACTTCTGGTCGAGCTCATGCTCGCTTTCCGAGTCACTGGATACCATGCATGTGTCCATAGTTGGTGCAGACTCCAGTCAAACCCCTCGTCCAGATCAATTTCTAAATAGGGAACTGCCACAAGTTGGCTGCGACTAACGCGCACCATTGGAATCTCGTGTTAGCGGTGAAATCGATGAACCGGACATTTGCCAGTAAGTGAGCATAACTTGTCGTTGGAGGAAATGGATGGCCTTCATCTTAAGCCAGATAAATATGCGTGTAACATGGGGTGCAGTGCCACATAATCCCAATGTACGAACCAGCCCCGATCATTGTGCTATCGAAGTAGTACTGGACGAGTGGTAGTCGAAAGCGAAGGTAATGATGACGGCATCGATGAGGTTTGGACGGTCTATAGTGTTGCCGTGTGGGATTTCAGTATTACGAACTGGCGGCTAAATGTACAGCGTGGTCATGCACTGTGGGGACTGTACTTACCATTGGCAGCGATGCTAGGAACTTGCTAGCTACCAATGTGCGATATGTAGCTCAATGGCCGTAAATCTGATCCCACTCTCACCGCTACAATTTTTCCGATCAGCATATGACCATCCACAGGCACTAATACGAGCGCCAACATACGTACATTATATCAAATAATACCTCAGCAGCATGGAGGGGTACACGATAGGATTCGAGCACTGCTGCACCTGATATATGCATCAAGCTGCGCTCACCAGAACATAAAGCTTCCAACTCACAGAGCAATCTTCAGTGCACGTTCCTGACAATCGACAATTGTCCACGAACTGGGCCGTCCAGTCGATTAATGGTCGTCAATTGGTCGTCTGGTGTTGCTGTTATCTATGCTTGAGCTCGATGCTCGCAGCAGCTCGCAAGGCGTGTTGCTAGCATCCGCTGATGCCGATTACGCGTAGTTATCATACAAGCTGACTCTTTCACGCGTGTCCATGATTTACCGTTGCGGTAGACGGACTGTGCTAGATTGCCGCTGTTGAGCAGATGGTGGAAGGGTTGCTGCTTGCATAGTGTAAAGTAGCAAAGTGTCACGCTGGGCGTGTCCAACTAAACGGAGAAAATTACTGGAGATAAGATGGAGTCTGTTTCGCTATGTCTACACCGATGGGACATAAACAGAAACTTTGACTGCTTGGATATCTATAGTCGCAGATAGTTAGCGAAGACACATATCTTAACCACCAAGTCACAGAAATTAAGACGCTTGGGATCAACTACTACGTATTTCAAGGGAAGGGACAAGGGCAACATATTCCGCTCGCTGTTTAGCTGTCGGCATGTCCCCGAAACCGAAGATCAGGCTCTCCAGGCGACAATTTGACCGTGCCAAAAATGCCTTCACCGCCTCATGAGGCCATGTTCCATGGCCACCCCCAACCCGAAGCACGTGCAAATTGGGGAGTGATAGAGCATTGAACAGGTTATGTAAATCGTCTATGGGCACAAACGCACCACCGATGTGTAAGGATTGAATTTTGGTGTGCGTGAATGGCTCTAAGGGCTGTATGCCGTCGAATCCTCCGCAGAGCCTTAACGAGGAGAGGTTGGGACACAGTCGGAGCAAGCGGAGGATTCCGCTCATTTGAATCATTACGATGGAGACATTTGTCAGGTGGGCACATATGTGATTGAGAGAAAATAACTGCGCGTGGTCAAACCGCAGGTGCGTTATTGTGAGACTGCGCAGAGTGGACAGTTGCGAGATCGATGGTTCAAGAGCTGACCAAGTACGATGATTGAATGTGCCTATGGTCAGCTCCTGAAGTGCTGGGAGGTTTGTTAACAAAATTTCTGGTTTGTTGGCGCCTTGGTTGAAAAAGATAGAGAGAGTCGAGAGTCGATTGATGTAAGGCTGAAGAAAGTTTCGTAGCTTGGTCGAGTCATTTTCCGAGCAACAGAGTCCTAGCGAGAGCGGACGTCCTCGTGATCGCTTGAGCCATGAGTCGTAGCATAAAGTTTCCAGCTGCCGGTCAATCTTGTGGACTTTCAAATGCAACCTGCACCATAAACTGGGCACATCCACAGCAACCTCCCTCCATCGTCGACATACTCCGGTCAACAGCATGGGTGCTTCTCGCCTTGACGGGGACAGTGCGGAATTGTTTTCTCCCGGAAGACAGTGTCCAAAAATTTGGGATAGGACTTCAGTCGGTAAGCGCCAAAGACACGATACGAGTCCCTTGTGCAAATTCATGGACTCCATTATCTTTTCCTTCTTTTCGACGAGCTGCTGGTGAAGATTTTTTATACCATCCATGATGGTCTCCAGGCCTGAAATCTCATGCGAAACTGCGTCCAACTGCAGCTGCCGTTCGGTGAGGATGGCGCTGATACTCTGATTTTCGAACACGCCAGATTGATCGGTATTGGGGAATCTGGAGTGTGGGGTTTCAAGGTCTGGAATCTGTATATGATCAATAATGTGGCCGTCCGATATATCGGAACAGACATACGATCACTCGTGAGCGTGCGAGCTGATGCGAATGCTTATAAGTTCTTCTCAAATGCGAGTGGCTATGTTGAAACTGAACACTTACGATATTTTCCAGCTCCCCAATGATGTCCACAACCGGGAAGAAATTGGATGACATCCCCTCGACTGCCCGCATATCGTTTGCTAACGCGAAGAACGAGGTGAGGTAAATAGTATGATAATGAAGGCGCTGAAGGACGTTGACGATGATATCCAGGATTCAAGTGGTAGTAGTATACCTCGAGTCTGAATATCGCAAGAGGCTACTGGATGATGAATCGACGATATCTTTGAAGAATAGTGTTATGGTTTGTTTGGCACCCTTCCCTTATGATACCCATCGAAATTTCTTCATCTCCCTCCTTGTTCTCTTGATCAATTGCGGACTCCCCTAATTCAATAGTTAATCCCGCTACACCTTTTCCACCTTTTATTCCGGTACCGCTCACATAAATCAACTTACCATAGAAAAATATCTATTCCTCATGCACGTGTACGTTTCTCCACCGCATATCACCGGTACTACCAATGTGGGCGAGTACTGTGACTATGTGATCAGTGGTCATACATCACCGCTCTTCATATATCCTCGTCAATGTATACTTTCTTATTCACGGCTGCGCTTTCTGTTCACTCCCACTTAACCCCACTCGAACTGATCCCAGCATATGCGTCAAACAACAACATTACCAAGCATCCAAGGCCGTTTTTGAGCGCTTCCCGAATCATACCAGCCACATGTCACCGATGATTCATCGCAGTTCCCGCTATCATGGACATAGGCAGACAACAAACTCACATTGCTTTCGTATGTCACAAGTTATTTACCGTATGGGTATCATGATCTGCTCCTGACAAAGTGTTCAAACTTGCCTCCCAAGGGGCATAGTTGTATTCAGCTCGGACAATATTCAGGCTATCAGCTATTCCTCCGCAACAACATCACAACCGACGCGAACATATTCGCTTGATTCGAAATCTCGCAGCCGCATTGAATACCTCGTATTAAACAGTGTCCTTTGTTCAGTGTGGGTCCGACCGTGCGACAAGATGCGATATACGGTGTTATACGCATCTACACCAAGCTATAGATGTCGGATGCTCCCTTCCTATCCCGGTCGATGTATACTTTCTCATTTGCAACCTCACGAGACGCGAACATATTGGCTTGATTCGAAGCCTCGTACTAAATAGTGTATATTTCCTTGTTTGTGGGTCCGACCGTGCGACGAGCTGAGGAATTATGATATACGCATCTGCATCAAGTTGTGGGTGTCTGATGCTCTCAAAGTAACATCTGCCATCCAGGTTGCGATTAGGGAGCTGGCCGAGCAGGGTGTCGCAGTTTGTACCTTTCACAAACCTCGGGTCTATCAAGGTATTGTTGAGTAAAGAAATCACGTGTCGATAAGTATAAGCCTTCTAACAGCGACCCATTCAAGAGACATTGTACTTACAGCAGAGAGTTACAAACACCTTCAAAACGTTTCAGCAGATCCAACACAAGTAAGGTCCCATCGATGTGACGAAGCATAGTCCAAGGCTAACTTGAAGGTCGCGGCAGGGGAGAGAAGGCTCCACTGATTGCTTGTGCCAGTATTTCCGTTCCTTCTCTTGGTGCAAAATTCAGAAAGACTTGTGAGAAACCGTCAAAAATGCGCGCACTCACATGGACTGTCTAGTGTGTCCATTGCAATAGATTGGCATAGATGCGTTCCCTCTGCATCTTCTCTTTGAGAATACGAGCGGCGGGAAGTGCGTCCTCTTTGCGACCTGCAGCGCGAATAACTTCCTTGCCTTGCGCTGTCATCTCAGCCCGTAAACACAACTGATTCTTCTTATCCTCCCGAATATGCATGTTGATGAACCTATGGTAATTGTAGGTGCTAAAATCCAGGGAACAAGAACGGAGCACCTACTGCAGACATGATGTCGTGCTCATGGGTGTCTTGAGCTGAGTGCCCGTGGCAGTATTCACAGTTACGAAGGGCTCGCGTTTCCTCGCCATGTCAAGGACAATAGGCGCGATGTACAACTCAGAGATCACTGAATTATCTGAGCCCTCGGTACAGCCGACGAACTCTATGAGTCCAACAGGATCTTTGGCAGAACTCTCTGATACGTTGCACTGTGCTCGAAAGTCGCGCCATTTGCGTAGTCGCACCAGCGGAAGGGGGCCATGCAATGGAGTGATGGCATTGACTTGCACCATCCCTTTCAGCTTCTCCCCGACGGTATTGTTATTGAGATACAATCCGACAAAGTCAAGAATGTCACTCGGCTCGATGGCAATATGAACACGTGCCATGAACGGGACGTCTAATCCCATCCGGGGATTATCGAGTAGGCCACACTCAAAGATGATACCAACTTCGAGGTACCCCATGAGCAATGGGTTTGCCTGGAACATCTGGATGATTTTAAGTACCCCCGAAGAGCGTTCGACTTCTTGGCATGTCAGTTTGTGGGTGGGCCTATCATGGCCGGCGAGTCGAGTTCAAGTCTGGAGTGAGATCTGTATCAATCGTAGGCAGCACTAGCTCACCAGTTTGTCTTTTGGCACTACCACAAGAATACAGGCGATGTCAGCCCTTCAGACTTCAATTTTATCAGTCGCAAATCCTACCTCTTTCGAGCAATACCAGACACTCTTGCACTAAAAGACAACACTTGATGAACACCCGCAACTGTATTCAAATATTTGACCATCACCTTTTTGCATGTCTGAGGTTTCTCCAATATCGCTTGACACTGCGTACACTGTACGCGGAATTCTTTCCGCTTCGCTTTGAGGTATTCACTGGGAGCTGCTACAGCATGGAAAGCATTGTCCCGCTCGGGACTTTGAATCACATGATGGAAAAACTTTGGAGTCGTAGAGGAGTTGTTCGTGCCCGTACTCATGTTCTTGCAAAGTGAATTTGGTGGCGAGTTGAGCGCTAAGTAGCAGTGGACGGTTTAAGGGAGGCCTTATCTGCGGCCTGCCACCGCGACATAATCAAACGTTTACGAAGTTCCATTTCGGATGCTGGGCCACCGTTCCGGTATCAATCAGGTTGAATACGTCGAATGCCTTCTCTCGAGGACATAGTCAAAGTCGAGGGTAATCTCAGGCTCGGTGTGTGTACTCCCCAGGTGAAGCATGCAGTCGTTACCTATGTATGACTACCAGCTGCAGCATTCTAGCTGAGGTTTCAGCCCTCTGGAGACGGGCAACAGATTTAGCACGATGCTCTCCGAATATATTTTAGGTCTTCACGAGTCGTCTGCAATCTATTCCTGATGTTTTTGTCACAAGGCCCAAGAAGGGACCATTTACCAGCCAATTTGCGATTGAACATACATAGTATCCCCTAGACAAAACACAGACAAAGGAAGAAATCGACCCTTCCATATTATGGATTGTACAGTGCCTGGGAGCAATGCGCTCCAAGATCAAAGCATAATTTACAGTCATCAGAAAAGTATCGAGAAACTCATCGAGGGTCATTTTTTCACAGACGGTTCCGCCGACACCTATTACAAGCGAGAAATTGACACCCTCCACACCGCTAGCGGATGTCAGATCAGAAGGCGTTTCGATGTAAGCAAGGCGACGAAAACGACTTACGAAGAGGTATAGCGGGAGATACATGTAGCAGCTCTCACAATTTCCGCCACCACTATGGTACTCCCAGCTTCTGTGCTGACAATCATGATCAACTCTGAGAAGCTCCATGATCTCCATTATCATACGCTCTCTGACAGTGTTCCTATCGCCCGCTGTGGCGGCAGTAGATGCGGGCTGTGGCACTGGCATTCCCGTGAACCATAGAGCATTCGTCTTAGCACGACGAGTCCTGGATCGGGAAGAGGGTGCAGGAGGAGGTGCAGGAGTAAGTACCTCTGCATCGATAAACGCGGCCAAAGAGCGTGGCGGAGCAGGAGGTGCGGGTGCAGGTACCTCTGCATTGATAAATGCACCCCAAGAGCGTGGCGGAGCAGGTGCGGGAGGAGCAGGTGCGGGAGCAGGTACCTCTGCATCGAAAAGCGCGACCTGGGAACGCGCAATCGCGGCCCAGGAAAGCCGTGGAGCAGGAGGGGGTGCTGGTGCCGGTATGGGCGCTCTCGTGGGTGCCGGCAGATTAACAGGCTGAATCCTGACGACGCCAGCGCCGGCAGCAGGCGCTAGTCTGGGTGGATTGACAGGCTGGATCCTGATAGTGCCGGCAGCAGGCGCTGGTCGGCGTACTGCAGGTGCCTGTTGGGGAGGATTAGCAGGCTGCGCGCGTCGTACGGGCGGAAACTGAGCATCCAGACGGCGCTCTGCCGCAGCAAGCAGCCTCGCCTCGTCCCACTGCGGACACGTGCAGTTCTTCCAGAGTGCTCTGCACAGATAGCAGAACTCCGTCCTGCATCGGCAGGTCATGTGGAAACACCCCGTGTCGAGCTCGATCATCTGAGCACAGCCTGGACAACGTGACCACCCCGAAGCGTCGCTTAGTGTGAGCACTTGCTCACTGTCTGCATCAGGAGTGCAGAGGTGAGTGAATCCTTCATATCTCCCGCGACATTTTCCACATGTCGTCGTCGTGCATGTAGGGGACGGGCATGTCAAGACCTTGCTGAAATACCCCTCATGTAATGGCCCGAGGAAACGACTACACGTTGGTGCAACACAATAAACGCGCTTCAGGGTCCCAAATTCCTGAGCTTTGAGTTCAAACTCAGAAAGCACTGCCTGCGTCAAGTGAGGCCGAACTCGTGGGAGTGGAATGTTTTGACGACAACATCGAGGAGGATACAGACTCTCGTCGCGTGTTGCTGACTGGAATAGTTCGGTGATGCAGTCGATATCATAAAAATGACCACACGGTGCCCGAACTTCCGCTCCGAAGATAGGATCCTGACAGATCACACAGTCATGACCGGTAGCCCTACTAGTTATGATGGTTTCAGTAATAGCATATTAATATCAAAGGCAGAAACATGTCTCACCGAGGAGGAGCTTTAGTTGCGATGGTGGTCCATGTGTTTTGGTTTTGTAATGCGGCGCTGACCCATGCGTTTGAATTTTGTGATGCGATAGTGGCCCATGTTTGTTTTTGTGATGCGGTGCTGAAATTCTCGTTAGCGACACCAGGGGGGTATTACATTCGCAAGCGTACTTTCTGACGGCGGGCTGGGACGTAACAGCTCGCTGCACTAATGTTGCCGGTCTACTCAATGTTAGCTTTGGTTTGTTACGCAATATACGGCCTTACCTAGGGGCAGGATCAGGTTCTCCACCTTCTTCAACGGCGAGTCGCTGGGCAAGTGCCAGATCAACATCGAACTCTGCAAGTTCTCGAGCATTCTGCATCAACAATGCGAAAGCAACTTCACGGTCAGAGAGCCTCTCTCCTCTCCGCGCTTTATTATCGTGTAAAGTCTGAAATCTCTCGACGTCAGAAAGATCAAGTTGAGTCATCATACGGACAAGATCCTCCTCATAGTTGTCTCTTTTTCTTGAATTAGGGACAGGACGTGGTCGTGAGGGACCAGCGACGTTCATGACGGTAAGAGTGAAAGAATGAAGCCAGTGCAGCGTGAGAGCCTACATCAACATTCATGAAGCAACTTTGGGATAAGCCATCACCTGGACCACTAACACGTGTGGAGCCTTGTGGGCAAAACGAGGATCAGAGCTGTTCTGATTTCATGGTTATCCTCATGATGTGAATCCGGTCCTAGGGAGGCAAGTAAGCAGGGAGAAAGATAAGATATCATTGCTACGCACCCCATCGTGTTCTGACCCGCTCACGTCCTCCAGGCACGCTCTCAACCATCTTGTCTATCACAATCGCACACATTTTCCCTTGCTGTCCCTCGAAGACGACGCCCAAATGGCGTTTGATATTAAGGTCAAATATTGGCATGGTCCCCACGGGAGAGCAGGAGGTAATATCCGAGATGATGATAGTAGGGCGAGCCTATCTGCCCCAGCTCTTGTGGCATAATGCTGGGGGGTAGAAGCGCGGTGTTGATGTTATGTAGGCTTGAGATCGATGCTCGTTGCAACGTTGGATGCTCGCCTAGCAAGTCCTCCTACGGAATCTTCCGTTGCGGAATCGGGCCTCGGAACGACGACTTACAGTAAATTTCCACCGCAGTCTCCCGCTGGTTCCGTTCCCGTCATCCTCCCCGTCCCCCTGCTCTACAGACTCAGTGGGCGGTGATCGCAAGACCGGCCAACCCGCTAATTTCGCTAGCATCCCTCACTGTCCACAGGTTTCAAATGGTAGTGCCACCTCTTCGAGTATAGCGGCAAGTTTGGTTAACGAACGATCGAAGTAGCCCTGCTGTTAGAAAAACCACTGAAGTATTCAGAACTGCTAATTATTGTTCGTAGACAATACGAACACCCACCTCAATTTCTCCCTGGATTTGACCACTACACCCCTTGTTTTTCTCTCCACCGAAATTCAATAGTCAGTCCCGCTTCATCTTCTTCACTCTTTCTTGCCACTTACATCCGGATCGTCTTACCACACGCAAATCCCCATTCCTCCTGTACGTGTTTCTCCACCGCATATCACTGGTACTATGTATGTGGATGAGTGTATAAAGGGTCTCACCGCCCTTCATATCCTCATCGACGTATACGTTCTTATTCACGACTACGGCGTTTCCGCTCACCCCACTCGAAACTGATCCCAGCATATATGTCTCTTCAACTCAAACAACGATATAATTAAGCCTAGAAGGGCCTTCGGAGCGCTTCCTAGACCATACATTGATACAAGCCATGGCGCAACTCAGATGACATTAATAAGTAATTTATCACAGTTCTCACCATCATGGACGTGAGCAGATGATGAACTGACATTGCTTGCATATGTCACAGATTATTTACCGTATGGGTATCATGCTGAAGCGATTGCCTCCTACTGGGGTCCCTCTCCGCATCGTTTTATTCGATTCATACAATATCAAGGCCCTCCGCGGCAGTATCACACACGATTAGAACATATTGGCTCGATTCAAAATCGCGCAGCTACATCGAACAACGGCGTATGCTCCCTTATTTCCGCGGGTCCGAATCAACCGTTGTACTTCCTCCTTTCTAGCATCACAGATGACGCGGAATACTCGCTCGATTCGGAAATCATGACGCATTCAACCACGTATTACACAGCATATGTTTCCTTGTTCTGTGGGTCCGCTATCCCAGGTTGCGATTAGGGAGTGGCCAAGTAGGGTGTCACAGGCAGCACCTGTTTGGTCCTTGGATGTGCCTTAAAATACTGCTCAAAGTGCGGAATCGCACCCCTTTGATCTTCAAAATCGCGTATTTTTGCTGTCAGCACTCATTTGTGGCGCATATATGCGAACAGTCAACCCACAGGAGAAATGCAATCATCGTCTTATTTGCACAATATCCAGGCTATCAACCATTCCTCTGCAGCAACATCACAGACGACTTGAAAATATTCGTTCGATTTCGAAATCTCGCAGCCGTATCGAACTACCTCATATTAAACAGCGTATGTTCCTTTGTTTAGTGTGGGTCCGACCGTGCGATGAGCTGACGAAATATGATATAAGGTATTATACGCATCTGCATCAAGCTGTGGGCGTCGGATGCTCCCTTCTTATCCTGGTCGACGTATACTTTCTCATTCGCAATGTGGCGTTTCCGTTCACTCCGGCCCAACCCCACTCGAAACCGATCCCAACATCTGGTGTCTCTCCAGCGCAAACTCTGAGTAACCAAGCCTCCGAGCCTCCCGAATCATACGAGAATCGAGACCAAGATTGCGCTGGTGATCATATACACTGATTATCGGTCACACATGTGCCCATTCAAGAGACGTCGTACATAAGACTTCGATTCAACACGTTTCAGCAGATATAACCCAAGTTTGGCCCCATCGGTATCACGACACATGGTCCAAGAAAGAGTCGTGGCGGGAGAGAGAAGGTCCCACTGATCACTCGTGAGTATTTTCCTTTCTCTTGGTGCAAAATTCAGAACGACTTAGGCCTCGCCAAAAATGTACATACTCACATGTGATTATTAGGGTGTCAATTGCACGACATTGGCATATAGGCGTTCTGTCTGCATCTTCGCTCTGAGAACACGAGCGGCGGGAAGTGTGTCCTCGTTGCGACCTGCAGCGCGAATAACTTCCTTGTCTTGCTCTGTCATCTCAGCCCGTAAATGAAACTGGTTCTGCTTATCCGCCCGAATATTAAAGTTGATGTACCTATGCAAGGTAATTGTAAGAGGCCCCACTTGCTAAACTCCAGGGAATAAGAATGGAGCACCTACTCTAGACATGTCACAGCGCTGATAGGTCTCTTGATCTCAGTGTCCGTGACACCAGAAATACCTACAAAGGGCCTGCGTTTCCTCGCGATGTCAAGGACAATAGCTGGGATGTGCGACTCAGCCATTACTGAGTCCCCTGAGTCTTCTGCACGACTACAACTGATGAACTCTGTCATTTCAACAGGATCTTTGGCGAAATCCTCTGCGTTACACCTGGCTCGAGCCTCACGCCATGTGCGTAACCGCTTCGGCGGAAGGGACCCGGCGTACATGCTTGGGCGCCACGGGGTGATGGAATTAACTTGCAACATCCCTTGAAGCTTTCCCCAACAGCCTTGTCATCGTTGAGATACAATCCAACAAAGTCGGTGATATTGCTCGGCTCAACGGCAATATCAACACGTGCCATGACCAGCATGTCGAATCCGATCCGGGATTGTTGAGCAGGCCACACTCGAAGACGATACCAATATTTATTGAGATTCGCCATGAGCACTGGGTTTACAATGAACATTGGTATCATTAATTTGAGTGCCCCCGCGAGTCCGAGTCGAGTCCAAGTGTGGAGTGAAGTGAGTTATACGTATCGATCGCAAGTAACTCGCCAATCTTTCTTTTGGCACTATGTATACAAGAAGACACGCGACGTCAGTAATTCAGACTTCAGGTTCGTCCCAGTTGCAAGTCTTACCTCTTTTGAGCAATACCAGGCGCTTTTACACCAAAAGCGATTCGCTTGATGAACACCTGCAACAGTATTCAGAGGTTGACTACCACCTCTTTGCATGTCCAAGGATTCTCCAATATCGTTTGATACTGCGTACATCGTACGCGGAATTCCTTCCGCTTCGCTTTGAGGACTTCGCTGGGACTCCCTGCTGCAACGCTCATGTTCTCGCAAAGGGAGATGAATTTGGTGAGTCGAGCGCTAAGTAGCAGTGGACAGTGTAAGGATCAAACGCCCGCGAAGTCCTGCCTCTTTGATTGAGTACGTATTATATCTCTTAGCATTCAGTCTGGATTTTGGTTCGAGAATTATGATGCTGATGCTGTTTACAGCAAGTCCACATGATTAGCGCCATCTATTGCTTCCAGGCTTCCGATCTTGCTCGTATCGAGTACCAACTTGAAGTAAGTACAGGTTTTCCGCCACAAGCCTGACGCCGGTCGGCATTAGACTGCAAACCGTATCGTCTCACAAGGGGGCCTTGCAATGCACCACGGTCCAAGAGGATGATATACTTGCTCCAGTGCGCCAGACAGAGATCAGGCCCGAGGTCCGCGTTGTGCCCATGGTGGAGCCTCAAACCTCGTTGCATCCAGTAGACCAATCATAATGATCGCAGTGTGCACACGTGTATCGCGTTCATGTCCCAATATTAATTGTAATTACAGGTTAACCAATCGGGCCAGTTCCTCATTTAAAATTCGAACTCGTTGACTGTGAAGAAGCGTTTCACTAGTATCGCGAGGAACAGACGTTTCGTATGTTGTCCCTAGGATTGTTCGGTTGTTTAGATTATTTACCTGACAGAGATACTGATACACAAAGTTGCCCCCTCTGATCATATGATACTCATGGGCGATCAAGGACGCACTGGATGTGATATATCACTAGTAAAAAAGGCATGTCTTCCATCACGACCCATTCACGATTTTCCAAGTAACAATCCTGTCCCACCGTGACCAACCAAGGAGAACCAATACGCTCAGCACGAGTGTCCGCTATCCTTCCAGCCTCGTTTCGGGAAGTCAATACTCATCCCTTCAATAACCACGGTTTCCTGGAGCCGGGTGTCTAGGAATTCGCAATACGTGCTTCTTATTCTTCACCGGGAATGTAACCTGTGTTCTTTCTAAAGTCCCCAAGTGGTCGCAGGTTGTACCAAAAGATCTATTTCCTTATCTCAGACGATACCGGAAGATCTTCGGAGAGGAATCCCCGACCTCGACTTTATTGCCATAGGTTCAGTCGTAAGTATCTGTTCGAGGCACTCCATGGTTGCCGAATCATATCACCTTTGCTATGTCAGTTGGCTGCCCTCATTGAACAAACGTCAAGGGACCCACGAAAGAAGGTTTGTCGTCTCGATTTTTCGGCCGATGAAACAGGCTGCATTCATGATCACAAGCTAGATCGAGTTGAGAGTCGATGGCGGAAGAGAATGTCAAATATAGGATTAGCGTCACGAGAAATTGACGCTAATCCCATATTTGACAGAGTCCAGTTGCAAGTAAAATACAGGGAAGTAAAACCCGATCTAGAATACCACTGACCTAGGCACGACCAGTTGTCAATACTTCGGATCGGTTCGTGAGCACGTCGGAGACGAAATACCCAACGATCATGAGGATGAAGAGAAGCTCGCGAGAGCATTTGCGTGTCACTGCACTATACTAAGGTAGCACACCAACGAGATCGGTGGCACTGCTCACCAAGTAGAACCGACCAGGCTTTGCTAGAGATAACACGAATAACGACAGTGATTGGGGCAACGACCCCATGATGATCGATTGATATCTATCAGGAATTAGTGCCAAAAGGTTGACTATGAACATATGGCAACTTACAACCACCCTCTGTCGATCTGAAGGAAATGCAAAACGACGCTGCGACTACGTGACTATGTCCTGTGTTCAGAAACCCGAATGTTGCACCGGTAGGGCGTCCCACACAATGACTAGAATAGAAGGGCAGGAGAAATATCATTGTCTTCCTGCATCTGAAGTGGAGGCGATATACCAAGTAAATGTAAATATGCGCCAACCTCATGATAGAACAACACTAGCAGCCAATAACTTAGTTGTTGTCAATCTATGCCGAATCCCATCGATGTGTACGCTCCGGTTCATCTGAAGGTAAGCTTGGAGGGTTAGCCGTCGACCAAATCAGTGAAGTCACACGCACCAGTGACGGTGATCCAGATGTAGTGGCAGGCTATTCATTAATTGAGACGACCGCAGTCGCCGGAAGTGGGACATCGCTCTGCAAATATGCCACGTCAGCCATTTGCATCAGCTAGGCGCATACAGCAAGCACTCACTAAGCAGGGACTCGTGAGCTTCACGCTGTGTTATGCAGGGGATGTCCACATGGAAGTGGAGAGCTCGTCGAGGAGAAGCAGATTCCAGATCACATGTTGCGGTAGGGGTTCGCAAGTTGTCAGAGTGCAGAGGTCAGCATCATTGAAGCAACAAGACGCCGTGTAGGACTCTCATTATTCTCTACACACGACCTCACGACCTCATCCAAATTCCAGCACTGGCCGACAGGGACAAACATCTAGCACCACTGTGAGTACGACAGTATGTGTATCGTGAGCTTCCGAGATTAATGTCGCGCGTGTTGACATGATTAGGGAAGTACGCCGAGGTCCAGAAGACCAATACAGAAACGCAGAGAGTCGCAGCTGGTATTCTTGGGGGTCTGATTTCGTTCAGGATCTGGCATTGAGGTCTGAGGTAAGTACAAGCAACATGCACACCTTCAACAATTGAAGGAGCAAAAATCAGGCACACGGTCTATCCATTCTGGGATAAGTAGGTAAGTAGAAAGGAACGACAGCTTCCTTCGATTACATCTCCCAAACACTAGTAGCAGTGATCAGCGACTGGTCCTGAGGCCTGAGCGCTGAGCCATAATCGTGCGTCGAATACCTCAAGTACTCACTTGGTAGCTAGCTCACACGCGACTAAATTTTTGTATAGATAATGGCTCCTACGGACCTCGAAGACGCAATCGCTCAACATATCTTCGATGAAACCCCCATTCATTTGATCCACATTGCGGAGATGAAGCTCATCGATCGCGGTGCTGTTTTGCGTCACTTTCTCGCGGTTGTACGAGACGTGACAGAAGAAGACATCCAGGCACAGTGCGCAGAGCTCCGTCTTTCCAGAGAAGATGTTATCGCCAACATCGTGCGAAAACGTGTACGATATGCGATCTTCTCCCACAGATGGCTTGCTGGAGGAGAAGTGACTTATCAAGAGATGACGGGGAGCATTCAGCCCCGCGGTCCTGGATTCGAAAAATTGCAGAGCTTTTGCGCAGCCGCGTCGAGATATGGAGTGGCTTTCGCTTGGTCGGATACATGCTGCATCGACAAAACTAGTAGTTCTGAGCTCGACGAATCGATCCGATCCATGTTCAAGTGGTACCGCAACTCGTCGATCTGCATCGCATATCTCGCTCAAACCGTCAGAGTTGCTGATTTGGAAAAGGATCTATGGTTCACCAGAGGTTGGACGCTACAAGAGCTTCTGGCCCCAAAGCGGTTGAAGTTCTTTGGAGCTGGATGGTTGCCGTTGACCATGCAGGATAACGACAAGGCTGATTATCACGTTATCAAGATGATAGAAAGAGTCACGTCTATCTCTAGCCGCGAGCTCAGCGAGTTTATCCCTGGCTCGCATGATGTCGCAAAACGCATGACGTGGGCTTCCAACAGGAAGACCACGAGGGGGGAGGACATGGCGTATTCCCTCATGGGAATTTTCAACGTCGTCCTGCCCATTGCTTATGGAGAAGGGTCAGAACGAGCATTCTTCAGGCTTGTCGAAGCAATCATCCAGACGTCGGACGATCTGCGGATTTTCAATTGGGCAGGTCGTCCCGCCGTCACGAATCATCCTTCCCGAGCTCTTCCCTCGTCGCCAAGATGCTACGTCGGACAGCCATATTGCTCTCCGATTCGAAGAGAATTTTCGCTGACGAACAGTGGGCTACGCATCAAGCTAGTCATCCTGCCAGCCGAGCTGACCTCGCGACTCGATGTCCATGTATCCTTTCGCCAAGTCACATTTCACAGTGAAATAGACGGCGTGCCCATAACGGATGTCGCCGTAACAGGAAACTTCCTGTCTTATGGGGACCATGTACAGGATGCTGCCGCGGATGTTGATAGCATCGTCTCAGACTATGCTCTTGGGGTCTGGAACTATCTGGAGTCCCCATCCGGAGATGCCGAGCTTCCTCGTAATTGCCTCGCCTTTGTATTGATGCGAACAGTAGAGCCAGTGCCTGTCATGAGCATTAACCACCACTGGTCCAAGAATCCGTGGCGCAAATATTCGACTGGAAGCTTCGTCGAGTTTCGACCCGAATTCTTCACTGATTCTTCTGAGGCCCGCCTGCCCTTGAAACGATTTGTGGAGCTTGTATCGCTTTGATTACTTTTGTGGTCGAGTGATACTGTCACACCATTCTTTGCACAACGTACCATCTACCAGTAATCAAACTTACATCGATGATGAGTTGGGCTCGGCGCCCCTCGTGTATGTGACTAGTTCGGACTCAATAAACACTACCGAGAACTTACTAATACCAGTTTGAGATTGAGACTACCAAGTACTTACTTACAATACTAAGTTATTTCTTAACTCGCATGACCGCAGCTATCGGTGTTGATCTCGGAACGTCAAATTGGTGAGCTTTGTTCAATGTTTCTACGATTGGTACTCACACCTGCACTTCAGTTGTGTTGGGGTGATCACGTCGAGATCGTAGCGAATGAACACGGGAATAGCACTACCCCGTGTCATATGTCCATGGTGGTCGATGATTTGTGCTTGATAGGAGAACAAGCAAAAAGCCAAGCACCCTTTCACGCAGTCACCACGCAAGCCCTCTATGAGCTGCCTTCCTCATCATTGAAAATGCGTGAGTAGTATCTTTAATGCCAAGCGCTTCATCGGTAAGAAATTCAACGACATTGAGGTCCAATCGGTCATGAAATACTACCCGTACGACCTGATAAATAAGGAAGGATGGCTGTATGTCTGTTGAACTTCATCGAAGACAACGACATTTCGTAAGTAGTCCAGAATGCATCGCTTCAATGTCATTATGATAATAATGCTTCCCTTACTGGCAGTCTGCAGAAGAAATATCATCAATTATCCTGACAAAAATGAAGGGCCTAGCAGAAAAATAGCTGGGCGCACCATGTACAGATACTGTCATTACGGTTCTACAGCCCATTCAAGACTCGACAGACGTGGTACTTAAGCGAGCAAGAAGCTACAAGTGTTCGAAATTTAAAATTTACAGCAGGTCTAGCCCGAGCAAGGCCGGGCCATCGATGTGGGGATTCGGGAAGCATTGTCCGGAGCCAACTTAATACTGCTGCTCGTTCTTTCAGTTTATAGTTCTGGATACTTGCAAAATGACATGAGAAAATAGGCTGCACCAGATGATTTATCTAGGAAGCTGATAACCGGTAAATGTACAGATCGGTTATTCCTGGTGCAGATCGAAGTATAGTTTTCACAGCACCCTCATAGCCATCGTCCAGGGAGGGATATGGCGTGATGAAGTCCGTAATATGCGCGTTGTGCACCACGCGACCAAGCAGCATCAGGGCAGCGACCTGCAACAAGCATCATTTTGAGTTCGTTCTTGGTTTAGTCTCAAGGGTTTAATCCTAGCAAGTAAAGAACTTCGTGATGCACTCGCCCTCGGTGGCCACGGCATATGAACTTGAAAGGGACGGAGGTCGATATCCATGGGCCAGGTGCTGTAATGTCACCCTTCAAGCAACCAGCTAAGTTCCTGAAGAGAAGTTTGCTTATCGTAGTAATACACTCCGTTTGTCTCGTTGATTTGCTTGTAAGTAACGGGCTGCGATGGTAACCTCTCGCACAAGGATGATTGAAAATAGAAGCGCTGGATGATTGTCATGGGCCTCCGCGACAGAAAACTTGCGCAACACGAGTGAGAAACATATCCTCAGGTGACTAGAAAACTCATACCAAGATGCAAAGCAGGACAATACAGCCATCGCACCTCATCGCAACCCCAATCCTCTCAAGCTGAGGCACACAAACTAGAACTGTCAACGAGACAATTCAGCATGCCAAAGTGCGATCCCAACGATGCCCCGATGATGAGCAACGGCCCAATTATTAACCACAATGCTGGGAGCCCAAAGATGATTACCTTGGCAGATATGAAAGAAACTTCCATCTTGATTGCGATAAGGCCTGTAGCAGATATCAGTGACTGCAAAAGCGATAAACAACGAGTATGATGATATACCAAGTATTAGTGTCAGCGCCTCCGCGCTGGGAAGCAGCCACGCAAAGACAACGAAGAAACGGATGACACCAGGAAGCAGGCTCATGTGCCAACCAATGAGGAATCCCCTGGCAGCGAAGAGAAACTCTAATACAACAGCAATGGCCGTTGTGAGATAGACAGCGTGAAGAGGGGCCCATGGGAAGAACGCGCCAAGCGCTGCGATGGACCACATCCCACGGTTGATAGTGAGCGCAGCGAGTTGCTGCTGCAGTTGGATGCCATAAACCTCTTGCCTGAGATGCGCATCATCCGCCCAGATGATCGAGACTGTCACAATACCGTAGAGAGAAGCGACAATCTGAATGATGAAAGACAGGTATGCAAGGTAGCCTGCGTCGCAGACGGAGTGATAAAGATCAATAAGCTGCGTGCTGAGCCCAGGGTCCATCGACATCACGCCGACAATCTTTCTTGGAGTTGCAGTGTAGGTGTCTGCAAGCGACGCAGCAATGACGGTGCGCTTCGCTAGACCTGAGTCCAGCTTCAACACCTCGAACAGAAAGAGTCATGGACGCAACCACTCACCTGTATACCGTTGTTCTGCAACATAATTACAAGTGGACGTTTCCGTCACGCCTGGGTCTTCTCTGTCTTCTCTGTCTTCACCATAATATCTCACGAAGGAACTCTGTAGTCTTGACTGTTCGATGGCTTCAACGACCTCGTTGGATTTCCCGATGGAAAGAAAGAGAGAGGCAATGACCCAGGTCTGGCACCATCCAATTGCCGCAATGATAGGTGTTGCTAGCCAGGAATAGTTGATGATAAACTCTCGAACACTGTCCGTCCACATCCTTCAAGTATAAAAGTGAAATTGAACGGTACCGTGCACCAGGACTGCAGAGGAAGTCTTGCAAATTGAAATATCGAGCTTAAGATCCGTTATTTAGCGCCGAGTACCTCACTGGTTGAAAGGAAGCTCCGCCAAAAATAATAAGCTTTTAATTGCCAGCCGGGGATAGTTCCAAATTTACCCTTTGTATGATAAGCATTACCGCAGCTTTTGCAAGGTTGATCAAGGCCGAATGAGCAGCACCTGCAGCACTGTAGCACCATCTATTTCGACAGAGCCCAATATTATTGTGACAGTTGACTTCGGGCTGAGGCCGCGCGCGCATGAGCGGCTGGAATCATGTCCCAAGACCATGATGCGGCTGGGCTGAGCCTGTAAGAATGGCCAGATCCGCGCTGCGATGGAGGACACTATGCATAGATGCCATACTAGTAGGCGGTAAGTGCAGGAGCATTTCGCTATCCATGTTACACGTTGGTCCTTATGCTTGCTCTTCTAGTACTCGGTAGTCCCGACAACAGGTCACGGTATTGTTCTTCATCCCCTTGTGTGGCCCTGTTCTTTGGGGCGTGGTTGATCCTCTTGCGGAACAACCTGGCAGCTTCCGCAAACTGAGGCAAAGCAGTTGGTATAATGTTGAAGTCCGAGAGGTTCCGCAAGTTCACCGTACACGGTCGAGTTCAGCGTCTCAAGTCAGTCTTCGATGAGAGAAGACAGACAAAGAAAGTCGAAGGAAAGAATGTAATTCGGTTGTACTGAACCATAGCGGATGGCATCAGTAATGGGACGAAAATGTTGATGAATCAAGTTGTCGGCAAGGTACGAGAGAGTTAGAATCAGAATCAGAATAGTCGTAAAGTCGTGCACTGATGTATGTAACTTGTACAGTAAGACAAATACAGACATCATGTAAAGATGGAGATGCGAGGAAGGTATATCCCATTTTTGAGAACTAAAACAGCGAAAAAAAAGTATAATCAAGGCGAAAACCATAACAGCCGGGAAGCGTACTGCGCTGCGTGCCCACTATGATATTACGACATACCGAGCTACCTGCCCGGCAGATAGCACCAAAATGCCTGGTTCAATGGCGTGGCTGGCCGTGCGCACCGTCACTAGATATATCATCAGCCAAACTCGACAAAGATACATCATAAATCAATAAATACCTTTTCAAGAGCGGGTGCTTCTCCCGGGATGGGTGGATAGGGATACAACACCAGAACCAGCATAAACACAGTCCATCTTCACATCCAGCAGCGGATGATCGCTCGTCCCTTTTTAAGAGCGTCAATAGAGGATCCTCGTAACACTGAAAAATCCCTACCAGCATGACAATACAGGAGTCCGTCCTCCTTGTGACCCCACCACATCACAGGTGACCACTCATCTACGAGGTTGGCGAGCGTCTGGAGGTGCCCGTATGCGGCTGGCTGGGGGCCGCGTGGTCGGCGCAGTGCGGAAAAAGTGAAGATACAGGCAAATATAAATAGCGCTATGCATAAGGTCCAGATCTGCACGAGTGTGTGAGAACATGTAGTGGCTGTACTTACATGGACAGTAAATTCCAACCTGGTTTACAAACATGAATACAACGAAATCTCCTACAGCAAATGCATTGTTCCCCCCAGAAGCGATCGCAAAAGCGGTCCAAAAACCGAAATGGAATGCATACCCAAACATCCAGTCTATAGTGTTAATGAAATTGGTCAAGACAGCTCATCAAAGATAGTCGCAAATGGCTCACGTAGCACGGGCTTCACAACGAAAAGAAAAAGACCGAGGGGATTGATAAGAAACAGTTTCAGGGGGTTTGTCACTGTGTGGAGTCCTTTCCTTGCTGTAGCACATCTCCACTGCCTTTCATTTTGAATGACATTCGCGATGAGCTCTGCGCAATGCAGCCCAAGTGTCAATGGTCCCTGTACAACCGCGATGTTGACAAAAACCAGAATCCACAACTGAAAACTGATAGTATCGTCCTTTTTGGCCACAATGTATCCCACAGCATAAGAGCTATTGAAATCAGTGAAAAATGACCACCATTTCGAGGACGACGACGAAGGGGACAAGGTGTATTTGTACCTGACGAGCACAGCCCATCCAGCACATGCCACAACGATCCCCCAAAGAGAAACGACAACTTTCTGGATGCGAGGGTGAGAATGCCACGCCGAGGGCTGCGCTTCTGATGGCTTTGCTGGACCTTCAGCTATGTCCAGGTCGGACACGCTACGCATGCACTGGAAGGACGCTGGAGTCAATTGCGTGTGGTGAAGAAGAGCAGCGGTGAGGTCGAAAGGTGAAGAGCTCCACGTCAATATTTTGACGGCTCGCATCCCTGCCAATGTGATTATCACCTGCAGAAAAAGGGCGATGCCCAAAACGAGGAGAGGGAACCCCACGATAAACCCAGACTCTTGGGCGAGCGAGGCTGAGGCGTAGGATATGATGAGGAGGACAGCCATGAGACCATTAAGGAGTACGCCGTTAGGGTTGCACCATCCATGAGCTGCGGTCATAAGGCGCAGATTAGTGCTGAAAATAAGCCGGGACTCTGAGGCTAGCGCAGAGCGCAACGAGATGTTGTGCATGAGGCCTATGGACTCCGTGCATAATGTGACGATGAAGCTTAGTGTCAGGGACAGCATCTCTGACTGTAGATTGGTGATCGGCGATATCACTTGAATCGTACCCGAAATTTTGTGAGTGGAAATAATAATGACAGTGCCTGTCACGATGCAACAGCAGCTAACGATACTCGAGCATGCCACTCCAGCCAGGGCATATCTGCGAGTCATCAGACCGCGGTTATAGAAATCGGTTACAGTCTCAGTGGACTTCGCGTTAGGTATTATCGAGTCGGAGTCGGTGAGGGCCACATGTACAAGAAGACTGGACATGCTCCCAGTATTCCAATCTGGTTCTTTCGGTTCGGAAGAAGCTGTCATAAGAGATGTCATGGTGCAGAGGAGGGCCAGCACATTATCATAGGCTACACTGGGGTGGATTAAATATAATCTAACACACCTTTGACATACCAGACATCGCCAAGTATATCGGGACTGAATCAGCATCTCCGCAGCTGAATTCATTGGAATTAGTTACAGTTTAACGTTCCATATCAATCCCCGGTACGTACTAGCTCGACAAACCTTGGTTAGGCCTGTCCCTGTTCCGCCTCAGGGTTTCGTACTTTAGTATAATGTTTGCGCCGGCTGATTGTAATGGTGTTCACTGCGGAGACGAGAAAATGGCCGTATCCAGATACTTAGAGTACGAATAGAAGAATCAACCATACCCTAACTGGATACGAGCGAAGTGCTTCAGTCCAAAAACGTACGAAAGGTTGGGCCACTCGAACCCAAACTGTACTCTAGTCAGATGTGCAATACTTATCGTCTAGGTTGAGGATTAGTACTGTCAGATAACCCATAAGAGATGGGCGCACATTATAGAGTAATTACTACTACTAAGTAGGGAAAACACTTGGCGAATCTTATTTGAATCTTTGGGCTGTCGTGGCGTCTAGATGGATGTTTCGATTCGGATGTCCGTACTCTGGTTAGCATCGAGTCTGGAGCGCTGCTTGGAGGTGTGTGATATCTTCATTCTATTGCGGTCTGCCTAAGGGAGCCTATGGTTTGGCGGTCAGTACCATAATATATCTGGACTACGATTTGGGTATGTTTAATTACCTCGTATCGCTTGATTCGCTTCGTCTAATTTCTCCATAAGTAGTCTGACATTTGCGAGCGCCGAAATTCTGAATTCCTCACGTCTAGTTTGAGGTGGTACAGCTAGATTACTAGGTACGGATTGTGTACAGACAGGCGCCTCGTCCAGGTCCAGATAGATTCGCATCCGCATGAGTCTCGATTTCGAATCCTGGGCTATCGTCATTACATAATGGTATGTAAAAAAACACCCCTCAACGTCAACCCACAGTCATTCCCGCTACCTTGTCACAGCAAGTCATGACAAGCAAAAAAAAGACACAAATAAGTAGAATTCAGGGGACGAGTGGCCTTTTCCGCCTTTTTTTCACTTTGCTCACTGTAAGAGTAATCAAACCGTGATAGTAAGTTACCGAAAAATGGCTAAAAGGAACTTTAAGGAAGTCGATGTTTTCCTGATGACTCGTAAGTGCGGTCATTCCTCCCGAACATTGTGCTGATATCTTTCAGCTGACCGCGGCTCTCGACGAATATAAGACTGGCGTATGGTGCACGGAAAAATTTCTCGTTCATACTTCCGTCCTGTTCATGAAGGTATCCTGGACGTGATGAAGAAAGTCGAAGCAGACCGCTATCATGAATCGAAATGCTGTGGCTTTAGGCGTCAGTGGGCAGGGGCCGCTAGGTATAAATTTATTTCTTGCAACAAATTACGTTACTGATACTCTCTAGTGCCAAGACGGAGCGGCTGAAGACTCGTGCTGTCACTTTCGAAGTTGTACTTGTATATAAGTGGTGTCGGACCCCTCGGTATTAATTTATCTCTCGCCGCGATTCTTTTCACTGATACTCTACAATACTTCTACTAGTTCCAAGAAGGCTCGCGCTGTTACCTTTACTCGTCTGTCTCGCGTCTTCATCTTTCATTCATCCATGCTTATTTTCCATAGAATCACGCATTTCTATTGCAGCTCATATCATTACTCCATGTTGAACGACACGTTATGACTAATGCTATATGATATTAACCCTGATTGAACTTGTCCTTACTGTGAGGCTGTCCGTCCACGGCCCACCTGTCCTGCATTACCCCTGCACTGTCCCTGCATTGTCCCGCACCATTCTAGCTCTGTTAAGCTCAGTCACAGTTCTGTCCCAGGTCTGGGACAGGCCACCCCTATTTTGCTGATGCAGTGCATGGAGTTGCAACATCTAAGACGTCAATGATCACGCACCATGCATCTGTTTCGGCGCGGAGATGATAGGTCACGGTAATAATAACTTCTGTAAAATGGTACATCGATATCGTGACGATACGTATGTAGTGTTCCTGCAACGTCTGCTGCATGTTCCTCGCCGGTCAGTCATCTCCGTCACTGTCTGATGCCAACACGTCGCCGTCACATGCAAACCGCTGCTCAAAAACTGCATTCCTCGTTTGCTTCTGACCAGGCCCTGCTGCTTTGCGGGCAGTTAGCTTTCTTGCGAGATCTTGCGCAAACCCACACATCGTCAAGGTGGGATTCCTGGAAAATACGTGAATTCCAGCCAAGGGAGGATGAGAACTACAACTCACCATGAGCCAGACGTTGGGAAGATCGCTCCTCCAGTGACATACTTTGGTGCGGGATGAGTATCGATGGGTTACGAGCGATCGAAATCTCATCAAGGTACTTACCGCATTTGAAACCCCTTTGACCCTGTAATCTCTATCGACGCAGCATTCATCGCCATCACCAAGCGGCAGCAACGATGCTTCATGCACAATGCCCTCCATCCTAATCGTCTCTCTGCCAGGAATCTCTGTCTTCCAGGCGCCAGGCTTGTCCCCAGGCTTTGGCTGATGCCACCATTGGACTTGATGTTTTTCGTCACCAGCCATCACCTTGATGGCGTCAAAAGTCGCTTCGTCCATCTGGTCCCACAGCTCATAGTCCTTCTCGTCAAGCATGACTTGTAGGTCACAGTTGGATGTGGGGTCCGCGCTCAAGGGCTGGTTCGACAAACGGAAGAAAGAATTTTTGTTGTTCTCACTGAGCTCACCGAGCGTCGCGCACACTAGGAGAGTGGTTCAGTAAAACGGCCGACATGGGTACGTTAAATGCTCACCAAAGATGACATACTCTTCTGACCCATGAAGTTGCTCTTCACTGGCTGTGCCAGCAAAATCCTGTTTGCGATTCAGCCAAGAGTATGGGTGACTAGGATGCATGATGGCATACTGGACAAAAACGAGCAGCATCTTCGGCATCCTGCTTTAGATCAGGCGAAGCGACAGCGGTAATCTGGACGTGATACTGTAGATGGGAGGTTGGATGCTGACCAGCCACGTATTCCGCTCCGATCTCGATGCTCTCCTGGTTAAGGTCGCAGAAAGCGCTCCTCTTCACACGAGCGACAACATGGGTCTGGAAGTGGCCCGTCACCATTTTCCCAGCCGATCCTGCAATATACTTGTTGTTCCGAAAGCTGTTGAGCAGCAGCGTCGTGTTCGGAAATGCTCCGGCACAAAGGATGATTTTCGTCTTGTTCGCTATTGGTAGATCCCCACGAGACGTGCGCAGAAATTTGACAGACACCTCATCATCGAAACTAGGAAGGGGAGGCGGGAATCCGACATCAACGCCGAGGTATTGCACAGCAGTCTCCGTTGCGAAAAGAAGTGGGGCGCCGGTGCCAGCCCGCACATGCCTCTGCTGCTGCTCGTACAGGGATAGAAGCGGGCCAGGCGTAGAGAATTTGGTAAAATGAATGGTTGTTGTCTTCGCAGTGGATGCGACTGCCATGGGCGCAGGATACACCTCTTGCGCTGACAATATATCTGCCTTGGCGACTGCTGGTTGCAAACGCTGGTCGATCTGGCATTGAAGCTTCCCATACGGTGGACCAATGTCTGTGGCCTTCGTGACTCGTAAAAGTTTAGTCGCATCTTTGAAGAATCTTGGCTTCTGTGCAGTTGTGACGAGAGAGTTTGGCCAGTTGCGCATCAGCGCAGCAGTTGGGCTTGGAGACCAAGCAGACCAGAAGGTCGAACGACCGCCAAAGAAAGGGCAAGAGCCGTGGACAAATTTGATGTCGCTCTCGTAGGTCTGTTTGGACAAAGTAAAAGGGAATGTTTCACTCGGGCCGCCAAGAGTGTATTTGAAGGGGAGCGGCAGGTTTTGGAAGTGATCAGGGAGCCAAAAATCTTTGACGAGCAGAGAGCGGTCAATGTGTTAGACATCACACCGAAAAAATGCTCACCTCCTCGTTCGAGACAAAGAATCTTCTTTCGTGGGTCCCTTTTTAACGTTCGTTCGATAAATGCGAGGGCCGTCAACTAACATAGCAAAGGAGATATGATTTGGCACAATTAGGAAGCGCCTTGAACAACGACTTACGCCTGATCCTACAACAATAAAGTCGAGGTCTGGGACACTCCTCCGGAGATCTTCCCATGTCTCGTCTGAGATGAGGAAATCTTTTGCTACAACTTGGCGAGCGCTTGGGGACTGTTACAAGAAGAAAGGTCAAAATTTCTGGTGAAGGATAAGTATATTGCGAATACCTGGATGCCTGGCTCTGGGAAGCCATAGTTATTGAAGGGATGAGTGATGTTTTCCTGAAAACGAGGCTGGAAGGAAAGCGGACGCTCGCGCTGAACGTAGTGGTTCTCCCGGGTTGGTGGGGCAGGATTGCTACTTGGCAAGTGGTGAATAGGGATCATAGTGGAAGTCATGAATTTGGTAGTCAGATAGAATCATCCAGTGCGTCCTTTTATCGCCCATGAGGGCCATCTGAGGGCGCAACTTGGCGTCCATTGGCATTAGTGCAATTCTAGGTGCGCCGACGAGTGCCCCTGTTCCTCGCACTAGTTGCTTTCTCAGCATCCAAGGAGTTTGCGTTTGATATGTGTCTGAGAGGAATTAGCCTGATGGGTTACTTGTAATTGCAATTGGGACATAGGCGCGTTATGCGTGTGCAGAAGATAACAAAGTTTGAGGTCTCCATCATGACGCAACAGGGACCTCGAACGTCTCCGTCTTCCGCGTGCACATTGTATTCACATCGTGGAACCTCTTGGACTTGGATCGGCGTCTGGCTTGCACTTGACAGGAAACTACGATACGAGCAAGACGGGAGTACCCTGTAGGAACTTCCATATCTGGTGTCGACCCTTGATCATGTGAACTATGACCGGCATCAGAAGAATGGTTTCGTACTTCTAAAGAACTCCCGGCAGACTTGAATCGTGACTGTGATCCAGCTTTGTCTATCGCAGATACAGCGAGGTTAAACAATAGTGGTTAGGCTGGGACCGAGCCAACGCTCGGTTCGGACGCTGGCGAGACTACCGCTGGGTAGGCGGGAAAACTCGATAGGCGGGCTGTTGAAAGACCGTGATATGTATTGGGATGGATAGCTAGCTGTGATAACGATATATGGGTATTTGATTATAATTGATAACAAGGCGAAATAATGACAGAAAGGCCAAAATTTAAATACTGGGAGTGGAGGGGGAACAACAGTGATGCAATCGAGAAACTGTTAAGATTCGAACGAGCGAGATGTACAGATAAAAAGAAAAGCACATTTGCCGCTCAGCTGGACGTGTGGTGCCGGTTCCTTCCGAGGAACCGCATATCTTAAAATAGGTCACCTGCAGTGTTGCAGATAAGTACGTCACACATGCACAGACTACAGTCCACTCACCACCAAATTCATCTCCCCTTTGCAAGAACATGAGCACTGACACAAACAACTCCCCTGCGACTCCACAGGTCGTCCATGTCCACCATGTGTTTCATCCAGAGCGAGACAATCATTTCCGTGCTACAGCAGCTTCCAGTGAATTCCTCAGAGCGAACCAGAAGAATTTTGGCGTACAATGTACGCAATGTGGAATGAAATTGGAAAAACCCTTGAAATGCGCGAAGGTGGTGGTCAAACATCTTGAATGTTGTTGCAGGCGTTCATGGAGTTTCGCAAATTTGCTTTTAGTGTAAGGGTGTCTGGTATTGCTCGAAAGAGGTAGGATTTGCAACTGGGACGAAATTGGAGTCTGAAGGGCTGACATTGAGTGTCTTGTAGTGCCAAAAGAAAAATTGGTGAGAGCCTAGGATCGACACAGACCGAGCTTACCCCCACTCCATACTTGGACTCGACTCGCACAGGTCCACCCACAAGCCGACATGCCATGAAGTTGAACGCTCCTCGGGGGCATTCAAATTCATACGGATGCTCCGTATAAATCCATTGCTCATGTCATATCTGAAAATTGGTATCATCTTCGACTGCGGGCTGCTCGACAATCCCCGGATCGGATTTGACATGCCGTTCATGGCACGCGTTGACATTGCCGTTGAACCGAGTGACATTCTCGACTTTGTTGGATTGTATCTCAACGACAAGGCCGTTGGGGAGAAGCTTCAAGGGATGTTGCAGGTCAATGCTATCACTTCGTGGCACCCAAGCACCCAAACACCCCTTACGCCGAAGCGGCTACAAACATGGCGTGAGGCTCGAGCAAGGTGTAACGCAGAGGGTTTTGCCAAAGATCCTGTTGGACTCATAGAGTTCATCGGTTGTAGTCATGTGAAAGACTCGGGGAACTCAGTGACCACTGAGTTACACATCCCCACTATTTTCCTTGACACGGCGAGGAAACGCGAGCCCTTCGTAAGTGTGTCGGCTGTCACGGGCATTCCGTTCAAGAAACCCATGAGCGCTGTGGCATGTCTGGAGTAGGTTCTCCATTCTTATTCCCTGGATTTTAGTTAGTGAAGTCCCTTACGACTACATTGCATAGGTTTATTAACTCGCATATTCGGGCGGATAAACAGAATCAGTTGCATTTACGGGCTGAGATGACAGAGCAAGACAAGGAAGCTATTCGCGCTGCAGGTCGCAATGAGGACACACTTCCCGCTCGTATTCTCAAACAGAAGATGCAAAGCGAACACCTCTATGCCAATATAGTGCAATTGACACATTAAATAGTCACATGTGAGTGTGTACATTTTCGGTGAGGCCTCACAAGTCTTTCTGAATTTTTGAATGATGCACTGAAACACGAGTAATCAGTGGGGCCTTCTCTTTTCCGCCCGCGACTCTTCAAGTTACCCTTGTACCATACTTTATCTCATCGACGGGGTCAAAGATGAGGCCTTATTTAGGTTGGATCCGTTGTAAATTCCACATTTTGGAGGTGCTTTCAGCTCTCTGCTCGAAGTCTTCTGTACGACTTGACATATATAGCGATAATCAGTCCCTACGATAACTAGTGTAATTTTTCATACATACTGCTCCTGTGATACGACCAGTGAATAGGCAGTAATGTGGGGACACATTCTGGATGCGGTCCGAATTAACATCTACTACTGTAGGCTTGTTGACATAACAATCATCGATGCTGTCACCACGCTCTGGTGTCCGGCAGTCCGAAGCTTGTGGTCATGTCATAGGCATTCAGGTAATCGGTCTGTGACAAACCAATAATCTCAATTCGGGGTGCTACCATGCTTGCGCAAGATGGACAAAGAAGTCGTCTCCAAGATCCGCTGCATCTTCGTATACTGCTCAACATCCTCCGTATTAGTGATACTCAAAAGCTCTTCCGCTTGTTTGACAACGAACTCCAGACTTGCTTTTTCAGAAGCTTTCAGAGTCCCAGGAAGCTTGTCTTCGGAGATCAGTGAGCGAACATTTGATGTATACCACTCGAGTGTTTTTTTCGCTCCAGTGAGTGCATCTTCAGCTATACACAATAAGGTGAACATCATCGCAGTCCTTCAAATGGTTCTGGCTTACCCATGTACGGTTGGTAGGAATAATTTGACTTGATGTCGTCGGGATTACGAGACGATTCAAGACGCTCGCTAACGGTCACCGCTTCCGTCCTTCCTGTGTTCTGATCGTGGGCAATGACACTGAGGATGTTGTTTGCATCAATATCAAATGTGACCCGAATCTGAGGAACGCCGCGGGGAGCAGGTGGGATTTCGGAAAGCTCGAAAATTCCAAGGAGATTGTTGTCTTTGGCCTGCTCTTTATCTCCTTCAAATACTCGGAAGATAAGAGTCGACTGGTTATCGGCGTAAGTCGTGATTGTCTGCGACTTCAGGGTAGGAATTGTGACAGAGCTGTTAATGAAACGCGTCATGACTCCGCCAGCCGTTTGGATACCCAGAGACAACGACGCGACATCTAGCGCTAAAACTCCGTCGAGTCTTGGTGATAGATCTCCACTAAGTATGGCAGCCATGACTGCAGCCCCAGTTGCAACAGCCTCAGGATTAAGGCTTTTGATAGGCAGTTTGCCACCAAATATCTCAGATATCATAGTTTGGATGCGGGGAATGCGAGTCGATCCACCGACCAAGACGATTTCTGCCACAGGCGTCGAATCCTCGCCCATATTTCGAAGCGCCTTCTGAATCTGATCAAGCATTCTCTGGAAAAGATCGCTGCACAGGGCCTCGAACTGAACGCGTGTGATTGACGAATAGAAATCGATTCCGTCATGAAGGCGTTCAACCGCAATGTCAGCTCGGGTAGCGGAGCTTAGTGCGCGTTTGGCACACTCGCATTCCGCACGTAGCCGCCAAAGAGCCCGAGGGTCAGAAGATATGTCTGTTACAGGGGGAACAGCATGAAGAGGTCAAAATGAAGCAGAAAAATAATCCCGACCTTTGTTGTGCTGACTCCTAAATTCTTGGACGAAATGGAAGACAAGACGGTCGTCGAAGTCTTCACCGCCCAAGTGACAATCTCCTGCCACCGTTTTCACCTCGGAGATTCTCTCGTCGATGTCGAATAACGTTACGTCCAGTGCGCCTGCTCCAAGGTCAACAACAAGGATTTTGTAAATATCTTCTTTGCTATCATTGGCGAGTGTATGGGCGATTGCCACAGCAGTGGAGTCGTTAAGCAATCGCAAAACCCCGAGGCCCGCCCGTCTCGCTGCGTTCAGGGTAGCTCGCCGTTGCGCATCGGTAAAGTAAGCCGGAACATTAATGACAGCATTTGTACATGGTGCGCCCAGGTGCGATTCTCCTAGACCCTTCATTTTGGTCAGGATCATTGATGATATTTCTTCTGCAGACTGGCGAAGGAAGTGTGATTATCACGATGAAGATGTAAAATTGAAGTGGTGTATCCTGCATACTTACGAAATCTTGTTGTCCTTGATGAAGATCAACGCTGATGTATGGCCGTCCTTCCTTGTTGATTAGATCGTACGGGTAGTATTTCATGACTGATTGAACCTCAAGGTCGTTAAATTTCCTGCCGATGAACCGCTTGACATTGAAGATACTACTCGCGCATTTTCAACGATGGGGGGAAGGTAGTTCACAGAGGCTTACGTGTTGGAGGGGTGAGAAGGTACTCGGCTTTTTGCTTGTTCTCCGATCAAGCACTTACTGGCAACCATGGACACATAACATGGGGTAGTACGATTCCCGTGTTCGTTCGCTATGATCTCGACATGATCATTGTTCCACACCCCAACACAACTGCAGTGCAGGAGTGAACTCGTGGATGTCAATCGCAAAAGCATCTAACAAGATTTGCTCACCAACTTGACGTTCCGAGATCAATACCAAGAGCTGTGATCATTGATATAAGGAGAATACGCTGGTGGTAATGTCACAGACTCACCACTGCGCAAGTACTATCGCAGCAGTAGCTGCATTGGGATGTTTACCGAGTCCGAACTAAGTCTCACGGGCACCGATACCAACGGGCTCGGACATTTTAAATTCACCGGGAGGTGCTCCGGAATGGCCAGTGAAACTCAAACCAAATATTCTGTACAACGAAGTCACTACTACCTGAGTTGCGTTAGATGATCAAGGGTCTGTGTATGAGGGAGCGACTATTTGTAAAAATTCCTGATCCGGGATTCCACTTCTTCAGGGGACAATTTGATATCTGCGGGATGAGCTTGTTGTCAAAGGAAGCAGAGTCATGTAAAAAATAGAGGAAGACTTACACTTTTGAGGATCTGGTGAAGTGTCAGTTCATTGCACGCGATAAAGGCAAGAAGCTCACTCTTGCTGAACTCTTTCTCCTTCTGCTTTTGCATAAACCGCTGTAACGATGGGACGACTAACTTTATCACTTCCTCCCCGGCAGCGCTTCTCTCCTCTGAATCCTCTTCTAATACCTTTGCCATCCGATGTCGTTCTCCAACCTCTTCAAACAAGTCATAAAAGCGCGTAAACTTCTCCTTCGCTGCCGCCTTCCAACCACTGCCGCTCGTCTTATCTCGTGCATCGTCGGCGAGCGCCTGCATGAGGGGTGAGAAATTAGCATCGAAGTAACCTGCCTTTGCAGTGCGCCACGACGAGGTAAGAAAATCCATCGTGGGCTTAGACAACAAGGAAGGCGTGCTGGGGTTTGTAGGGCGGGAGACGAGATGAGACACAAGATATGAGATATTATTGAGGAGGAACACAGAACCAAAGGGAGGCCGGCGTTGTGTGCGTGACAAGGTCGTGAGGCTGCCAATAAGAGTATTTATGACGTCGACTGCAGATCGAATGAATTGTTGTTCGGGGAAGGGAGAGAAAACGCAACCCACAGACAAAGTGCTGAATCAGGACTTTCTCGTTTACCTCTACAGAGCTGGACTTAGGAGTTTTCCCTACTTGCTTCCCGTCACCCATTTTCCAGTTCCCGTCCCCGAGCGCAGACAACGCAGACCCGACAGCATCCTGGACATCAGGTATGCGATTCAGATATTGCACGGTCTATATTTGTTTAGTATGAGTAAATGCAAAGCAAAAATACTGTCGTAACATACCGAAACAGTGATGTCCGCTAAGCTAACACTCAGGTCGCCACCCTTGCCAACAGCAGCGAGTTTCAAATCAGCCAAGAACTCGGGAAAGCTTCTGAGGCATACGCCACGGATCGCATTAAGCCCGTCTCGCAACTCGTTCCCCTCCCGTCCACGTCTTGCCAACACAGATTCCCAGCGACTCTGAGACATCGATAGAGCCGAAAACGCAGAAAGCGCATGGAACGTGTATTTGTGCAGGGAGCGCTTAATGAGGGATGTCAAAGATGACAAGGTATCCGTGAAGAGGGTGAGGAGAGGAGTAAGAAGGGTATCATAAGTCGATGCAATGAGGGAGTTACTGGACAGTGGGGCTAGTTCTGCAAGGAGGGTATATTCGGTCTGTTTATCCGTGTTCTTTTGAGAATTTGCAAAATACGTCAATGACAAGTAGAAAAAGCACCTCGGTGACTTTGAGCAAATTGTCTATCCAGATGCCAAATTCCTTCCCAGCAGCCACGCCATCTAGGGTTTCGGCTCGGTCCACAACTCGTCGTGAATGCATTTCGAGCGCTTTGCGACTCCAGTTCCCGCGCATGTCCGCATACCCTCGCTGTGCGTCCTTGAGCGTGTTCAAGATAGCTGAAGCAGCGGGGTGAGAGGGATGTGTTGATGGAAGTGGAAGAGTACGGAGGAAGTTGACAAGGGGCGTGAGGGAGGACATCAAGGACGGGGGGAATTCAGTGAGCATGAATGCAAGGCCCGATACTGGTGGAGATCCCGAGGAACCTTCCGCAACAAGCTTGGTATACAACTGGGTAAGCTTCTTCGCACCAGTCTCGATCAGTCGCGCCTGGGAAAGATTTTAGAGAGCGCATAAAATAGCGAAGACTGAATCTGAGTGTACTATATCTCGTGAATCTGCATCGGAAGACTTGAATGCAATGGCAGCATTGAGACGTTCAAGGATATCAATGTAGGCTTCAAGTTGACCAAGCTGCGGTCTGTTTATTGTTCAGTTATATCGCGAGCCTTGATCAGCCTGCAACGTACCCTCGTAAAACCAGACCTTCTTCTACGGCAATGCCATCTTGACTACTAGCAACCTCGTCGATCTTAAGCAGAGCACGATCGATGTCTGTAAATCACTCAGTGAGTATCGTTTATCAAATAATCTGGACTACCAACTATGAGCCCGTTGCTTAAGTTTCTGCGTCGAGTTGTATAGCGGAAGGATAGATTTCTCAAGTTTCATGAGGCGAGTGTCAAAGTTTGTCAGGATGGCTGTATCACTATGAATTGCAGTCAACAGTTGGCATAACTAGAAGTTACGCACAGGTCATCCGCTGTGAAATTTGGTGCGTTTTGTTGAGGTTTTGCTCTAACTGCATCAAGGCAGAACGGTTAATATCCCGTGAATCCGTCTCGAGGAAGAACATACGAGCTCAATCTCAGCACTATCATCGTCCATAATAAAATTGATTGCAGGGTGTTGATTCCGTGTCAACGTTCACGCGAACACTGAAGACACTGGATGAATGGATGATTGCCTGAAAGACCGATTGGGATAGTGGTTGTTTATGTAAATTTGGCAAGAGCTTTAGAAACAAACAACGAGCGCCGGTTTCCAACTTCCCACCAGTCTTCCGTTTACACTCCATGCTAGACATCGCAAGCTTGGCGTGCTCTTGCACGGTCGGTAGGCCAGCCAATACTTGTTAACATCTCTGTTATTAGGTCCGGCATAAATTTGATTTTTCGCTGCCATCTGGATCCTTGCCCGGTGCCAGACGATTTCCATGTCATTCTTGGGAAATGAAAGGGGAGCTGCTTCTGAACACCGGAAGATGGTTCTTGCAACGAAACTTTGGCGTTTGCCTGATTTTTTGTGGGTATCAGCTATCTCATTCGCTCGTTGTGTCACTACACTTCTTCGAAGTGTGATTGTAGGGAGAGCACCATATCTTTTTGTCCCCATTCCGGAGTATCAGGGTTCCGTGATATTTCAAGAGATGATTCGCATGAAGAAGGCGCAATGCCTTCTGCATCTGAATTTAGCTATCCTCTGCATAGGAGCTCCCGCAAACGCCGTTCGCGTTTCGCATGTAAGGGATAATGAATTCCGTCAGATGACCCGTGGTACCTGGCCCTCTGTTTTGCCCATTTCTGACATGTTCTGCAGTGTGGTCCACCAGCCGCATCCACTTTCCAGACAAGAAGGTTGCGAGTCGTAACCTTGACTAGCGAGAATGATCTTACTAGTTTCAGCCTCTCGGTCCAGCACCATCTAAAGTTAGAATTGCTTGCGCAACACGGGGCTATCTCTTTTTCTAGATGCCCTCTCCAGTATCTAACTTCGGTGTCCGCTTCGCAGCATCCGGGATGGATATCGATCTGCCTCTCACTGATGTGGGCCTCAGACCACCGTTAGCCTTGACGTCATTACATACAGAGATGCCCATGAACAATCCTGTGGCGTAGAAATTCTTCTTCGAACCACCTATGACCGAAAGGAGAAAGTCGAGCAGCACATTTGCTATGCACAAGCACCATTCTTAGTCCCAACACAGGCTTGAAGAAGTTCCTCAAGAGCTCTGCATCCGCATGTTCCCGAAGACAAGCGTGCCGCTGGATATTCAAGGACAGGATATGGCAATGGCATGACTGCTTTCGCTCTATTTGTTTTTCTATCATACTGACCTCACCGGGAGCCTCGGTACTTAACATCGGTTAGTATTTACTTCCTACATTACTGGAGAGACGTTTAAATGCTATATATAGGCTCGTCTCCGCAACCGGATTCCGATAACGACTGGGGATCGCAGTGGAAAAGAGTTGCACTACGTCTTTCTTCCTTCACGGGCTGCGACAATTCTAAGAGCCGCTCGACGTTCTATTCGGGAGTAATTTGTGCACCTAGATCGAATGTTACAGTTGCCTCGTCAAAGTCCTGGTCCCGGCTGTTATATACAGAAGGGATGAGAGTCATACTTATAACATATCTTCGACGCCGTCAACACAGCCGAGATGCGAATGCATGTCGCGATCAGTAAAAAGCACTAACAAAAATAGCTAATGAGGCGAGGTACAAACGCGAGCGAATAACGCATGCATGCCCATTAGATGTTCGATAGATTGAAGATTGATCAACGCTGCTTCTTACTGTGGATCTTTACTAGGCCTGACTCTGTCTCCCACAGCCCTATATAAATACCGGTGTGGAGCCTCATCTTGCACTGGTTCCAACATCGCACACAGCATAGTTATGCCTCATGTGCGACCTATTTCCGCACTTCAAACGACTCTATCTTGATTGAATGAAACCTTATTAGATTATCATCAGCGCTCAGCCTTTTGTGGGGTGATTCGAAGAATGCTGCACGTTCGGTTACATTTGCCATAACCTTGTCCTCACAATACATACATAAGTAACGGGATATGGAAGGATATGCGGTGGCCATGGGACCGGATAAAAGTGAGTCCGGGAGAGGTTTCGACACGTTACTCCATCTCTCCCCATCGTTATCCCACAACTTCAACTATCAAGAAATATCTTTGAAATGAGCATGACCCGAATAAAACGTCATCGCCAGTATTACCTGCATGACGGCAGCGTATCATTCCATGCACGTCTTCATTTTGTTTAATTATGATGGTCCTGAATCCTGATAGACTTGTCGTCGACCAGATCGCCGGCACCCTCTTTCGTGTACACAAATATTTTTTTCAAAGAGAGTCGGAATACTTTCGGGAGGCATTCGAAGCAGCTATGCCCCAGGGAGATGGTCACTCCGACCAGGCAGCGTTCAGACTCGATGACGTCAAGGTCAGTGAGTTTGAGCGACTGCTGTGGGTATTCTACAACCCGTGAGCCCTCTTTCCCATCGCATGTTTCCTGCACTGAGGGCTTGCAATCAAAGGCAATATATGTACGATGAGCAGCCCAAGGACCACTGGATCACTATCCTTGACCTGGCTACACGATGGAAATTTCCACGCGTGCGAGACCTGGCAGTCCGTCAGCTGCAAAAGCTCGACATCAAACCTGTCGAGCGAATCGTCACATATGATAAGTACAACCTCGACAAATCTCTCCTCTTACCCGCCTACATTCTTCTGTGTAAACAATCGAACCGCTCTATCGAGGACGGCGAGCAGCTCGGCATGCCTACCGTCCTCATGATAAGCGAGGCTCGTGAGTGTGCACAGAGGTTTGCAGCCGAGCAAGGATGTTCTAGCCCCACAAGCGCTGATGCTGAAGATGAAGAACTTGCCGAGATTTTGAAAGGCGTATTGGGTCTGAGCTCAGACTCACAGGCTAATGGAACGGATGTTGGGTGGGTATAGGATGAGGAGTTATGAGGGGGACATTAAATAATCATCCATACCCACGAGGAGGTTCTGCAACGCTAAGCACTCCGAGACTGAGTAGGTTAGTTGTCACGAGCCTAGTCGATGTGTATGTTTGGCAAATTATCGATCAACGATGTATTGTATCAGCTGTCTGGCATGAAAGCATATAACATGCACGTGTGGACTATAATAAGAACAGCGCCCACAAACGTCAAGAAAGGCTCGACACGTGTTGATAGTGGCGGCGGCTTATTCTAGAAGTTGCTTCATGAAAAGTTGGCTCTCACGCTGCACAGGCTTGACTCTTTCTTCCTTGCCATCATGAACGTCGCTGGTCCCTCACGACTGCGTCCGGTCCCTGGTCCAAGAGAAAGAGACAACTACGAGGAGGATCTTGCCCGTATGATCGCTCAACTTGAACTTGCTGACCTCGAGAGATTACAGACTGTATATGATAACAAAGAGCGTCGAGGAGGACTCTCTGACCGTGAAGTTGCTTTCACATTGTTGATGCAGAATGCTCGAGAGCTTGCGGAGTTCAATTCTGATCGGGCCTTTGCCCAGCGACTTGCTGTTGAACAAGGTGGAGAGCCTCATCCGGCGCCTAGGTAAAGCCATGTATTGCATAATACACCAAAGCTCACAATGAGTAGGCCGGCAACAGTCGTGCAACGAGGTGTTGCGCCCCAACCCGCCATCAGAAAGTACGCTTGCAAGTGTAATACTCCAATGGTGTTCCTAACGATATTTTCAGCACTACATCACAGGCGCAAACATGGGGTCAATGGTTTACATCCCTTTTTTCGGCGCCCAAATCCGGCGGTCAGACCCCAACAAATCCAGTTCAAGCGCCCACCATCGCAGCTAGAGCTCCTCCTCGGTGAGACATATTTCCGCCTTTAATATTAATGTGCTGTTACTGAAACCATCATAACTAGTAGGGCTACCGGTCACGACTGTGTGATCTGTCAGGATCCTATCTTCGGAGCGGAAGTTCGGGCACCATGTGGTCACTTTTATGATATCGGCTGTATCACCGACCTATTCCAGTCAGCAACACGCGACGAGAGCCTGTATCCTCCTCGGTGTTGTCGTCAGAACATTCTACTCCCACAAGTTCGACCTCACTTGACGCAGGCAGTGCTTACTGAGTTTGAACTCAAAGCTCAGGAATTCGGAACCCTGAAGCGCGTTTATTGTGTTGCACCAACGTGCAGTCGTTTCCTCGGGCCATTATATGAAGGGTTCTTCAGCAAGGTCTTTACATGCCCGTCCTCTACATGCACGACGACGACATGTGGAAAATGTCGCGGGAGATATGAAGGATTCACTCACCTCTGCACTCCCGATGTGGAGGCCGAGCAAGTGCTCGCCCTAAGCCGCACCTCGGGGTGGTCACGCTGTCCAGGCTGTGCTCAGATGATCGAGCTTAACATGGGGTGTTTCCACATGACCTGCCGATGCAGGACGGAGTTTTGCTATCTGTGCAGAGCACTCTGGAAGTCCTGCAGGTGTCCGCAGTGGGACGAGAACAGGCTGCTTGCTGCGGCAGAGCGTCGTGTAGATGCTCAGCTGCCGCCCGCACGTCGTGCGCAGCCTGTTAATCCTCCCCAACAGGCACCTGCAGTGCGCCGACCAGCGCCTGCTGTCGGCGCTGTCAGGATCCAACCTGTTAATCCACCTAGGCCAGCGCCTGCTGCCGGCGCTGTCAGGATCCAGCCTGTTAATCCAATCAGACCGGCACCTGCAGCAGCGCCCATACAAGCACCAGCACCCCCTCCTGCCCCACCGCGTCCCTGGGCCACACTTCTCCGTGAAGAGGCACCAGCACCAGCACCTCCTCCAGCACCCTCTTCCCGATCCAGGACTCGTCGTGCTGAGGCGAATGCTCTATGGTTCACGGGAATGCCAGTGCCACAGCCCGCACCTACTGCCACCACAGCGGGCGATGGGCTCTCTGTCAGAGAGCGTATGATAAGGGAGACCATGGAGCGTCTCAGAGTTGATCATGACTGTGAGCACACAAGCTGGAAGTACCGTGGTGGTGGCGGACGTTGTGAGAGCTGCTATATGCATCTTCCACTATACCTCTTCGTAAGTTATTTCCGTCGCCTTGCTTGCATCCCTTCTGATCTAGCACTCGCTAGCGATGTGGAGGGTGTCAATTCCTCGCTTGTAATAGGTGTCGGCGAAACCGTCTGTGAAAAATGAATCCAAATTGCCCTCGGTGGGTCTCGATGCTTTTTCTGATCAATGCAAATTATGCTTTGATCTTGAAACGCATTGTTCCCAGGCACTGTACAATCCATAGTATAGAATGGACGACTTCTTTCATCGTCTGTGGCATGTCAAGGGGAGATTTGTACAATCACATTTGCTGGTAGCCGAAACAATTATTAGCACCCCGTCTTGGGCCTTGTGACCTCAGGAATGATTTGCGCAGACCATTCGGAGATCATTGTGCTAAGTAAACCCGTCACCAGTCTTAGAATGATCCAGCTGGTAGTCACAACGATACTTAGTGTTGATAGTATCTCAAAGGTAGCGACTATCGCACTTGGTAAAGCAGGACATGCCCAGCTTGAGGTTAGACTCTCTGTCTATGTCCTCGAGAGAATGGATTCGACATTTAGCCGGATCGATATCGGAGTGGTCGACTTATCTGTGGACTGTAAGCCTACCCTAGCTGGTTGCTGGATGGGATCCTGGCGAATTCATCACCATCTGACATAACTATGCAAGATATTAATGATAATGATACCTGCAGTCACTGGGTATGTATGGTACATGCAACTTTCGAGAAGTTGGAGCACTTCAAGCTTGGTGTCGACCATGTCCTAAAGGAGTCAGAGTGCAAGGTAAGGGTGTGAACGAGTCAACTCACAGGTGATCCGGATCTGACCTCATGAATTTATAGGACACCGAGAGCTTGACTTGGATCCAGGGACAATTCAAGCAAGGCTTGACCTAGATCTGCAGGTTGTAGCACTGTCACATTCCTTTTTATAGGTGTCCGTCGTTCTACAACTGAATGATTAACATAACAAAATAATGGCATAACCCCCCTTGCACCCAAATCATACGCCGCAAGGCCACATGTTTATCTTGATTTCTCTACTCCCAGACTCAGCGCCGTCCGTGCCTGCGACTCCGTCGTTCCGCTATACAATACCACAACTCGGAAGACCGAGTAGCTCCGGAAGCCTAACGCGAGTCCACTACGAAATGTACAAATGTGGTCAGCTAGGTGGGGGACACGCACCTCTCTAATGAGCTTACGAATCTTGGGATGGCGGGCCTCCACCTCTCCAATATCAAAAGCGAAAATTCGCTCATCCACCTCACCCACCAATATCAAATCATCAGAGTCGGGTTGTAGTAGGGGAGATGCAGCACCACTCTCTCACGGAGGCTGAGCAATTGGCATGGGGAGTGCGTCATCGTCGGGAGCATAGTGTTCTCCGACTTGGGGCGGATTTTCCTTTGGTGCTACGGTGCGTTGGGGACGGTGGGAGGTACATGATAACCCGGCTCTTTGTACGAGTGACACCCTTCTTCTCTGTCCGTGTCATGCCTGTACTCCGGCCCTTTGGATTCCCAACAGCAATACCCGGGAGACGGAATATTCCAGAGTCCATATTACTGGGCTTGATCTTCTTACTCTTTTTCTTCTCGGGTTTCACGATCGTGCTCCAGTTCGCGTCAGGATTGTCATCGAATGCGTATGCGGATACTCCGTGACCACTGCGTGAAACTGACGAGGTCGGGACATTGTATTTCGGCATAGACCTTTCCATATGTTGGGGTAATGGAGATGGCGTTGGTGATTGGTAGGGACGCTTCCTCAACTCGGGAGACACCAGGGCGTCGTCGTTTCTCACAGGCCTTGAAACTCTCTCGACAAATTCTGCTTGAGCTTGTGGTGGGTTGAGGGAGCCATGGATAGTGGAAGCCAGTCACTGCGGCATCGACGGAGGCTCTGCTTCGACCATCTCGCAAGTGGTACTGCGTGGTAGGATTCCTTCGCCAGCACCCGGGGGATAGGAAACGCAGATGACGCTTTAAAACGTTCTATGGAAAGCAGAAAACATGCATCATATGCTATGCAAGCGCACCAGGGTATTCACGATTACCAGTAAGACGTACGCTACGGCGAAAATGCGAAAAGTATTGATCAGGCGGAAGTAACCTTGGAGGAGTATTGACGTTTCTATGAGACGGCCTTGACGGAGAGGATTGATAGCCCACTGGTCGAAGGCGTGATGCATTCGCTGCATAGTCGCGGCTGTAAGGCGGGGATGACATAGACATGAATGGCACGTTAAATCGTGATTGCGACGTCCGACTCGTGTCGGGAGTGGATACATGCGCCATGCTTCGTTGCAAAGGAGGTTCCTCATGTGAATGTATTCTCGCTTGCTAACTGGGGGAAAAGGTAATGTTGAAATGCAACTTGGGGCGAGGCTTGAGTCGCAGATCGTGGAGGTCCTCCTGGGGAGCATTTGACGATAAAATCATAGCCGGCGTGTGAGAAGGTCTGATTTGGGACCCATTGGAAAGAAAAGAGGTAATATCGTGCTGCAAATAATGTCCTGGTTCAGCGCTGCTATTTCCCTGGGTTTGTACACAAACTTGATCCTCCCGAGAGACCCGGAGCGTATTCGACTTGGGCTGCGTAACTTTGGTCTTGAGTGCCTTCAAAAGAGCTGGTGCACGAAGCGGCTTGCGTTCTGCCTGAAATTTGAACGCATCCACAATTCGACCCCGTGGTGCCCGTGGATGTCGTTTTCGTCGTGTATCCTCTGAGACCTCCGGGTGCGGGGTTCTTGATTCGGGGGGCGACTGGCAGCATTTATGCGTGCGATGCTCCAGGGGTTGCGTTTATACTCTACAGCCTCGTGCCTCGAGGTCGAGCTCTTGGATGAGTTTGGAGTCGTTGGAGGGGATATTGGCTTTAGAACTGGTTTCGGCCTCAGATTCAGAGTTTGATTCAGAGTCGAATGCGATACGAGCTCGAGTACGATGGTTAAACGACCATGGGGTTTGTCTGTCCTTTAGTTCTTGGGGATGTATGCGAGTAATCGGTAGTTCATAATTGTTATGTGGCCTGGGCGAAAGCAAGCAGTGTTTAAATTAAGTACAAAGTGTAAGCGTTTGTTTGTCAACACCCTCTGACACAAACAACGTTCACTTCCCGAAGTGCTGAACCTTGATTCATTGAACCACGCATCTGCGTATTCGAGCAGTTCATATAATAGCCTACTTCTCTTTCTTTCTACCATTCCACTGACCAACTCGCATATAAGGCATAGAAGCGACGACGAGCACAAACATCACAGGTACTACTCACGCTTCTACACTTAGTATTACGTCACCAGAGCTAGAGCAGACGCTCGTTCTATTATCATCACATCGTTCTGTCCTCGGATACTTCCTACTTTCGCGTGGGGACCATGTTAGTATCATACATCATTCAGACGTCGTATTTGAGGGAGAGCATGGGGCGAAGTACGCGAACGTTATAGGCAAGATGGTTGAGAGCGTGCAGGCAGGCTTGGAGGAAGTGAGCGGGTCAGAAAACGATGGGGTGCGTAGCAATGTTATTATCTGACACGCTATTTACACGTCATTTCTAGGACCATATTCGCTTCATGAAGATACGGAGCAAACACTATGAAATCATGATTCGCCAGGTCAGTAAGAGATCTGCTTTCGATGATGTTTCTACTAACTACACATTGGCAGATGAAAGATATCTTCTCGCGGTGTTGCATGACCCCGCTTCATGAATTTACCTTCTTCCATCATATCTCTTATATCTCTGTTTGTCTTACGACTGTATCGGTAGGATCTTGCGATCCAAGGCATCTCTCATAATGGTAGACTCGCTCATTTGCTTTGCATTGTCATAGGCAGCAGACTTAGCCCCAGAACTTCGTGGCATATTATTGGCACCAGGCTACCACACTCCTCCACGCGTATGATACTACATTAACGCTCTGGCGAAAATAATTGCATCAGTGCTGGGACTCAGGAAGCAACGAGAAGAACCGAGCTCACTCCAGGCACTGGACACAGTAAGTAGGAACCATGTTCACTCTTGCCTCTCATTAGCAAGTGCCAGACAGATCACCAGTTACCTGGCAGCAACGAGTACAGTCGCATGTCACAAAACTTGCAATTTCGTTGTCTGATCCACAATAAAACAAGTAATCGTGGCCGTTGTTAAAACCGGAGAGAAGTCCGCACTCCACTTTGTCTGCGAGCAACCGTAAGCATGCGGTCTGAGATTCACACGTCCAGAACACGCTAGGTTGCAAGAGTACTCACGAGGTCTGTCGCAGAATATGCCGATGGGGGTGATTTTAGATGCACCGGTTGCTGCGCCAGCTACCACTGTGATAGACATGACCAAAGTGACGAGTGAGATGGATTTCATAGTTGCGATCCAAGAGAGGCTTGAGGCTTGATCGTTTTTTTGCCATCGGGTCGGAATCTAGTACGTTAGTTTTATACACATGTAGTATAGGGAGCGGCCAAAACATCCAATCTAGTGTGTCCGATGCTCGCGTGAATGGATGTTCCCCCGATGTGACGTTGAGCTCTTAATGAATTTTTTGTAGCAAAGTTGATCCGCCTGCATGACGATATCCTGAACGACCGACTTCTGGTCGAGTTCTTGCTCACTTTCCGAGTCATTGGACACATCTATCCACAGTCAAATCTCTCGTATCTATGAGGACCTACCACAAGTTGGCGACGACTACGTAACGCGCCCCACAGTGAATCTCGTGTTGACGGCGAAATCGATGAACCGGACATTTGCCAAAAAGTTGTGGCCGGAGGAAATGGATAGCCTTCATCTTGAGCTTGGCTTGAGCCGGATAGTTTAACAAGCGCCGTGTGACACGGGCAAAGCAAAGCATGCTCTCTTCTACGGCACAGCTCCAAGTTTCAGTGGATTGTTGTGCTACATAATTCCATTGTACGAACCGGTGGTGGTCGAAGGCGAAGGTCACGCTGGCGGCATTACTGATGATGAGGGTGAACGGCCTATAGGTTTTCCCGTGTGGGACTTGGGTACTGTTGAGATTCGAGGCGGATGTCCAATCAGTGGACATGGCCCGTGCAGTGACTTGCGGAGAATCTGAGTATCGGAGTTGTATCTAGTACATAAAGGACGAGCGGAGCTTACTGGAATATATAAATATGTCCCACACAACCAGAGAGTACGAGAACATAAAGTTCTCGACAGGTATTACCAGCTGGCGGTTGAATAGGGTGGCCATGCATGGGGACTTACCAAGTGATGCTAGGAACTTGCTAGCCGGGACCTGCAATGTGTTATATGTAGCCCAATGATCAAGTTGGCGGGAAAGGCAGCACGGCAAATGTACTTCTGGAAGGTCGCAGAAAAGGCAACAGTATATTCGGTGAGATCATTCCTAACCCTATAACGCTCACGCTGATAATGAGTACAGCGTCTTTTGAAACGGCGTGAGATCAGGCTTAGACGTGAGCAAGAAGGACTGCGTACCCTGCAGGCCTGATCCTTGGAATTTCTTGGGGCTCAGCCACTCCTTATTGAATAGGACCATGAATGAGTCAAAAAATTGGAGGGCTAGAGCGCGATCGCCGATTAGATCGACAACAAGGTCGAACCCAAAGCCAGTGATGATAATGATGAAGATGCAGCGCTGTACGCAGCGACAGGAAAGGGTTGGTTCTACTGCCACCGTTGAATCAGCTATTCACGTTTACAGAACGCGCAGACCTCGCCTGTTGTCGCTTCACCGAAGATATCAATTTCCAGATTGCGCTCTGTAAGTCAAATTTCCATGCCGGGTGCTTGATTAGCATGATCTGGCAAGTTTCTTGCATCGTTGGTAAGTTTTCATGCACGGGCTCCTCAGCCGCTAGCTCGTGATACGCACGGGGGGAAAACTACAGACCGTCCACATGATCCCATAATGACATTAACTTGTATGCCGTCGGCATGACCTTCGCCTTCAGCTACCATATGTTCGCACTAACGCGGAGTTGTATTTTGGAAGTGAGCATACTCTGCTTTGGCCATGTCGCAGGCCTGTTTATCTAGCTCAAGATGAAGGTTATCTATCCCTCCGACGACAAATTATGCTCACTCTTGAATTTTCGGCATATGTCCGGTTCATGGATTTCACGAGTTTCTCCTACGGCGCGCGTCACTTAGTCACCACCACTTTTGGCAGTTCCCCATAGAAATTGGTCTAGGTCATCGCTGGTAAGTTCCTATGCATAGCCACGCTATTCAGCCGCCAGCTCGTAATACCCAAGTCCTACACGGGAAAAACTATAGACCGTTCATACCTCATCAATGCCGCTAGCATGACCTTCGTCTTCGGCCACCACTCGTGTATACTACTTCAATTGCGCGATCGGGGCTGGCTCGTACATTGGGATTGTGTAGCACTACAATCCACCGAAACTTAGAGTTGTACCGTGGAGGTGAGCATACTCTGCTTTGCCCATGTTACACGCTTATGGATGGAGGTTATCCATTTCCTCCGGCAATAACGTTTTGGCAAATGTCCGGTTCATCGATTTCACCGTCAACACGATACTCCACTGGTGCGCGTTACTTACTAGTTGCCGCCAACTTGTGGCAGTTCCCCCATAGACATTGATCTGGACGAGGGATTTGACTGTGGATACGTGCGTGGTCTTGATGCGAACGCGTCCAGTGACTCGGAAAGCGAGCAAGAACACGACCAGAAGTTGGTCGTTCAGGAGATCGTCAGGTGAGCGGATCAAGTTTGCATATTCTTACAGAAATTCCATTACGGGTTCAACGTCATTGGAGGTGTCACGAGACACCATCTTGGAGCACTGTAACCATGCTTTTGAGGTCCTGATTCAGAAACTGAGGAACATCCTTTTATGCGAGCAGATGCACAGCTAGATAGGTGTTCCCTACACCACATGTATATAAACCAAAGTACTAGCTTTCGACTCAATAGAAAAACCCCATCAAGCCTTAGCCTCTCTTAGATCGCAACTATGAAATTCATCTCACTGGCCACTTTGCTCATGTCTGCCACAGTGATAGCTGCAGCTACCGGTGCATCTAAAATCACCCCCATCGGCCAACCCTGCAACCAACCTCGTGAGTACTCTTGTAGCCTAGCGTGTTCTAGATGTGTGAACCTTAAACTGCGTGCTTACGGTTGCTCGCAGGCAAATTGGAGTGCGGATTTCTCTCAGGTTTTAACAATGGAAATTCGTTCTTGTATTATTGTGGACCAGACGACACAATTCTGAGTTATGTGAAATGCAATTGTGCTCCTTGCTGCAGAGTGACTGGTGCTCTGTCTGGTCATTGTTAATGAGAGGCAAGAATGAACATGGTTATTACTGTGTCTCTACAACAGCACAGTGCCTGGGGTGAGCCTGGGTCTTCTCGTTGCCTCCCGAGTCCGAACACTGATGTGGTTATCCTCGCCAGAACGTTCATGAAGGCAATAATGTAGCATGGTACCCGTGGAGGAGTGCGGTAGCCTATTGTCAATGATATGCCATAGAGTTCTGGGGCCAAGCCCGCTGTCTATAACAGTGCAAAACAGATGAGCCAGTCCCCCATTAGGTATGCGTTAGATCGCGTCGCACGAGATTTCATCAAAGAACTCCTACACACCATATTCAGACGCTCGTGATGAGGGCAGACAGACTGCTTGCGTGATCATATACGTTGTGACAGCGACCACAGGTTTGCACTTCCTCAGTACAAGCTAGGAATTTTCGCACGTGTCGACTGAATCAGACGCGATATGCGGGGGAAAAGTGTAGCGGCGGAGCTGATAAAGAACCTGTGACCTTGCGAGATAGAGAACGTTAGCAAAGTAAGTACCGGGATCCGGGAGATTACCCGAAAGGCTACTGGAGCTGACTAGCCTGACATGTGGGAAACACAGGCGGGTCCTTGACGAAGTCTGCGGAGTCTGGGCAGACCTCTTTCCTAGATGTACGCAGAATTGCTCAGCCTTCAAGGGTGGCTGGCAGCATCGAGGCGTGCAATGCTCCAGAGGTTGGGTTTGTACTCTACAGTCTCGTGCTGCGAGGAGATATCGAGCTCTTGGATGAGTCTGGAGTCGTCGGAGGGGATATTGGTTTAGAGTAGTGCTGCCAACGGTTCGGCTCAGTTCGGCTCGGACCGGCTACATCCGGTTTCACCCTCACAAAATTTCAGACCTGGTCTGAACCAGCTTTGCTCGGACCGGCTCAGTGCAGTTATAGGTAGCCAGCCGGTTAGCCGGTAGCTCATTACTATATTAAGATTAATCATCATTGTACAAGTCCTCGTCCACTACTAGATAGTCCCACCAGTCCGTGTGTCCCAAGAGTTCGCGCATTGACTCTAGCACACGCAATTCTGCACGGAATCCTCATGTATGTTGCATTTAGGTCCTCCCCAGCATAATACACAGTGCCATGTTTTTTGTTAGAAGAAAATTGAAGTAGATCTCATTCCATGGCCAACTTATTGGTGCTGGAGGCTAGTTTTTGGCATAGAAGGCTCGCTCTAAAGGTCAGATCACCACATAAAATTCTGGAATGCGGTATGATGGTTATACATGATGAGAGAATACTAAAAAAAAATTCTCTGGGGCCACATGCTTGTCAGGATCATCTGCAATAAAAGAAATATGCCTCAGATGTGACAATCTATCCAAAGTGTTACATCAAGACTGTGTAAATCGAAACTCCACAATGCCAAATTGAAGTCCTTGCAACACACTAGTACGTACAAATGGTTGTGGACACTGCAGAGTGTGAAAAGGTATTGTGGCAGATGGGTGACATGGTGTGACAAAGTGTGTGAACTCTAGGGAAAATGCACTTTTCTGCACGGTAACTCTCCGCCAGACTCAACACGTCGAGTTTCAAGAGAGGGACTAGCAGATGTTGTACTTTCGATGTCAGGCTATCAAACTGTCAAAGAATTAAATTTTTATGTTTGTGTGTTGTGGAGTAATAGACGTTACCCCAAAAATGCGCGAACTCTAGTGGACATCTAGCACTAGGCTGTCAATAAAGGCAGCAATATCTTCTGGAATCAAAGTTGCATCACTTGTTATCATCTCCATCTCCTGAAACACTGTTGCACAATCTGTTCCTTCTGAAAAATTCAGTCCACGCTCATGTTGGATCAAAAACTTGAGAATCTGAAGTGCTTCCATGAGCTCAGGACTTAAATGGTTCCAATGCATGGTGATAGTCTCTTTACTGGACGAAAAAACTTGTTCACAAGGCACAGCAGAGCCCTGCACAGAATGAATATCCATGGCAAGAGAAAAGAGTGTTGGATATAGAAGCCGATTGTCCCAGTAAGCCTAAGTTAGTGGTACACAAGTTTTCGACACAATATTCCATACACATTCCAATAAATCAAAGCACTATTCAAGTTGCTGATCTGGGAGTCAAGCAAATAGGCATCAACCTCATCTTGTAAGCTGCATTGAGCAGTCAAAGGTTGTTGATGAGTTGTGGCTATGCCCAGTATGGTTTCGGCCCAAGTATCTTCTGACTTGGCATTGCTGAACACAAAGCTATTTGGTTAGTCAGCAAGTACTATGGATGATACAAGTAGAGCATTATCACCTCCGATAATAGTAAATCTTTTGCCCATTGTACCTTTTTGGGGGTATGTGATGAAAACCAGTTGAGTTTTATCATGGGGTTGACCACTGGCAGGAACACGTCAGGAATCCCATGAACACAAGAGAACGTGAACACTGACTCATAGCAAGAGCATATGCTGGAACATCAGCAATGCATGACCGATAATCATTGAGTTTATTGAGCCCTGGTTAAATTACAGTAGCGAGATTGGGGTCATCATCTAACTGCTTACTCCATATTTGCACCATAGCCTCAAATGCTGGAATAGCATTACACAATGTTGGAGTTTTCTCAGCTGACAACCTTTGTTGAAAAGCATGTGGGACCTGTAGAATGATGGTGAGATGGCATGCAAAACCCAAATTCTAACAACACATGCTAAGGACCTTGCAGAACACATCAAGTGCATCCTATTCACCACTTCCAAATTTGTACTTCTGGAACTCAGGAAAGCTGTCACTCGACAGAAATCTATCAATTCCTTGATGGCTGTGACTTAGAGAGCACACCTTCGAAGATGCATGTAGACACTTACTTCACGCAACACAATTGCACGTTCAACCATTAGTAATGTTGAAGACCAACAAACATCAATGTCTCTGAGTAATTGAAGGTCCTTTTGCTTCAAAGCATTGAGGATTCTTGTAAAATACTGGTGATGGAGGGATGATGCTTGAATCTGCATAAATTCAACCTTTAGTCATCAGATACAATTACAATGAGACTTACAACATGAACAACAGTTTGAACTGTGGCAATAGGATCATGATCAATAGCATCCATAAAACTCCATGCTTCAGTACCAGGGGGAGCACTAGGAATAAAATCAGGTGCATCTTGACTGGCAAAATTAATGTTTGTAATTGCCTCAAGTACAGCCTTGCAAGCTAAGTTAACAATATGGGGAAAACACCTGTAACCACTAAGCATGAGTTATCAAGCATCATTGGTGAATTTCTAACCTCCTACCGGATATGACATAACCTTCGATCAAACATGATATTGCGGTGGGTAAGCTCACACTCCAAGTGCATCATGAAGGTGTCATTATTTGCTGCATTGTCCATAGTAATCCACCCAATCTGTATAAAGAGTGTAGCAGTAAACACATCACTAATAACATCAAAAACGAACCTTGTCAGCTATGTCAATCCGATCCAACACATACAGAAATGCATAGGCAATATGCTCCCCGTTATGACGACCAGGCACACAGTGAAATCTGATCAAGTCAGCATGTAATCTCAGTGCATGCTTTGTAGTACAATCTAGTTCATTATTCTTAACTGCTTGGATCCAGTGGGCAGTAGCTGCCATGAAAGGTGTCAGGTTGAAATCAGACCACAAGTCCATCATCAACAAGATCTTGCCAAGAGAACCCTGGACAACACTCAGAATGCAGGCTAAATGGGAAGTGAGAAGCATACCGCCATTTCCGATGCCAACACATCCAGATATTGGTTGAAGGAGTCCACAAGCTGGTTCTTCAGTGTGGTGCGATGTGGAATGTCAGAGTCATTTAACTCTTCATGCAGCATCAAAAAGATGGCTCGCAAACGTGGACTCTCAATGACATTCAGTGACTATCAAGGGCAAAAATGATGAGAGGTCAACCACACGTACAACTAGTTAAATGAACTTACAAGATCATCACCAACAATAAACTCCAATGTGGCATCAACAAATGCTGCTGGTGAGAATGCTGCACACAGAATGTTGTTGTGAGCAGGTCCACCGGTCCCTGAATGACATTTTTGGTATAAGCTAATAGCTGGCTGAGCACACTTTTCCGTGATCACAATCTTAAGTTGATCACAAGCAGCGATCCACATGTCAGCATGAATTTCAAATAGATGGCGGCGGAGGACCCCCGTTGTAGTTGTGGGGCTGTATGAAGCACATTGCTCTGCTTGGGGTTGGCCAGCTGCTTTGAGTTGCCTACAACAAGCATATCTTGTCAGTCTGCTATCTCAAAGCCCTACATTAACTTACTTGCAGAATATACACACATTCTTCTCTGATGAACCTTGGTAAAAAGTCCAGACATCCCTTGCTCGTTGAGGTTGATTTGCGACGATTGTGGCTATGACGGCCAGCATGTGGAGTAAGGCCTGACAACATTGCCCTTACACGGTGTATGGACCAAGTCATTACAGGAACCCTCTGCATTGCAGGAGTACACACAGGAGTTGTGGGGATGACAGCAGGTGATGAAGGAGGAACTCCACAAAATACGATGCCTGGAAGATGAGCAAATGTCACAGTGTGATGCCAATGAGATGGAAGCTCATGCCTGTCAGCCACATGAGGTTCAGTAAACACAAGAGGCTGAACGGGAGGATGCATTGATGGAACCACAAGCTGCTGTGAAGGCTTGGGGGTTTCCAGAACCATGGCAATTGCAGCGGTAAAGTCTGAAAAAGATGGTGAGGATTAACACAGCTCACTGGGCATCATGTAGCTAACCTTCACTAAGAGATTCACAGACCTGAAAGGTTGTCTGGAGGGCACCATTTGGAAGAGTGAGTGTGCTACTACAACCATGGCCGCGGCCCCGATGACCATGGCCACCTCTTGCATCAGGCATGATAAGGCAGGATGAGGTGCAAGGCAATATCGAGACCAAGCTGCATGAATTGTGGGCCATAAATACACCACAATTGAGACTCAGAGACACCTCACCAATCATTGAGTCATGGACTAACCAATTTGAAGACACAGCATTCAACATGTAAAGATGTAGATGACTTTTTACGTTCAAGCAGCTGTTTTAAGCTCCAAAATGAATTAGCACACTGCAACTTATGGTCTGCTAGATTAAACTCACAGGCATACTGTCAAAATCCCTCTCTGTGTTCCTGAATTGCCCAATGTTAGACTTGGGGTGCTCAGGTGGGCTTGAAGGACTGCGGTGAGGCCATACCTGCAGAGTTGTGTTGTATTGCACCCGATCCAAGTCAACAGGTGGGCTAGAAGGACCGCAATGAGGTGATACCTGCAGAGTTGTGCTATATTACACCCGATCAATGTTATACCCACCTCCATAAAGTGACGGTGAGAGTAAAAACAACTCACATTAGCATCCTCAGCATTCACCCCAGCAGTGCTAATAGTCCTGGCCTTTTCCTTTTCCTCGTCCTCGTTGACCATGAGAGGGTCCACATCAATGCTACCTTGGATAACCTTGAGGTGTGTCTTGTTTGTAACTCGATTGCAGTTTTGAAGGGTTGAGGTACCCAGATTCGGGTTGCAGGGCATGACATGGAGATGTGACAGGATGAAGATTGGTTTAATGGAGACTGGCTTCTGGGTATGAGAAATGGCGAGGGAACAAGAGACATTAGGTCAAAGTCTTTGTGAGAAGTAGAAAGACACCTTTATTGTGCAGCCAAGAAACAGATAAACATAGAAAGAGTATCATGCATCAACAATCAGCTAAAGTGGCACATGCAACCAAGATATACAACACACACCTATCTCCAAGCCACGACGGCCAAGTTCAAGAGACAAATTGAATGATATATGTGCATGCTTTGTGTAAGAATCATGAGAATGCTGTGCATTTCAGATGAGCGTGAGGAGGCATGGAACTGACTCACAAATGAGGGCAATACTCCATGTCTGCAAAATGTGCTAATGGTAAGATATAGGCAAAGATAACAAAGACAAAGTGTCAAGCGGTTCATTTCCACTATCAGAATTAGCCAGAGGCTCAACCGCAGCCGAGCTGTAGAAAACCATAAACTTTGGTTCAAAGTCCAACCAATTACATAAGCCGTTTAGTCAGCTCAGTTCAGCTAAAATTTGGCTCGGCTTTGCTGGCTCACTGATTATAGCCGAATCATTGGCAACACTAGTTTAGAGCTGGTTTTGGCCTCAGATTCAGAGTCAGATGTGTTTTGAGCTCAGGTACGGTGGTCTAATGTTGAATGACCACAGATTTTGTGTGTCCTTTATTTCTTGGGGATGCATGTGAGTAATTGGTAGTTCATAATTGTCATGTGGTCTGAGCGAAAGCAAGCAGTCACCGTGTGCAAGCTTTGCATAGCAAAGGGTTGTGGAGATACACTGAGAAGGTGTTTTTCAAGGTATACATATAATTAGGGACGCTCAAAGTTGGGTGCACATGTCGCACACCACACACTGCACATGCACACAACCCCCCTCACACACACACATGTGATCAAACTACCTTAGATAATCCAACCTTCTCTACAATGCTGATTGCGCTTTACCTCCCTCACTCACTCATTTGTCATCGTCCGTTCGCATCATTACCATGGGGAGGAAGAAGAAGGACACCGGAATCACCATCCCTGAGATTACATGGACCAATGACTTAATCTGGAAGTTGCTGGCCGAGATAGAATTGCCAGAGAACAGAGTTGTATTGTTGGGCAAATGGAAGAAGTGCAAGGTACACTGACAACTATGCTATGTACCAGAGATAGCTCAAAATTCGCAGAATACCTCAGATGATAGCAAGGCTACTGTGTATCAGTGCATGGCTGCCGTGATTTTCCTGCAGTTCCATAACCTAAATCCCACTGTTACTGGGGACTGCGTCAAGTGCAAGTATGAGCAGTAAGTGTCTGAGTCTCCTATAATCTATTTTTATAATAAGTTCATACCATGCTTGTAGCAAGGATTCAATGGCAGTAAAGCATCACTCTGTAAACAACTCCACTGTACCCTCTGCAATTCCTGCATGGCAGGCAATATCCTGCAGAGATCCTCCATTTCCATAATGTCCCATTTGGTAGAGTGTAACAGCAAGCTGAGTCTGGACAGGTGTTTGTGAATTGTTGGAATTATTATAGAATGCAGGATGGTCTTCAATCAAATCAAGTAACACCTTGAACATGGTTGGGGAAATGCAAAGCATGCTGGTAAAGCAATGGTAGTCAGTCTGGCTTTGGGCATATTCCCAAGCAAGATGCAAACTGCCAGCTTTGGCAACAGGGGATCGGCCTTGCAGGTAGTGAGTTTGTTGGATAGCGAGAATACAAGATACATCACAGTGTAGTTGTAGTGCTGCCTCTTCGAGGGTTACTGCAGGGTGAAATAAAGTACAGAGAACTATGAATAAGAGGTATGAGTGCAGATATTGATCATGCAAAGTGTAACAAGTCATTCATCTGATTTAATGTGCTACACTGCTAATTGACTTGCTCAGACTTTGTTGATCATTGATTATCTAAGGTGGTTTGATCATGTGTGCATGTGCAAGGGGGGTCGTGTGTGTGTGCGGTGTGCAATGTGTGCGCCCAACTTTGAGTGTCCCTATTGTATATCATTTGTCAGCTGTCTATGTGTACATGTGTACTATTGGTTACCACAACTTCAGACAACCACTGGTTTGGACACTGTGCAATATCTCACTCAACTCTACTTCAAATCATATTCTGCTTGACCACATATCATTGTACACTTGTAATACACTATTGCAAGGTTGAATTTTTGAAATTGGTCAAGAAATGATTGAGATTCTTTCTTCTTTCCCTTGATACACGCTTACTACACATATCTCTTATCAGTGTATATTTAGTTCGGTGTTACTCAGATGCCTCATTGCTTATGTATGTGCTTACTGATACATACCTATTATTACGTCACACCCTGTACCCATAGTACTATGTAAACAGTAGCTAGGTGACACTGACTCTTCAGCTTAACCTACACTGATTTTCCTCTGATCACTTTGACTTCATTCTAAGTTACCTCTTCGGTACTTAGCCTTTACTTGAACTTGGGCATTCTTTAGACAGTTGTCTAAAATGTATTGACAGACCTTTGGTCTTATGGATTGATTTTTTGCCTGTGTTATACTTCGGCGTAACACAAATCCTCAAGAGTCACCAGAGTACCCTCATAGGCCTTATCAAAGGGTTGGCTCTGGTTATCCCCCATGGTCTTAGAGAGTCTCCAGCATGTTATTGTGGGTCCTGCTGCCCTCAGGTATGATAATCTAAAGCCTCTGGTGCCCCTTGCACATGCATTATGTTCTCCACTTGCCCTTATGTCATATCTCCCATGTTTCTACTCACACCTATGTTATCTTATCACATGTTTTCTTATCACACCTCATGTTTTCATCATTGGAGTTATGTTTGTAGTTTGTACTTACGTTATTCTAATAAAACATATCACACCCCGGTATCATCATTCTTAAGGTTCATGGCATTTTCAAATGTGTTTTGAATCCAGCCAGTCCACGAAGCATTTCCATGAGCTCCCAGGGACTTAACATCAGCAGCACCCGCAGATTGGAAGACCTTCCTAGATGAAATCAAGGACATCAACTTGGATACCTTGTAGGAGAAGGCGAAGTGAGTGAAAGAGAGGAAGGAAGCAGAAAAAGTTTAGAATGCACACATCACACAACTAGAGAGTCGGCAAGACCCTATTGAAGTTTTACATCTACAGATGCAGCAAATGTCAGTCAGAACCAATGCTACAGCCCCAAGAACAGCAGCACCTCCAAGGGTGAGCAGAAACATACCTCCTAGCACAGCAGCATCAAGGAGACCAGTGAGATATGTAGCAGCCAATCAAGGGCCAACAAACCAATGTCTCCAAGGACAATCTCCCACACAAGAAGAACGAGACACATTACACACTTGCATCAACAAGTTACAACACCACGCAGATTCAGACGCAGGACACACGGTGTACAGGGAGCAGTTGAGACAGTGGACAGTGAAATGGGGAGAAGGAGCTAGGTGCATAGAGAAGACACCCTTCCCACTAACACCAGGAGAAGCGCAAATCTGTTCAGGCGAATGTTTCAGGTGTGGTGCACATGGACACATCAGACCCATATGCCCCCTTCCATCAGACGCACAGCTTCCAAAGAACAAGAGTACATGGTGCAGCACATGCATGTGAATCCTGGGTACATTCAATAGAGCTAAAGCCCCACAGGTCAACTTTGTAGTAGAAGGAACTCCAGACTAGGGAAATGGGAATGGGTTGTTGGCATAGAGGACAGCTGAATGACCCACAAACAGTTAACACCTCAATTATCTGAACAATCAGTCCTTGTGTGCAAGGAGGATACACACGAGGACCAGCCCACTTTCCCTGCCGAATGTGTCCATTATACAAACCATGTTCTTATGCAGCCTGCTAATGAACAATTTGATATCATTGACCTGTATTCAGCAGATGATGGAGAAGCTTGCCACAGCTGCCAGCCCTTCCTGCAGTACATCTCATTTGCAGGACCACAAGGAGAGGTCATACAGGTTAAAGCACTCTTTGATGAAGGTGCAATGGTTAGTGCTATGTGCACAACAGTCTTCGACAGCATAAAGCACTGGCTAGGGAACTGGGAAGCATCAATCAAGTGATTGTAAATGACCATTCATCAAGAGTGACATGGAGAGGTGAGGTCACAATAGCAGGAGTCTGAGTGCAAGGAGAATTCAAGGTCTTTGATAGTAGTGGGGGATGGAAGTTCCTGTTTTGGAAAACCAATGTTACATGCATTCAAGGCTATACATGAGTATGAAATGGACACGGTTCACATAACAGGAAACAGAGTCTTGACGATCATACACAATCAAAACCAAGTCACACCTATGAAAATTGAGATGCTTGAAGATGAGACACAGGACATGTCAGCGGAGAAGAAAAAACCCCAAGAACACATAGCTCCAATATGCATCCTAACAGACGATGAGCAACTACCAGAAGATACAGCAAAAACACTATGCGACACCATACCGGCGAACTTCTTGGACAACAACATGGAGGTCTTCATGAGAGCCACAGACCCCAGGAATCCAAAAAGAGTGGCTTATATTGTGAAAGCAGTACAAGTTGGCAACAATATTAGCCCCAAAGAACATGAGAAGGTTAAGGAACTCGTTTCACAATACGCAGATATCTTCACATGTTCGCTATCAGAAGTTCTACCAGTCCCAGAAGCAGAACACTGCTTGAACATCCCAGAAGGAACCACATTCAACCTACGAGTCCATCAATGAGCTCTCATGCCGCCACAAGCCCAGTTCCTACACAGAAAATTTAATGAAATGCTCGCTGTGAGCATCATTGAGAAGACACATCCAGAGCTTGTCAAATATTGCACTACAACAGTTCTCGCTCAGAAGGCACACGAACACGGAGGACTCACCCTGGAGGAACTGCAATATAAGGTCAACAAGCAGTGTATGGAGAAGGGTAGACCGCTAGCATTTGCACTTCCAGAGAGAGATGCACCAGCCGAAGTACTGCACAATGTACCAACAGGCCTGCAGAAATGGCGCATATGCCAGAACTTCAATGAAGTCAATTGGCATACAGTGATTGCACCAATGCCTCAAGGAGACATTAGAGCCAAACAACAGCGATTGAGCGGACACAAGTACATATCAATATTTGATTTTGCATCCAGCTTCTATGCTGTAGAATTTCTACAGGAAGCAAGACCATACACGGCCTTCTATGTTGAAGGACACAGATACTTCTGGTACAAGAGAATGCCAATGGGCCTCACAGGAGTGCCATCAACCTTCTGTGAAATAACAGCCATGCACCTACATGACCTACTCACAGACACAATGATGGAACTCTTCATTGACAATGGAGGATGCACAGCCAATTCATTTGAGGAAATGTTCAAGAAGTTCAAAAGAATCTTCCAATGGTGCAGAGAGCACAAACTGTCACTATCACCCACAAAGTGTCATCTGTTCATAACAGAAACTATGTTCACTGGAGCAACAGTAGGACTGCAAGGCATCCAACCTGATCAAGAGAAGCTCACAGCCATTGTCAATTGGAAACAACCAGCTGATGCACTCAATCAATCTAGAATCATTCTTAGGGCTAACAAGCCATTTCCGCGATCTGGTACAGGGCTATGCAAAAAGAGAAGGACCATTAGGAGATCTTGTCAAGGCAGTGCCACTCAAAGCATCATATTCAAAGACCACTTACCGTCACATCATGCAAGACTTCAAACTTGATGAACATTGGATGGAAGCACATACAGTGGCATTCCTAGATCTAAAGGCAGCCCTAGTGTCAAAACCCATCCTGCAAGCACCGAAATACAACAGATCAAATTTCGTGGTCATGTCAGATGGATGTCAAGAAGGATTTGCAGCTGTATTAAGTCAATGAATATGACACAAGAAGCCATCAGGCAAATGGGTAGAGCACCTACTCCCCATTGCCTTCACATCCAAATGCACATCAAAAATGGAACAGAAATACAAACCATTCATCCTCGAGTTTGCAGCCCTGAAATTCGGACTCGACAAGTTCTCTGACATTATCTAGGGTTTTCCGGTGGAAATAGAGATGGATTGTCAAGCCCTGTGAGATGTCCTAATCAACGATCAGCTCAATGCAGCACAGATGGAGAGACAGGATTCTAGCGCACCACATTGTAGACATACACCACGTACTGGGAAAACTGAATGTTATCGCAGATGGGCTCAGCTATCAGTGGGAAGGTCAACCAAGAGATGCGGGACTAGATGATGGGAGTGCATGGACAGTTAGCGAAAACTGGGAAGCAAATTCAGGGCTAGTTAACGACATTTTACTCACTGAATCAACAACCCAATAGGAACAGGTAAGTGAACTCCAAGAATTCTTCACTAACGAACCTGTTTTTCTAGAAGTAGTGGAATCAATATTGGGAATGGATGCAACGAAACCCTTACATGATTGCAAGCGTGCCATGCACAGAGCGTCACAATATCTGATCAAAGACAGAAATCTGTGGCGACTACGAGGAGGAACAAGCATGTGAGCTCACAGCAAGGTAGAGTGCATCACCAAGGAGGAAGCTAAACAGTTAGTGGCGGAACAACATGAGAGTAAAGGACATTGGGCAAGAGACACCATAAAGATTGCCTTAACTGACTGAATATACAGCGCCAAGCTCAATGCATCAATCCTGGAAGCAATAGGAAACTGCGCTAAGTGTAAAAACTTCGGGACACAGCATTTGCACTCACTTTTGGAAACAATCACTCACAGGCACCCATTCTAACTGTTAGTTGGTGATTATCTAACCCTCTTGAAGGCACAAGGGTATCATACCCTAGGTGTCTATCTAGACACCTTCTCACAACATGTTTGGGTATTCAAGTATAAGACAGCAGGGACAGCACACACAACAGTAGACAGCCTATTGCAGATATTCCACAACTTCACGTTATCAGAGACTTTTATGAGCAACAGAGGGAAACATTTTAAAAATGCGGAAGTTCAAGACTATTGTGCTAAGTGGTCTTGCAAAACCCATATTATAGCAGCATACTCACCATGGATCAATGGACTAGTGGGAGGCACGAACAAAATTCTGTTTCACATCCTCAAAAGACTGTGCGCACCAAATCTTGGTGAAGACGACTACAAAGTGATTTCCTGGGACAAATTGCCAAGTACATGGCCAAACCATCTGGAAGAAGCAGTAGCAGCACTGAATTATCATATACTATCAGCATTGAAGTTTTCACTGAAGGAACTGCTGCTAGGCCAAGTAATCAATACTCCTTGAACCGACCTCGCTAACAGCACCTCAGCAATACAACTGTCTGATGCCAATGTTCACATGGCATACATCATGCAGCAACACCTTGACAGTTATGAAACCACAGTCCAACATGCCATCAAGAGGAAAGCAGCATTTAACAAGAGAGTACTAGCTTGCTCGCCAAGGGAAGTGATATTCTCAGCAGGACAGCTTGTTCAATTCATCCATAGTAGCCTACACAACATGCTTGAAGCAAGACGGAAGTTGTTGCTGAAATGGTCCCCCCCCACATCGCATAGTCAAACAACTATGGAACTTGTATCATTTAGAAATGATTTGCAGTGAACCACTAGCTGGTGAATTCCACGCACAACACCTAAGAGTGTTCCAGCCAAGAGAAGGTACAAGGCTAGCTGAAGAACAAAAACAGAGGGAGTCACAGGCCAAAGAAGATAAAACTGAAGAAAACAACTCAGGACACATAGATGAAGATAACAATTCTAATTATTGCGACAAAGAACATGACAAGGAAGATGTAGAGGTAGCAGAAGGAGATGAGGAAAAGGGGAGCAAAGACAGAGGACAGATAGTCGAGGGCACCTGCGACAAGGATGTCGCTGTTTTTAAAGGAGGGCACATAGAGTAGGGGACCCCTAGGCAGAGGATGAGAGCAGAGAGAGGTTTGACAGTGTTTGGGCCAGGTTTAGCCGAGAGTGAGTCATCAGAGCCTTCAGAAGCAGTAGCAAAGCAGATCATACCAAGTGTCAGTTGATAACGAGTGTAGCTGTCATATACCGGATCCGAGTACCCCCAGTACCACCTATAAGCATCCCTACTGCTGGTCCGACCCCCTGTTTCACCATCCGCTCCATTCCTCCTTCTCTGACAATGCATGAAGTACATCTCAGCAGGATTAGCCCTGCTACCTCTGCCTGACCCCGTTCCGCTCTTCCGACGCTACCCCTATGTCATCCGACATTATACCCCTTCCATCCGACCCTATCTGGGGTTCCGCTCCTCCGCCCTATCGGTCTGCCCGATCCTACTCCTACTCCCTCTACTTTTCTGACCTGCCCAGTTCCGCTCGTCTTGTCCCACCCAACTATTAGTCCATCCGACCGCCTCACCGGTCCACTCCTATACTAGGAACCACTCAACTGGTCCTATCCCCATTTAGTATCATAGTTCCACTTTTCAGATCACCGGTAATCCCTATACTCTAGCAATTCTGATCCGTCGCATACATACTGTTCCCTAAGCCTTATTCTTGTATGTCTCAGTCATCCTATTGTATTCCTGTACACTCAGCACATAGCCTTCTGCTATGCTATGCTCATCACTTAGAGTATATAAACATATGTACATTTGTCTGTAGATACTCAGTCTGAATATTACCTTTTCTAAGCCCTGCTTGTCTGTTCTTTGACTTGGGCCTGATCCTAGTCAACTCCTGTTAGCCGGCCTAGGGGATTGACTCCCTAGGTCGGCCACCCTCTGATCCTCTGATCCTCCACTCCTCCGTTCCCCCGTTTCCCCATTCCCCCACTTTCCCATTCCCCCATTCCCCCATTCCTCCGCTCGTCCGACTTCCTGTGTGTCAGAACTAAACCCCGCACTCTTGCATTCATCCCCTCCGTTCCGCTCTGCTTCGGACTTCATCCAAGCAGTCCCTTCCACTCCACTTCTACTGTTGGTTCCGACCACAGTAGTCTTCTGCCTCCCTCCTGTCAGGTGGAACAACCCCCGCCCGACTTTCCCATGCTTACCTAGTAGTCCATCGGTCCTCCTTCAGAGGACCCCTGTTCTGATGTCCTGTTGGAACTCATAGAACTCATGTCAGACTACACTCTGAAATTAGGGGCACATACTCGGGTAAGGGGTGCAGCATACGAGCTGAAGCCAAGCCCCTCAGACTCTGTCTTACCCCTGAGCACGGTCTTAACAGTAGCAGAGTAGCCCACTCCAATGTCTACAGAGAGAGCACAAAATTCAAGGCCAAGTTTCATCCTCCTCACCAAGACCTAGACATCTGAATCATCACTGAGTCCAGAGGAAGACTTGGTTCCAGGCATTGCTAGTTCTGAGGAGGAAACAGTGTCATTGCTTGTGTTGGAGATGGATTCACAGCTAGTTGAGGGTTTGACATTCTCTGGGTTGTCCACCTGGACATGTCCAGAGGATAATGCCCTCCTGGTTGAGGGCCTGGTACTCTCATCTGTGGTAGGATTGTCCACACGACAACATTTTGTGCCAGAGAATTGGTGATGGTACCAATCACATTAGCGGAAGTGGGCAGTTTCATAAATGGCAACTGACATGGAGGAACTGTTGAGCTCCCAATTGAATGTAAGTGCACTGGGAGTGAGGAGATGCTGATGATCTACAGTGGATTCAATGGTGTCAGGGGTGCTGCTCATCATGGCTTTCATGTGATCCAAACCATCATTCAATGTGTCAGTCACATTGTCCATGTCAATATTCGGAAATAGTGTCTGCAAAGATACCACTCATCAGCATAAATATTCTTATGATTGCAACATTAGACTCGTGCCATGCGCCATGGGAGCAGCAGTCAAATCAATACACTGATCCCCAGACTTCACCCATACAAAATATTCAACAGACTCAATGTCAATCCACTCATGCCCCATTGCTACTACTGGCCCAAATAACTTTTTGGCAGTGCATTCAGGAGTGAAGTCACTGTAAGTCTGCACTGATCCCTCTTCACGTGTCTGGTTCCAAGTAACAGAGTTTGCTGCAGGGGAGACATATTTCTTCCTTTCTTTGACCAAGATCATAAGAATGAGGAGGAGTTCTTTGTGCAATAGAAGAATATCCCCCATTTTTGTCATGATGGCAACCCAAGACTGAGTGAATCTGGATTCGACCATCCAGAGAAGTTGAGTCTCAGCAGCTATCGCGGTTGTAGGCTTCATGATGGTTTGTTCATGGACAGGGTGCGGAGAGTATATGATGAGAATCATCCTGTGAGAAAAATATGACATCCTACAAAATCAACATAAGAAAATGTTTATACAAATTTATACATCATATATGATGCACTTTGTGTGATAGTTAGAAAATGTGAGAGCATCCATGTGCTCCAAAATATGCACATGATCATCAGCAGAGACATTGATAAAGCATACAGGTTCCACCCAGACCTGCTGAAGAGCATCTATGAGTTGCTCATGGCACCCATCTAGTAGCGAACTATAAGAAACAATGATATCTTAGTTGACCAGCACCCTTACCTGGTCTTGCAGTGATAACATGTGTGATACCCAAAACCTGATCATGTTGCACAACTGCAGTGTCAGCTTGTGGCTTGGCGGTTGCTACAGTTTTGGTCTCTGGCACCACTGCTGGGGTATTTGATGATTTGCCTATAAATATGTAAAGTAAGCAATCTATGCTGAGATTAAGCGATCCATCAGCATACAAGTTACATCTGCAAAATGCAGGGTCTCTGTCTTAGGGCCACATTGTCTTGATCTGTTAGAGATCCATGAAGATGTCATGGATAACACTGGCATCCCTGAAGTTGTTGGTTCATTTTTCATATCAGATCCAGGTGTTTTGCCTCTGGAGTTGTGAGTATAGTAGTATGTACCTCCAACAAAGTCTCTGAAGACTGCAGCCATTATAGATTGTGCAAGGAACAAAGAAACTGACATGTCAGCCTACAAAGTTTGGGCACTATGCTGCATTGACTCTCATGATGGGCTAAAAACAAGGGCCAATGAAAAAAACCACCATGCTAGTTAATACCCCTATCTGTCTAAAGATAATGTTGCTAAGAGCTTAGTGCTTATCTACCAGTCACATGAAGTGCAAAGAAAAGCTCCTTATTCCAGAATTTGTTCAGGTAAAACTCTGCAGCATGGTTAATGCTGCTTTGTATTGTTAGTCACAGATCAGCTTTTTGACCAAAACACAGGATAAGATGGATGGTGTGGGGAATGCTCTCACTGTAGGTGTAAAACCCTGTCAATTCCATATTGTCTCACATCAGTTGCACATATTCCGCGTGTTCCACATTCCCACACATCCTTCGGAACACACCCACACTATCCGATATTCTCGTGCATCGTCAGACAACCTTTGCATGTCCTGTCCCCATCCTTCCAGATCCGTTGGTATGCTGTATCTCTCTTCCTGTTGCTTCTAACATTATCCAGATCACATTGACACATGCCCTTATGGCATGGACCCCTATTGCGCATTATTGCACCCATGTGCACTGCCTGCCTTCACTTCCGCTTCCTGAGAATTTACTACCTGTACCTTGGTGTTCCTTGAAAATAATGTTCCCTATAAGTAGTGGTACTCAGGGCTTGGGTGTTTTTTATCGAATCTCATCTCTTACCTTCTGACTTTTCTCCCACTTTTCCTTCACCTTACAAGAGGACCTCTTTGACTTATGCTCACTATATACTTCCCTCGACTTGATCTGCAAGTTCTGGCAAATCCATATGCTCCACATTTTATCCATTTGAGTTTTGCTTTGTTCTGCTTTGTTCTGCTTGAGTTCTGCTTGTTCCACATTTTTGAGGATCCTCATTCTACCTGCAGTAGGGTTGATTAGGGTCATTTAGGCAGAGACTAGCACTCCCCAGTAGCAATCCCCTTTAGGGTCGAATGTGCTTGTTCTCAAGTGAGGCAGCAGGTAGCAAAGACTCAACTGTGTAGTAGATCGATTTCTCACTGCTACACTTGTTGTACCCACAATGGGTGCCACAATCTGAGTAATTGGGATGACATCACCAATCCAGTTATTATTCGCTCATCAAGCACGCCTGTGTTAAGATCGTGCTCAAGGAAAGGGTAACTCAAAGGGCTTGGCTTCAGCTCATGCACTGCACCCCTTACCTGAGTACATGCCTGTCACGAATTCCTAATACAAACCATTTTTCATTTCTCGGTTTTCCTTCGGCTACTTCCAGTACCTGAACCGGTCACGTGACTCCTCACCCTGTCACACCTTCACCTCTTCACATATCACCCGTGGTTTCTCCAATTGGCTCCCCTACTCCACGGGCTAGAACAATCTCACTTCCCAAAGAACTGGTCGGAACTTGGGTTTCTGTTTAGTTGCCGTCTTACTCACTCACTTATATATCATGATGTCATACTTAGTCATCCGCAGTATCGTACGACTCTTTTCTCATTGGCTGATTTCTTTCAGACTCCTATTCAATATTATGTATAAAAGTAGGATAGTTAGCGTAAGTACTCCTTAGACTTAACCTCTTCATTTCCTATGCTTGTAGTGACCTAGACGTTTACGCTCAATACCATCTTGTTCGCTATCCTCTTGACCGAGTCCTAGTGGTTGTGTGCTCGCCTTCATCATTATTGGTGAACGTTGGTCATAACAATGCCCTTAATTTCTGAGGGGCAGAAGGGAAGTCTGACAGAAGTCCGGATAAGTCTGGAGGTCAGACACAGGGTGAGTTCAGCGGAACTCCAGAAGGCTAGGAGTAAGTAGAGTAAGGCTACTTCGGACAAGTCCAGAGTAGAAACAGAACAGAGGTAGACTACCCTGAGGTAGAACCGGAGATTTGGTCTTTAAGGAATAAACCCAAGACTCAGAGGTGGACAAGAGATCAGACTCAAGTCTGGAGGAACAGGAATGAGCAGGAACTAAGATGATATTTGAACTGAGGAAGTATGGAGTTTTACAGGAGTTTATATACTGTAGATATCATGTAAGTGATCAGTCAGCAAAGTGAAAAGCTATACCCAAAGCATATGGAAAATCTATTAGTAAGTATACAACAGATCAAAGAAATGAAATCGGAAATGAAGTGCAGATGGACAGATCAGTAAGCAAGGTGGAAAGGTGTACAACCAGTAGCCAGAGAGCAGTAATCTAAAAGGAGATAGGTGTGAGTCCGGAGATGAAAACAGAGTGCCAGACGGAGAACAAGCCGGAAACCCAGACTTTCACAGGGGAGAGTCCAGAGTTCCGGGTATGGAGGTACAGGATATGTGTCATGAATTCCTAACACAAATCATTTTTCATTTCTCAGTTTTCCTTCAGCTACCTCCAGTACCCAACCCAGTCACATGACTCCGCACCCTTTCACACCTTCACCACTTCATGTTTTACCTATCACATCTCCAATTGGTTCCCCTATGCCCAGGGCTAGAATCATTCCATTACCAATCACTTAATCTCCACTCTGACATCATCGCTTATATATCACGATGTCATCATACATCATTCACAGTATCGTACAACTCTTTCTCATTGATTGATTTCTTTCATACTCAGATATCTCCGATTCGATGTTATGTATATAGTTAGGGTGGTTGTAGTCAGTACTCCTTAGACTTAACCTCTTTGTTCCTACCCAGTGTAGACTCAGACGTTCACTTGCAATATCATCTCTTTCTCTCTACTTGACAAGTCCTAGTGGTCGTGTGAAACCTTTACCATTTGGTGAACATTGATCATAATAATATGACAGCCTGAGGATATACATACCTGTAGAATCATCAAGAGTCACAGCATCTAAATGTTCAACATATGCAAGATATGTTTCAGAGTATGAGAGTGTTGTGATGGGACGAAAAATTAAGTGAAGGTGAGCAACAAAGTGTGCTGTGTTTGTCAACATCAGTAGCATGACGGTATAGGCATAAAAACATACCATCCAGTCCACTTTTTGGCCACTTGTGCATGTTGCCTGTACTAATAATGAAAGAGGCATATTGGCTGTATGGCCAGGCATTGGAGGGTGGTTGAGCGTGTAGTGTTTGTGAGGGCTCAAGCTGTTTGGGGTTGTGAAAAGATTTTGATTGTGTCCGTATCTTGCACCATACTTGAATGCATTCAAGGGGGAGGGGGCAGCCAGGGTGGGCACAGCACCTCCCACCAACAGCAAAATGATCAACATGGGCATCAACCTAGTTGAGATGATCAGAGACTGCAGGACAAAGGTCAGGAAGAGAGAAGTTTCCAGCAGCCTTATCCACTGTCATTTTCATGAGGGTGGGGTCATAGCTGAGATGGTAAGCATTAATTGAGGTGGAGAATGTTCGATAGGGACAGGGAGCTTGAGGATGAACACCATTAATGAGGTTGTGTGTGCAAGCAAAGTAGTCCTTGACAAAATGCTGGGCAAGACCACCCTCATTGTCTTTGTCACTTTTGTGGTCCTCCTGCACACACACATCTGGAGTATGAGGTCAAAGCACTCCACCTTATCGCGACGATCAAGGTGGCGACACACTTGTGCATCATAGTTATGATTGTTCCCTGCCCTCGATGGCTCCTTCACAACCCTGATGTGCACATGTTCAGTGGGGTCTGTAGACCACTGCATGACAGTGCCATGTGAATAAATACTGGGCACTACCCCCTGCAGCAACTCGAGCTTTGGAATCGCCCATGGCTTATCCCCACCCCCTTTCCCCCACCAAGCACCAGTGTCAACAATAGACTGTTTGAGCCAATGAAAGACTTTAAGACAGCAGTCTAAATGTACCACTTGCTTTTTGGTGAAATGTGGGGCTTCAGTGAGGTATTTAAACTCCATGAGGGCCCGAATAGCAGATATGAAGTCGGTAGGGGCAGCACCAGCAATCACCCCAATGATATACCATTGAACATTGTGATGGTCTCACCCTGTGGCTTGCTTCAAAGTGGAGATTCCCTCCTTGAATGCATGGTAACCAGTCCACACCTGGAGCAGCACAAAACGAAAATCAATTTCTTGTGAGCCAACCACTGTTGTGCACCAGAGATGGTCATGGTCCCAGAACATTTTATGGAGATGGTGAAGTAGTTCTGGAATGAGGAAGGAGGAAGGATTTGCAGCAAACCAATTCCTCCAGAATGGCAAGTTGACACCGTTTAGATTATAGTGCTTGCATGCCTTGAAGAACACAATGAGATCGGATGGCAAGATAGATGTGATAATTGCTGTGATGTTGGCAAGGGTTGATGATCCATCACAAGGAGGGTGTTGGATTGGGTCTCCAAAGTCTCCACAGGTAGCTATAGTGACAGGTAATGAGTTCATAGTGGCGCATGCAATTATGAGTTCCTCTGGAGTATCTGCAACATAAGTGATGAGGGGGGTGAAGCAATACTTGCTAAAACCCTGTAGATCACTCATCATAACACCAAGACAGGCAGCCTGCTTCAACAGCTCAACAACAAGGTCAATACATTGGTGAAGTAAGCAGTCTGCAAGAACCCCATGCATGCACTTGTTCCTGTGCATGAACTTTGCAACAGGAAGCAAAGCAAGTGGGATATATGCATGTAAGAAACCTTTGGCATGCACACCAGGATTGATATTGGCAAGACTAACAAGAAGTGGATGTGCATAACGGTCACTAGTGATGTTGCTGACCTTGGTCTTGTCTGAGGAGAGGACTACACCAAGAAGGGATGCACCTTCAGGTAGGTCTTTCTGTGGGCTTGTTAGCTATATGGAACGAGGAATTGAGACACAAAACCTTACCTGAAGGTTCCAAGCATGATCACCTGTCATGAAACCATGATAAACTCAAACAGCACATTCAGCAGACTTGTAAACCTTGTGCAGGATGGAATCAAAGCTGGCGGCCAACAGTGGGTGACTGAGAAGTGACTGCAAGCACTTGATTGTGTTCCAATAAAATATTTGAAGGGTCTTTGTCATTGGAAACTTGGTAGTGACCCTTTGATACTTCCATTAAGGGGGGGCTGGGAGCAATTCAGCACATCCTCGGAGTTCTTGCGAAGAGTGAAATGACAATGGGAGTGTTTTGGTCTGAACATAAGTTTAGACCAAGTGATTTAGAGGACAGATGAACTCACAAATTCAAGATTAAGATACTCATCAATATCAGCCATGCTAAGATTGGACTGAAGAATAAATGATGCCATCTCCCAGTCCAGTTTGCTAGCAAAAGGAAAGTATTGGTTTTACTCCCTCTCTGCAGCATATTCATCCTCACTGAATTGGTCCATGAAAGTCTTTCCAACACCCCACATCTTGCCTGCACCATCATAAACCTCCACTTCTTCACCGTAATCTGCCCATGAACCCGAAGACCTATACTCTGCTTCAGTGTCTGCATCAACTCTATGGTCCATATACTCCGGGTCCAAGGTCAAACCCATATCTTCATGGAGAGGAAATTGAGGACTTGGAGCTTGTGCTGGTCTTGAGGTGCAAACTAGGTTACCATCCCACTTGTAACAGTGGGAAGAAGGCTGATTCAGATGTTGCAGAAAATGTCCCTCATTCTTAAAACACTTGCTGCAGGATGGGCAACACATATTGAAGATGCAAAGTAAGTTGTTGAACTCAATTTAGATCCAATATTGTTTCAGCAATTTCCAGCACAATGTGAACTGTAACTACAATGTCGAAGTGTCATTCAAGCTATGTCTCACCATCCTAATCATCTCATTCCTCATCTTCAATATTTAGAGGCCAACAAATGTCAGGTTCTACAACTCCTTCTGTAGATTTAGACTCTGACATTCCAGATGATACATCTGAACGCTCAGAAGTGTATAATATGGTGAGTTATGAGCTGGATTCTAACACTTGCCTTGAATCAGTTTTACCTACAGTACATACGCCGCCACCCACATGACCAATTTGATGCTCACACTGCATCAATGCCAGAGACTTCAGAGGAAGCATTATACCTGCTCAAGATGGCACGAGCTGATCTTGAAGTTCAATGTCTTGAGAAGGACCTTGCTGAGTGGCTTCTTCATCAATTGAACATGTGAAAACACCACCTACTACTTCGAGCAAAGAAGGCAAAGAGAAACTTTGGAGATGCAGAAGCTAATGTAGGGTGCACACATGCTCTCATGGTGAGGTGCAGGTTTGTCTGCTCAGAGTGGTCACTTTGGTCTCCTTGTCCAAAATCCACCATCAAGTCATGTAAGCGAATTTGTTCTGAAAATCAGTATGCAGTTGCTGATGAGTACAACCAATTAGAATATCTGTCTGTTTGATATTGAATTAGTGACCATAGCCTTATACCATGTACATGATTGTCAATACATATATGCATTGCACATTTTATATTTTAGCTATCTGTTGAAGTACTCCATTAAATGAATATTAAGTTGTTATGCTGTAAAATGCATTCTCCGAGTGTCTTATATTTTGATGAAGACCAGCAAAATATTAATCTATAATTTACATCACACTTTGTCGCCTCACCCTGTGCACTGTGCGAGACTGTGCCACACTGTCACTCTGTGTGCTCTGTGCACTGCACTGCTGTGGGGCTGTGCTAGTTGCGTCACTGTGGGAATCTTGTGTTACAGGGACCCTCAGACCCCTATCGTCTCCACCAAATATTGCCGTCACAACTGTGTTACAACACGTGACAGATGACATCACCGGCACGTGACTAAACTGCAGAGCACAGCATGACAGCTGTTGGAGCAAGACAGCTCTGGAACCGACCTAGACCAGGGATCAATAGAAGCCGCACGCTTCTCCCTTATCGCCCCTACCGATACACTGGTAAATGACTATTGTTTATCCTATCGCTTATCATGACAGATAGTGTTATCTGACTTGGACACCTACCGCTGTGCTGGTACCATACCCTGGACCCTTACCGTTGAACCGGTACTCTTATCTCTGAGTCCTTATGACTCACATAGACACTTACCTAGTTGGGACGCTTTCTGGCTACCCAAGCCTACCCTGAACTCATAGGACGATACCTATATATACCACTGTAGTTAGACCATGTATTTCTCTAACTTGATCATCACTTGTGATATACGGCTCTAGCTTCTTCTTTGAACCTTTAGTCAGTCATTCTGGATGGACAGCCTCCATTCAGTCTTCCATCGTCTCGGTGCTCCATGAAGCGGACACGGGATCAACCCTATCAAGTGCACTGTTGGAAAGCCGGGCTTTCCTGTAACATCTTGTATCCAAAACCGGTAGTTTGCTGATGTTGATTAGCATGTATCTGGCAAGTTTCTTGCATCATTGGTAAGTTTCCCACCTGTGTGTCACCATAACTGTTACTAATTAGTAAGAGTGATGTAATAGCATGTTCCTCACTAAGTATGGGCATTTACCTATACTGCAGCGCTTCAGCACGTTCCGCAGCACTCAGCAGTGACTTTGCTAGGAAAACAAACCTCGGGTATACTGGTATATTATATAAGGTTATAATTAGGCTGTAAGACTATATTTAGGTTTCCCATGGTATTATTATATCCGCTTAATCCCGTGCGCCTCTTGCTGACACTTCTCCAGCCTTTCCCACGTTCTCCACACAGCTGTGCTCACTGTCATGCACAACGAGCACCACTGCAGCCTTCAAACCTCATCGTTTTTGAGTGTGCTTTTTGCGCTTATGATACCATGGCCTATCCTATACCACCTGGCTGCTTTAGACCACCAGAAACACTAGAACCATACATGTATAAGGAGTTTATGTTGTATATTAATGTGATATTATTTGTACTGTATATACTGCATCTCATGACACCGAGCTCATTGGTCTTAGTGGTCTGTATATAGCATGACAATCAACTTGCTCACTAGCTTCACATGTCATGGCGGTTGGGATTTGTTACTTAGTGCATTGACTGAAAACTTCGGCAGTATATTGCATGCAGCAGAAGATACGCATAAACTGATTGTAAAACTAACTACTCATTGCTGGTGGAGGTGTCATCCGACAAGTCTTCGGTATCAGTGTTGATGGTGGCAGTTGCTCTTGTGCCCTGGGCCCGTAACCTTCCTCTTCTTTCGTGCAACATATACCGCTTCTCCATGTGAGTGGCATGCCCAATTTTCCATCATTTGTTGAACCAATTCTTCATCCGTGAGCACAACCCAATGGCAAGATTCCCTGTGGTGAGGTTCTCTCTGTAGAGCATCAAGCAATTTCTGAACCTCAGCCCTTCTGCCAACTTTGCTTGGGTTGCAAACGGGTCCAAGCAGTGGCCAGCCTATGAGAGCGACACTGCAGTGCTCGACTATGTTGCGCTCGTAGTTGACATAGTTCATTTTGACAGCCTTCTTGATGTTCTTCTCAAGCGCAATAGATTCTATGACTTGATGATCAGTAGTGCATCAGCTTTGAGGGATTAAAACTTACCAAGCTCTTCTTGAATGATTGTGCAACAATCGCTGATGAGCTTGTTCAACGGGCGTTGACATGTAATTATCGTGTTCTCATCTACCCAAAAATCAATATAATCCTCGCTATCGAAAGGTTTAGAATCTTACTGAGGCCAGTAACCACAAAAGCCTCCAATTTGAGACCCGAGTGTTGTGGTTTGATGTGAAGGACCTCTTTGACAAATTTCTCGGCCTTCAGCATGAAAAATATTTTGGGTTCGGAGAGATCTTCGATGTTCCCGTGCACTCCAACATAAAAGCCCTCCATGCCAGTTCAAGCACAGAGGGCCATCCACTAGAATCAAATATATGTCAGTCAGCAAACATTATAATACGAGACCCGGACTTACCTCGTGATCCATCGTTGTGAATGTTGCACTGATGTCGTGACATTTTGCCTTTGGATTTGCTTGGGCGACATGACTCTTTTTTGTCCAAGCTTGAAGAACCTCTGTGTTGTAAGCACGCTTTTGAGCAAACGTGAGGCATATTACGACTAACGTTCACCGAATGGTAAAGGTCAGGTCACAACCACTAGGACTTGGTCAAAGATGATGATGAATCAAGATAGGATTGAGCGTGAACATCTAAGCCTTACACAAGTGTAGAAACAAAGAGGTTAAGTCTAAGGAGTACTTATGCTAACTAACCTACTTATATACGTAACATTGAATAGGAGTCTGAAAGAAATCAGCCAATGAGAAAAGAGTCGTACGATACTGCGGATGACTAAGTATGACATCATGATATATAAGCGAATGAGTAAGATGGTTACTAAATAGAAACCCAAGATCCGACCAGTTCCTCTTTGGGAAGTGAGATTGTTCTAGCCCGTGGAGTAGGGGAGCCAATCGGAGAAGCAACGGGTGATATATGACGAGGAGTCATGTGACCAGCTTGGGTACTGGAAGTAGCCGAAGGAAAACCGAGAAATGAAAAATGGTTCATATTAGGAATTTGTGACAAGGCATGAATATGTTTCAAGGAGTTCATCCTTATTCTCAGCGATGAATTGGGTAAGCTTAATGTGATTGCCCCGTTCACGATCTTGATTAAAAAAATCATTGTCAATACAAACTCAGAAAATATAGACTGAATTTCACCTTCATTTTCTTCCCTAAGTTTTGCCTTGATGAAGCCATTCCATGAGTTCACACCTCAGCGCTGTTGTGACATGCGACTCCTGAGGAATAATTGGCTATGAGTCCACTTGAGGGAACTGGACAACATGACTGAGTCGAGCAGCCACAAGGACAGCGGGTCATCGAAACCAAACTTACCGACCATGTACTTGCACAATGTCAACAGCCTCCTGCGCATAGGCTTCCTTGGCATTGTCGACGGCACCTGTCAAAGTGTCCAATTTATTCCACCGTTCTGTTTTCTGAGCGGCTGTCAACTTTGCTTGAGTTTGGTGAGGTTTTGGAGCACAAGCCATGGTGCAAGTGGTGGGGGAACAAATCAAAACTAGTGCTCCATGTGCATCGCCTTGGAATTGCCAAAGTCAAACAGGGTTAGAACAAAAAACTGTATTGCTAAAGTAAACGAACAATACTATTTAGCTAGAACAGAAAATTTAAATTAGCCAGCACCCACTGAAGTTCCAAATTAAACTCCCAAGTTTGACAATGATTTTTACTTGCACGTGCCATGATAGCGAGAATATATTTCATCTGTTCCTCAGGTATTCCCAGCTTCACAAGAACTGCTTGCCAGGTCAAGGGACCATACCCATCAACCTGGTTGATGCACCTCCAAATCTCATCCATTGTTATAGCGTGAAGTGAAAGGTCATGAAGGTAAGCGCTAATTTCCACGGAAACACGCTCGGAGACCACATCATTTGGACACCCAGTCAAACGCGAATCCGACATCAGGTAAATGTGATTTGTGATCGATATATTACCTTGTTCAGTCCCTCACATTGATGTTGAGATCTGGACCAGATTCTGCGGCCCATTTTCAACCCTTGACCTTTGGTGGGATGCCATGCTAACTCCTCTGGTTTTGTGTTCAGTCCCTCGAATTGACGTTGAGATCTGGACCGGATTCTGTGGCCCATTTTCAACCCTTGACCTTTGGCGCAATGCTGTGCTAACTCCTCCGGTTTTGTCCTAAGTACACGTCAGTCCCATGAAGCTAAATTAGTTTGTGATCTACTCACGTAAAGCTGATGCGTGTTTGATTTGACGGGCAACACCACAGCACGCACCACTGATGGGGGCAATGAGACCGTGTGTTTCAAGTGAGGAGAGCAAGATGCAATTATGAACAGAGGAGGGCTTGGAGGAGGGTTTTGAATGATAGGTGCTGCAGAGGGTGACACTACAGTATGCAATGCTGAGGGCGATGAGACTGTGTGCTTCAAGCAAGGAGAGCAAGGTGCAATTATGAATGGAGGAGGGCTTGGAGGTGGTGCAATAACAAATGGCAGAGGCTGCGAAGGGCGTGTAGACATTGGTGTCTGCACCCGTGTAGTTCGGCTCTTTCTTGGTGTCTGTTGCCCTGCGATACTAGGTGCTGGACCTTGTCTATCAGTCTTTGTTGGAGTCTGTGGCCATGCAAGAGGGACCAAATGTTGTCTATGAGTCTTCCGAGGACACACAGATGATGGCTGTGTGATAAGTTGTCGATTGGTGCAAATGGTGATACCTTCTGCTAAAAGCTCAGCAGCTTTTGAAAGCTCATCGGTGTCTTCATCAGAGAGTGAGTGTAGCAATGAATGATCAGATGTTGACAAAAAGTGTCCCAATGAATGTGAGGAATCTATACTAAGAGAATATCTCAAGTCATCGTCCGGCTGTGTGCTAATGGCTGAGGATTGAGGATCAACAATCGAAAATTTGTGTATGCTGGCAGTAGGGATCGCAGGAGAGCTCAAAGGATTGGGGAAAATGTAAGATGAGGTGCCCATGTCTTGAGTTCAGCGCTTGGATTCAAGCTCTTCCCGTTGTAATGCAACTAGCCCTGAGGCAATCAAATTTCTCAGTGGACACCGCAATGCAAAATGAAGAAACACTTACTTTGAAGCAGCTTCGGAGGAAGCTCTACAGGGTCCCAGTTGAACCAATGGCAACAGACTTGATGCGCGATTGAACAGGAAAAGTCTGTGTGGATCTTCTCAAGCATGGTCTTCTCAGTCTGGCACTCGATGGGCTCAGATGCAAGGACGGTAGTCTTGGTAGTGGGAAACCAGCAGAACATGTTAGGACACTTTTTGAAAATGAATTCAGCGGTGAGCTTGATCTCAAAATAGTGTTTCTGTTCATAACATGATGAGAACAACTTCAAACTTAAAGAATACATATACTCACTGTCTGACCATGCAGATCAAGATATTCCAGACGGTCCGCAGGAGTCATGGTTGTTGGTAACTTACAGTAGTGTGATCAGCGCTGGAGCAAAGTGACTTGAGGAAGCCTTGAGGCTCGCACATGTTGAACTTGAAGCGAGTATACTAGTATGTAATCGTTGCCAGTCTCCTATCAAAATGCCATCAAACAGTTAATGAATTCCTCTGCATCACCAAATTGTTGTAGTATACTGATCTGGACCAAATATTTGCTGGAGGCAAGCATATCGAAGGGGTAGAAGTCGTTGAATTCATGCTTCAACAGCCTATCCACGGATCAAAGGGTAGTAGAAGTAGTTGAATTTGTGCTTCAGCACACCACTGCAATGTGACTCAAAGGGTAGAAGTAGTTGAATTCGTGTTTCAGCGCACCACTGCATTGTGATTCATGCTCATTGCACCTCATTTCTTCAAGACAAGTACTTAGAGATTCAAGGGGTAGTAGAAGTAGTTGAATTCGTGCTTCAGTGCACCACTGCAATGTGATTTATGCTCGTTGCACCCCATTTTTTCAAGACAAGTACTTATAAATTCAAGGGGTAGTAGAAGTAGTTGAATTCATGCTTCAGCGCACTGCTGCAATCATTTTTGGGCATAAAGTCACGATAATGAATACAACACTACATTACAACCTAAAGGTGAGAAATGGCATCTTCAAGACGGAAAGCTTCGTCGTTCAACTCGTCATTCTCCCTGAGATCAACTGGTTCCCTTTCGTCATCCAAGTTCTCCATCTCCACAGAACCATGCAACAGTGCTGCAGCCTGGCCACTGTAGCCCTTGAGGTAACGAATCTTGTTCAAATGATGGTGGTAAATATTGTTGATGCGGTGCCGTTCATTGTACTGTTGTCTGAACTCTGCAGCAAGAAGGGAGTCAGCTTCCTCAACCGTTAATGTCTCAATGACTTCTAGCACCTTCGCATCATCATACTCGACCCAAGCGTCGAGGCAACATATTTTGACATTTAAGCGGGTAATCTCCTTGTGCAACCTCACCACCTTGAAATATCTAGCTGCCATTTCCCGATTGTCAGGGACAGCCCATGGCTTGGAAAGGAGATCATGGCGAGAATATTTGAGGAGTGAGAACTCCCCAAGGGTAGCATACCCCACAACTTTGGAATAATCGAGGACGGGCCGAGGTGGTGTTTGAAGAGGGGCTAACTTGTTGTACTTCTCAAGTGCTGAGCAAATAGCAGCAGATCAACACGCGATGGCTTTGGAAATATGTTTCCGCATTTTGTAACCTCCTTGCAGTAATGAGCATGAGACCACACAGATAATTGTGAGACAAACCTGTGCCTACAAGGTTGGCCTTTGAAAACTCAAATAAGTGTTGGACGACTAGGCCCTCTCATTCCTCCACAGTCCAAATGAAGCAGCGCTCATGAGAATACTTCAGTGCCTGAGTGTATTCAGGGTGCGCTATTGTCCAACGTTCATTGATGCCATTCCACTGCTCAAAATCATCCACAACGTTCATTTGCAGCTCATATCTGCACAGCACTGATGCGCATTCTGCTTCAACTGTTCTTGACTGCCGCCGAGCACTGGCATTCAATCCTGAAGTTTGCGTAAAGCTCATGGGTGTATACGTGAGGAAAGGCACTGATGTCACGCTGCCATATGCTGACCTAAATTTCAAGGGTAAGTGAAAAAAAAACATGCTAGCGCCAACTACAAACTCAGTGAGCCGAAGCTTCTCAAGCTCCTCAATGTATGCCACTGCAAGGACATCGGATGGTGGTTCAATAGCTAAGTTGCTAAGAAACTCAACTTCTTCTTGATGCCACTGGATGAAGTCTTGGTCAGCAAGCGATTTCCAGGACTTGAACTCCTCAAGCAAGGCCATATAATCTTCGATGATTTTGAGCGCCTGGACATAATTATTGCATAAGAAGCGACCTTTAGTCACATTAACAAACAAGATCGTAGTTTGATCAACAATGTTTAATCTTACTTAATTCAAGATACTTGTCACAATCCCATTGGTCAAAGTGAAGATCCAGAAATTGCTTCCAATGAAAATGGGACACGTGGCGGATGAGAACTGCAGCACTATTATAACTTGAGAAGATACGTTCACAGGTTTCTAGATCCTCGTTGCCAAAACCTTCGAGGTACAAGGGATGATTTTGCAGCTGGCAGCAGCAGTTATGAGCATATCCATAAAAACTGTTCACTGCAACAATAAGATTTTGTGCCTTGGCTCTCACACCAATAGAACTCGCTGCAATGGTCTTGCGCAATGAACAGCCAATGTTGTGGCCCAGAGCTTGGTCATTCCCGCAGATATCAAGTAATCGATTGGTCACAGTGAGTCCATACTTGGCACTAACGAAATCATGTCAGCATCAGATGAGTAGAACGGAGAATGACTCACAGTTCTCCGCTTCATTTCATCTCAACAACACATTCTACAAAGCCATGGCAACACACCAAGATAAAGATGCCGGTTTGCTCGAAGACAAAAATTTTGTTCTCCTCCACAGGCTTGGCAGCTGTCCAATTTTCTGTACAATTAGCAGTCTCACCACTACGATGTTCACCAGGCCGATTGCGAACATCATCTCTGAAAAGTTCCACCACAGTCATGGGGATGAAATATTTGCTGTTGAAGACGCGCTCATCTGCTGAGCCAGAACCATCCAGACGTTTGGCGGAATGATTGCCGTCCATGCTGTGAAGTCTTTCAGGGATTAAGTGGCGGCTCGTTCGGTTGCTGAAAACACAATATTAAATCAGTAATTTATTCAAATCTCAATACTCACCTCAAAGGCACAACATGGACAAGCGCCTGACATATGCCAGTCAGCGTGGTCTCTGCCAAGTGCACAGTCAACCTGTAGTTGAATGAGTCGTTGAATTTTGAGGTAGATATCAAACGCAATCGAAAATTGATTGTGTAAGTACTGGGAATATGTTACCTAAACATCGGTTCAGTAACACATTATTTGACACATAAAAAGACTTACATTATGAAGCGCACAGAGAACTTTTGTAATCGATTGCATGCTAAATGACGATTGACGACAGCGAATCTGATGATAAAGTTCTAGGCATGTGAGATCAATAGCGACTGTTGGTTGCACTGGCAAGCAGCCAAGTAAGCCCATGTGCAGCAGTGCTGAGTTGGCAGGTTCGTCAGGCTGTTGGGCGACATTCACGTTAGGTCTAAAATCTGCTAGAACACTTGTGATAACAATCAAGAGCATAAACTAAAAGCTTACCCCAGAGCCCAATGACAGACACACCAAAGATATGCTCATTGTGTGCTTGAGCTGGGGTACGGTGGTCTAACGTTGAACGACCACGGATTTTGTGTGCCCTTTATTTCTTGGGGATGCATGTGAGTAATCGGTAGTTCATAATTGTCATGTGGTCTGGGCGAAAACAAGCAGTAGTACTAAGTCCAAAGTGTAGGCGTTTGTTTGGCAACACCCTCTGACCCAAACAACGTTCACTTCCCGAAATGCTGAACCCTGAACCACACATCTGCGTATTCAAGCCGCACATACAATGGTCTGCATCTCTTTCTTTCTCCCATTCCACGGAACTAACCCGAATATAGGCAGTACAAGGCATAACAGCGACGACGAGCACAAATATCACAGGTGCTACTCACGCGTCTACACCCAGTATTATGCCACCAGAGCTGGAGCAGACGCTCGCTCTACTATCATCACATCGTTCTGTCCTGGGATACCTCCTGCTCTCGCGTGGGGACCATGTTAGTATCATACGGCACTCGGGCGTCGTCTTCGAGGGAGAGCAAGGGAAGAAGTACGCAAGCGTTATAGGCAAGATGGTTGAGAGCGTACAGGCAGGCTTGGAGGAAGTGAGCGGGTCAGAAAACGATGGGGTGCGTAGGCAAAGGTCTCTTCTCTGACACCCAATTTACACGTCGTTTCTAGGACCAAATTCGCTTCATGAGGATACGAACCAAACGCCATGAAATCATGATTTCGCCAGGTCGGTAAAGGTCTACTTTCGACGATGTCCGTACTCACCACATATTGGCAGATGAAAGATATCTTCTTGCGGTGTTACACGATCCCGCTTCATGAATCTACCTTCTTCTATCATATCTCTTATATCTTTGTGTTTATCTTACGACTGTATCGGTAGGATCTCTCGGTAATCCAGGTTTTGAATCGATATAATCATTATCTGCTCGATGATGTTGGTTATACAAGATGGTACAATTTTTGGCTAACATCTCCTCATGGGCTCTGCGGGTTTCTAGGCGTGGCCACGGACGGCCCTGGGCTCGTACCTGTAAGGTGTCATCAGTCTCGTGTTGAATGGACAAGCAAACAGAATACGCACGGCTCCTCCAAGTACGCCACCTCCTCCGGGGTGAGCTCGATTTCCTTAGTAATGCTCTCCTTCAACCTCTGTACAGAGCTGATACCCACGATAGGGCTTGACACCTTTAATGCAGCCCAGGCCAGCGCGATCTGGCTCATCTTGCAATTTTTCTTCTTTGCAAGCTCTTCGACGCGGTTGATGATAGTCGTGTCTCCATCGGTAACCTTTTTCTCAAAGGCGGTTCCCTTGGTGGAGTTGAGACGCGTCGTCTCCGTGCCAGCGGGGCGTGCGAGGACGCCAGAAGCTAGAGGAGCCCATGGGATGACACCGATACCGTTGTATTTGCAATAAGCAAGCATCTCACGTTCCTAAACGCTGCCGTTAACAAGAGAGCGGATCTCGTTATTTTGAGGACACACCTCCTCACGGTAGAGTAGCGAGTACTCATCCTGCATGCTGACGAATTTTGTCCAGCCATTCCTAGCGGCCACGTCGTTTAACATAGCAAACTGCCAGCAGCGCATGGAGCTAGCACCGATATAACGGACTTTACCGTTCTCCACGAGGTCGTGAAGTGCCTTCATGGTCTCCTCAGGAGTGACCGAAGCATCGAAGCGGTGAATCTGCAAGAGATCGATGTATGGGGTCTCGAGACGAGCGAGGGACGCGTCAACAGCGTTGAAGATTGCAGCGCGAGACAGGCCAGACTGGTTAACGTACTCGGGCCGCTGATTGAGGCCGGGTACGGAGTATCCCTGGATGGAGGGATCATTGGCGACGAGACCACTGCACTTTGTGGCGATGACGATCTGGGAGCGAGGAATGCTGTACTGAGGAGATTGCGCATTAAGATACCATCAATGAATGTCAACGTAGGAGACACACCTGTTTGATGAACTTGGCAATGATACGCTCTGACTCGCCGTTGGAATAAATGTTGGCGGTGTCGATGGTATTGATGCCAAGGTCCCAAGCAGCCTTCATGATCTCGATAGAAGGCTCCTCGTCAAGGACCCAGGACTGTAGAAGGTTTAAGATGTTATGAAAGGAATGTTAACGTTGATCACGCACAGCCCATTTTGAGGTTCCAAAGCTCATCGCGCCAAGCTAAGAAGTATTTAAATTCATGGTGAGTGCTGTGCGCTGGCAACAAGTGCAATGGTCGCAACTCACAATTGGCACAGAGACTTTTAGACCAGTCTTTCCAAGGGTGCGGTACTGAACAGTAGACATGGTGTTGGTGATTCAGATAAAAGTGAAGATGGGAACCGTAGTTGATCAAACCCCTGTATTTAAACCTCTAATCTTCCTATCTTGGTTATATAGATTGTACGTTTGTAGACTAAGCAAATGTAGTCACCTACGAGTACTTGATGACATGCTCCGCAGCTCTGAGCTGACAAGCTCTGATTTCATTACATAAATACATATCACAGAATGATTCAGCGGCCGAGAGATGGCTCATGAGATGACATGCATCACGGTGCCTTCAATATTGACGAAACCATGAAAGTTGTATGAACAAGGGTCGCTTGTGCTTGTGGAGCTTTAAAGCGATACAATCCACCTGGCTTGACAACGAGGACAGCAGCGGGCCAGCGACGAACGGATGCTATTACCTAATCAATACAATAGGACCATCAACGTAACACGTGGCGACTTCTGGTTCCCCAGTTTTTAAAAAGTTTCGTTCTGGTAGCGATCGATAATTGAGTGCGTATTATCGTACTGCCAGCTGGCTTTATATTCTTGTCATATTCTTTGCTTGAAGCACTTTCGAACTTTCTTTCAGCACGCGCGTTTTGTTCTCGTGAGTAAAGTTTCGAACTTTGTTGTATTGACCTGTTTATCATTTAATTCCTTGTCCTGACGACACTTTGCACGACCTCCAGCACGATTCAGTTTACTCAAACCCCCCCGTTTACCTCTAACCTCGCCTTTCCCTCGTACCCCCTTCATATTTCTGTATACCATCGCTACATTCAACAATGACTCGATTTGGAGATTTCCAAACACTTTGCTCCATGGTCCCGTCATATACATGGTGTAATCTCTTTTATCGCCAGGTCTGCATCACTTCATATTCTATATGTCGTTTTCCTACTCATTCTCATCACTAGTTATTGACTAACGACCCATCCGTCTTGAATGGTGGTGTATCTCAAAACGCCTCATCTGCCCCGGTCGGTGTTAATCCAGAGTGTGGGATACCAAAAGTAAACACCAACGGCTCTTTGGGCAACATCGCCAACATCGTCGCTTGCGGTCTTAGTGTCTTCATTGTGGGAGCTTTGATCTACTTCACTGGAAGGCGCAAGGCTGCAGTGGGTCAGTCTTCTTACTTCCGCGAACCAACTTCTCTTGTCTCCGACCTCCTTCCCCACGCTATCGCGCCATTCCTGTCAACTGATCCTTTAATATCACAGGCCGTGTGGAATTACGGATATTCTTCGCCTTATACCTCTTAACCCTGCCCTTCCAGTTGATCACGACTGGCTCGTTGCTTACTCAGGGCACAACTCCCTTGGTTGTCCTTACTGCCATCCATGCTGGTCTCGTCGCTACAATGTTTTGGACGTTGCTGGGCAATGCTATTGTAGCAACCCAAGTCGTGGAAGATGGCACCCTTAGCTCGATAGTAGTGCGTTCTTATTCCATTCTCCCACTCACGGCTAGCTGACCCTCGCCCAGCCCTTTTCTATAATTTCCGCCGCATTCTTCGCCGCTACAACCTATATATCCTTGGACGTCGGACTCACTTTCACACAAGTGCTTGGCACATCAAATCCACCCGCATCTCTTCACAGTATACCACTTTTTGTTCTCACTAGTATCTGGCCCGGAGTGTGAGTCCCACGAATTTCAAACAACTTCCTCCCGCTCACTTCTTCGGATCATCTTTAAAGCGCTGCTTTAATCTATTTCGGAATCATGTTGTACATTGTCCTCGGGATCCTCAACGAAGTCCGACCAGTGTGGTACTATGTGATCGCCGCCATCCTCTTCATCCTTAGCCAGCTCGACTACTTCCTACTCAGTAAAATCATATGTAAAGTACGTAATGAATTCGTGATCACACGTCGAACCCTGCTGATTGGTGGGTACCTGCAGGGATCATCGATGAAAGTTGATGGTTCGTTCATCGCGACGATACTGGAGACCGCATGCGTAGTTACTCTTTACTTTGCGTGGAGAGGGATCACGGAAGGTAACGTCGTCTATTCTCTCCATTCCAACACAGCTCATCCACGTTACAGAGGACTGGGATAACGATCTCTACTACCCATCATAGTATATTTAAGTGGCTGTGCTGTTGTGTTTGTGATTTTACTTCCGTTTATCCACGCGATACATGTGTTATCCTTCAGTTCACACGCTTATTCGCCCCTCCTTGCATCCCGCCTCCTCATTATGTATGTTATCTACGCGGATTTAGGGTTGGTCGTGAGGCGTTGTGGGGCAGGTTCTGGTTAAAAAGATGCACCCCAGCGGCTCACTGGTGCCGGACTTGTATTTCTGTGGGCCCCAATATTGTTGTGCTGTGATATCACCATGATATAAGTATACCATCGATGGATGGTGAGCTTGTCTACAATATTTAAAATCTAGTATACATATCCAAACCCGGTGAATCGACACCTACGTGAGACTCTGTCTCGCAAAAAAAGATCTTCATAAAACGAGTGTGTAAGTAGCAACTGCTCGCAGCGCAATAGTTAAAAGGAGGGGGAAGCGCAAAAGGATGGAGTGTATGCACATTACGATAAACAAGAAAAGCACCAAGAATCCGAAGTCTCTTTACATCTCCTAGACGATGCGTTGCGTGATGAATGGAGTTATTTCAATAGAGACCCAGCTGTCGTCGGTCGGCTCTCTGGTAAAACGCCGAGACCTTTTGGATTTGAGGCTCAATGACCGCAATGTCGGGGTGGAGGAAGTAGAACTAGGAGAAATCGGACTTTCCGAGCCCGAGCTGCTGCTATATGATATTGGAGAAACTGGAGGTGGGTGGTCACTAGGGCGGCGTTTCTTCAAGCGTCGACGTGGACTATTTGGGGGAGTGGAGAGGTTAAAAGTTGGCTGATACGTGTCCGCTATCCACAGTGCGTGCGGTACATGACTCCCAGGAGCCTTTGCTTCCTTGCGCGGAACCTGAACATTGGCAGACGTTGAGATAGTCGTAGCGGACCAGCGTGACTTCTACATCAGAAGTGAGATATGTGGAACAATCGTGGTACAATGACAAACGTACCAATTCAGGTCGTCTCCTAATGTCTGGCATTTCTTCAAAGAACCCCTCATCTGACACAGGGTCCGACTCCAAAGAGATGTCTGTGAACGCAGCCTGCGCCTTGAACGAGAGTTCTTCATCGAGTTTATCAAAACAGGAGTACTGGCGTGTTGGCCGTACGATAGGGTCTCGCGAGCCTACATCTAGTCGGTCCAGCCTTGATGATGTCACCGTGTTGGAGCGCTTGAGTTGCTTGTTAAACTTCGAATTCCGCGGAACGCGATGGAGGAAGGCTTTGAACGTATCTTGGAATGTTCCAACCGTCGCCGTAGTGTTTTCTTCCGATGTATATCCGTCATGATCGACGGTGACGGCTTGAGAAAAGTCATCATCAGAAACGTCAGGAGGGGTGATAGCTCCTGAGGAACTCTCGTATTCGTCAGTTGAATCGAGAAGGCGTGCTCCGGAGAATGTCACCATCCCATCCTCAGGATCCCATACCGCCGCGAAAGTCAATGCTGACTTTGCTGGGGAGATACTGGACCATTGGTCGTCTGGACTATCAGCGGTGTTCGCAGAGGTACTGGCGCCACTGAAGTCGACGGAGATGGATAACTGAGGTCCAGACAACAGGGAAAGTCAGAAAGACTGTATGCGGACTTTGAGGGGTTGCTGGATCAGTACCTTTTGCCTGTCACTTAGGGGAGCACTTGAGCTGGGACTACTGTGCGTGGCACTGTTGTCCATCTAGACTTCCAGAGAAACTTGAATGACCGTGTTAAAGAATGAGTTTGAGCGAAAGTTGTTGTCACGTTAGGGTCTAGTTTATAGCGAGTAGTAGAAAGGAGTCAGTCGCTCGCCATGCTCTCAAGCACGACGCGAACGCACCTAAGGTTGATGGATGAATTGCCGTATGCCTGCACACGCGTGTATACGATGTCCGGGAGGAGAGGAGTGAAAGCGGAGGCGAGGGATGCATATTTTATAGACGATTGACTGAATTATCTTGGCGCCCTCTTTTCCCCGTGCATCAATAGAAGCATTGTCATACCTGGTCGACTCCACCGTCCTGTGAGAATATTAAAAACGTATAATCTGTCGAGGCGCCTTCCACATCCGGAATCCGAAGGGTCGACACCCTTTTTTACCCACGTGAGCGAGGCTGTATCACATAGCAGGATACTTGCCATTTCTTGTAATCACTAGTTCGGTTCGTACCGGTTTCAGTCTCTAGAGGGATTGACTTGGTTGACTACAATCCCTTCGCGGGTTGTCCTCCCCTCGTCGGCAGACCCAATCGAAGTAAGACAGGGTTCGCAGGTGCCTCCGATTGCTGACAACGACCCCGAGCTTGACCGTACGTATTCCGACTCGAGGATAGTAAAGGTCAGATTGATGCGGGTGGAAAATTTAAAGTCAATGTCCGCGCTGTCAGTCCGCGCGCCGGGCGCGTGTAAATGACATGAGCCTTCGGAAGCGCCTCCGCGACCTGCGATGCCCCTTGAAACTCGCGGACATTGAGGGGCGTGCTTTTGTGGCTTCTTTACCGTGATCGGCGACTACCTGATGCATGTAGCATCCTTCCACAGGGAAACTTCTGCCATGGGGAGGATGAACACGCATATTAGCGACCGTCTGCCGGAAGAACGTGGCATTTTAAAGGTCAAATAAGCTTCGGATCACCCCGTTGTGTGTATTTGAGTTTCAACGGCCTAGGGATCAGGCAGGATCAGGCGCATCGATAAGTCGCGGAGCGGACGGTCACCGACTACGATAGACCGATGAGAGGATCACAGAACCTGGCTAGAGGCGTTACTTGAACTCCTCTGGTAGTAGCGAAACCGGGATTGCGCGCCTGAAGGAATGATTTTGAGGAAGACTGCAGTGTCAGTGCACGAGCAGTTACCGGTCGAACCGAGTCCGCTTTCAAGAGAACTAAAAAAAAAGTGGAACGCACGTAAGGAGCGGGCCGCGTGTTTTTTCTGTAATGATCGACAAAAGTTTCAGTTATTCGTCTCACACCACCAATTAATCCTGGCCCTGGGGGACGAACTTTTCTGGACAATATCTACAACTTAAATTAATGTCAGCATGTCACGGTGTAATTTGAATTTAAGTTGGGACCTTGAATTGGAGAGATAGCTGGAAACACTGAAAAAAACACGCGAGGCTAGACAGAACCACGTTCTGGATTGCGGACGATGACGAACTTAGTGTACAAGCTGGAGAGAAATATGATGAACAATTTTACAAGGAGTACGTACGTAAGCCGCCTTACAAGTGATCTGTATGTCCATGATAATTTGCTCGTGCAAGAACAAAATCTTAGACAATGGGAGTGCAAGTCGATAGTACTAACGAGGAAATTCAGTAAATATCTCCCTTGAGCTCGAGGTTGTAGCGCTTGACCCCTTCCGGGACCGTCCTACTCTCTCGTGAAGATCTGGGATGGTGGGCATATTATAGTGATTGTGAAGCAGCGACAAAAGATCGTGTTTGGATGATACAGTAGTCCAGGATATTGCATAAACGTGACGTATTAACTTCGGTATTAATGTCCTTCCAACCAGATACTATGTAAATGCAAGAATGAGCTCACTGGACGCGCCCCTCGTCCATGTGCGCCAGATCCTGCTGCGCGCTCAACAATACTTCCTAGGAACTCCCGTCAGTAAATCCAGCGTATTGCTAAGACATCACATACCGTCACAAGCGCTTGTCGCGCCTCGTCCTTAATCTCCTTCCACCTCCCCTCATAGGTCGACAATAGTTGCTCATACTCATGTTTCCGAGCCAACGACCCAGTCCTGATGATAGACTGCAGAACAAAAATGCCTGCAACCCACTCCACCTCGTCTGCCTCCCATACCGCATCGCGCGCCATCAGTTCTGACAGCGACTCGGCCGTGCCGGAGTAGTCGTTGCGGAAACTCAACAAACCAAGCTCTAGTGCTGCGCCATGAATCTGTGCCCATTGGATGTGGTCTTTACGCTTTTGGCGGTCTGCGGCAATGCGCTCCATTTCATCGCTCATCGAGGTCCCGCCTACCGGTGCAAGGACCGGGTACCATACAGACGATTTACGAATGGCCATCTGCAGTGCGCGAGGACCAGCGAGTGGACCGGAGACACCCGCATGCATGATCGTGGCTGGGAAATATCCGCATGCTTCTGTGAAGCGACGGAGGATCGTTATGATCGTGTCGTGATTTGACGCGGTTCGTGAGGCAGTTGGGGCGTTGAGAGATGAAGTGACAGCCGCAAAGAGAGCATCAATGATGGGATTTAATGCAGTCGGCGAGGGATGTGACAGGACGTAGCTCTGAATGAGCGACGAGAGCGTCGTAGCATCTATTCCTCGTGTAAGGAACGCATCCCTCAAGGCAGTGGGGTTAACATTCAGAGCCAGTGTGGCCGCAGAAGGCACCGATACGTTAGTCTGGAAACTGAACTGTATATGGCTAGTAGGCGGAGGCGGAGGTACATGCTGTTGGGGTTGCTGCTGCTGTTGTGATGACGAGCTGGCAGTCTGAGCCGCTATGTCGTTTTGAGCAGCATACGACACAGTCGTTGGAGTCTCGAGATTCGGGCTCCATGTTAAGCTATTCTGACCAGGAGACCCAGAGACTATAATGCAAATCTAAGGATCAGGGCAGTGATACTGATTTGAGATCCAAACCTTTCTCAGCAGTCTTCTTGGATCTCGTTCTTCCCTCAAGCTTTCGTCTCGCTCGGCCAACGGTATTCTTGTACCAATTGTATATTTGCTAGGGTTAATCAATACATTTTCACTCCCTCAATGAACATCGACGATGGCAGCCCTCACCTCCCGAAACCTGGGCTCTGCCTCGTCGATACCCTGGAGGTCCTCTGGCATGCCAAAACGGACAAGGAACTCATTGGCGCGGTCCAGAGCAAACTTCTTGGCGTCGCCTCTCACATGCCCTCGAGTGCGCGTCTCAAAGCCGCTGATGTGACTTCGCAGAAAGATGAGCTGTTCGTCGGTATAAGCCTTGGGCAACCTGGGTTTGCTCACCCTGGGATCGCTGGCCATCGTATCGTGAGGCTGACACAAGGTTCGCTTTCATTCTCATCCTTCTTCGGCAACACCCGAAGGATCGTTCCTAATGGGCTAATGCTTATCACCACGCGGAACTAGGGCGGACTCTTTGAATCATTTGTGGTTTCGGATCTCCTCAGGTTCAAGCTCAAGGTCAAAGGAGTGCCATACAGTCATGCCAATGGTTCCAGGATAAGTATTAGTAGCGGGTATATATGTACGTAAAATATGTAGCATTGTCCAGTGAAGTGCGTAGTTCAGCTTTCGGAAAGCGCAGGCTTGCGGCAGATAGCGAGGTACATGGGCGTGAAGAGCTTCAAACGGACCATGAGCCTCACGCAAATCAATGGAAGGGTGCTGGAACTTACTTTTGTCTGACCACCCTTCACGAGCGCATCAGCAGCGACCTTAAGGGATTCGCCGACATCATGAGTGCCCTTGGGCAGAAGACCAACCATCTCCATGAGTTTGATTGCGGTGTGTGAAACGAGCTTGCCGCTCCAGCTCATCCGCCAAACGGTGAAGTAATCCCAGGCAGTCTGGGCCTTCAAGATATCGCCTTCAAGCGGGTAATACCACGGAACTTCGTCAGGGCGTTCGGCGAGATCCTCTTCATGCTCGATGGTGAAGCCGACGTTGGTCATGGCTGCGCGGGCTTTGTTCAAGTGACGCATCTCTGGGATACCATTGCCAAACTCGATTGCATGTGCAAGTTCCTTGTGTGCAGGGATTGAGGGATCCCACGTGTCAGTCATGCACCACTCGTAGACGCCGAACTGCAAACTGATGCTTAATATATCAAACTTCGAAGGCAATGAATAAACATACCACTCCTCCAGGCTTCAGAACCTTCATTATTTCACCGTACACTCCCTCCCACGTAGGTGCATGGACAGTGGCTTCAATGGCATAAACTGTTCTCGATGTGTTTGTAATCAACAATGTTTCACAAGACTGCACAAGCACCCACCAGCATCGAACGAGTTCTCGCCAAACTGTTCCGACAGCTTCATGAAATCACCCTTTGCAAAGCTTACTTGGTCCTCAAGACCAGCCTTCTTGGTGTACTTCCGAGCACGCTGAATCTGGAAGTCGTTGTTGTTCAAGCCAACGATGTTGACGTCGGCAAAACGAGCTATCTCGCGTGCGGGACCACCGACGCCACACCCAACATCAAGTACACGCATTCCAGGGCGAAGCGACATTTGGGCTGCGAGGTAGTGCTCATGGCGGGCCAAGGATGCTGCGAAAGCCTCTCCTTTGTAGAATCGCGAGAAGTGGAAGGACTGTGCCCAGCCGTACTCATACAGCTCTGTCGCACCAGTCGTAGTAGCCTGTCTTCTGTCAATAAACACCGTCGAAAAATCATGAGGTAATACATACCGTTTACAACGTCGGTGTAGCTCTCAACACGGTTTTGATTATCCACATCACCCTCTTGACCAAGATCCTTTTGCCAGAACTTGGTATAATTCTCGACGCGTTTCTCTTGACGTCCGTCAGCGTACTGAGTCGAAACCATACTGTCTGCAGAACAAAATCGCATAAGTAACAAATTCAACCTCCACGACATGATTTCTCGCAAGAAGATATGAAACTTACCAGGCGCGTAGAATGAAAGGATGAAGGAAACGGAGCCTTGGATGGAGCCTCTGCAAATTCAGTATGGAATAATGGAACCTTTATATAAATTGATGTACCCAGGATGTACCCGACGGCAAGAAATCAGGTCATTTCGTCTGCAGTCTGGACCTGAATCACGTGGACACACTGAACGGGCTTGCGTGCACATTTTGTATACATGTCATCCAACGGTTGTCTCCATCTAAGTATAGGGTCTGGCTATTTTTTTTATTCCCATATAAGCGTAGATCTATAGATGGGCAAAATAATATTGACATTGAAAATCGACTGGTAAAATTGATTGCCAAACGCGTGTAAATAATCGAGCCTTCGCAAGCATCTCAGCGATTATAGGCAACTCACGGGCATTGAAGGTATGCTGCTGTCAGATTGGCTCGAGCGCCCCTCGACGAGATGTCGAGGTGTGCCCGAACCGATCGGTGGCCGCATGCAGTATACATAACCGTCTGGTCACCGTAGTGTTGGGTTGCTCCCAGGAGAACACAGTATTTGAAGTTGGTTTGACGATCAAAAGTTTCTGATCGCGATTGGATCACGACGTTGTATAGTTTTGAGTGTTGAGAGTTATGTACGAGGCGTGCACAATAAGACACCAGTAAAGGTGAACCGATGAGGATCCCAAAGACGTTATCAAATGCCCCATTGACAGAATGCGCTGTCAACGCGAGATTTTGCGACGAGCAGCTGATGATAGCATGGCTCTGTGAAAATGTCCTTCGTTAGGTATCGTGTCTTTTCGTCTGAGCGGATGGCGTACGTTTTATGCAATATGGAACATCACCTACTTAATATTGAATATTAAGAGCTTGTCTGGTCGTGATTAAGGGGGAGCGGCATCGATACTACTGTGAACATTAAAAAGCGGACTGCAGCTGAAACCTGATCCAGTCTATGGATCAAAGGTTCAGCAGAATATCCTCTCTATTTTACGCCGCTTTCCTGAGAAGAGACTAACCACTAGATAACGGGTCAGCTAAAGACTGAGATACCACGCTTCTGCAACAAGAAGAGTCACTTACGGTGTTTGCATATAGCATATATGGTGAAACTATAGCAATCGATGGTGAACTGGATAGATGTTTATTACTTTAGTGCTCTAAAGTCATGAGTAAGAGGAGTTTGGAACTAGGCATGTTCTTTTTCCGAACGGGGGAACGTGACACAGGTTCCAACCGTCACTGCTCTCAGTGACGAGACATCCACTCCATTAGCTCCATTAATCCGTCGTCTCTCTATTTCACACCGCCAATTCCTTAACCACCCTTAAATTGAACGTGGTATGCAATGAGCTCGGCAGGTGGACTTTCTCGAAGGCGGGTGGGTGGAGCTTCATCGTCCTCAACTTCGGATGACGCCCCAAGTCCTGGATGGACACCAAATGGTCCCAGCCCTAATGGAACCGTTGCAACGCATGCAGGCTCTGCTTTTGAAGGTGGAAGTAAAGTTGCATTTGATCCTCGCGACCTCGATCAAGTTGAGGAGGACAGTCGCAACGGTGGAAGAATGCCTCGGCTGACCATCATGGAAGAGGTGCTCCTTCTTGGTCTCAAAGACAAACATGTATGTCTGGAGCCTCTTTTACATCACACACCTCCTTTGCTGCACACTTTTCTCGAGTGTCATCTGCACTTCATCCTAGGCTGCCCTGTCTCCGCAGCATGGCATGATGCCTCTTACATTAATTGAAGGCGCCCCGCTTTGCTTGGTCACATACTGACATCAACTCTTTGTAGGGCTATCTCTCCTTCTGGAACGACAGCATATCATATGCACTTAGAGGGTGTATCCTCATCGAACTCGCACTTCGCCGCCGCATAGCTCTAGTTAAGGATTCAAATCAACGCCGGAGTCCACTCGCAGACAGGCTGGTTGAGGTTATTGACGACAAACAGACGGGTGAAACTATCCTTGATGAAGCGCTGAGGATGATGAAGGGTCAGGAGTCAGATAGAATGTCAATAACTGGCTGGGTTGATCTAATGAGCGGTGAGTCTGGAATTTTATAAGGATTTTATGCCATCATTCGTGCATTGATGTACCTCTCATTGCGAAGCTGACTTTCTCGACCGACAGGAGAGACATGGAATGTCATGAAAATTGGATATCAACTTAAGCAGGTTCGCGAACGCCTAGCAAAAGGATTGGTGGATAAGGGTGTTCTGCGGACTGAAAAGCGTAATTTCCTGTTGTTCGATATGGCCACACACCCCGTCGCCGACGTACGGACGAAGGATACCATTATCACACGGGCGGTCTCGCTACTCACTGCGACCACTTCTACAGTACCACCAAGCGCTTTGGACAAGGAAGGCACTCAATGCAGGGTCACACGGGCCGTCTGCTTGGTGTGTGCAGCATATGCAGCTAGCGTGTTGGACAATGCGTTTGGCAGATTGACATATGAAGATAGGGAAGCAGCTTTTCAGAGATGTGACGAGATACTAGCGGAGTTTGCTTGTTGGCCGTTCGGGTCTAACTCAGCGACAGGGAGTGGCGGTGGTAGAAGGAGGGAAGCTGTGAAGATCGGGATGGGAAATACTACACCTAGTGGACGGGAGAGCGTGCTCGGTCTTGTGCAAGAGGTGAAGCGGGAGATGAACGGGGAGGAGGACCACGGGTTCCAATTGATTGCAGGAGTCCTCGAAGTTCTTTCAAAATTAGATTCACTATTGTGAAGGGTGAATGGATAATTTTCTGCGCTCTCTTGGTACTTTTTGGATGTCCATACGAGCTATCTAGCTTTTTGTTGATATTTATATTATTTTTACCTCAGTTATCTTCAAGGTATGTCTGGTACTTGGCGTGGATACTCGGAACTGACAGCTGCACGAAAGTCAAGACCTTTTGAGGTGATACACATGGCGTTTCTTTGACGACATTCTCAGGACGCGATCAATTCCGATCACGTATGACATACGCTGGCGCTTCATGACAAGCTATTTCACGACGAATAAAGTCTCTCACCATGTACATGAGACCTCCTTCAGTTATACTGATATGATATTCTCGGACCTATGACAACTTGCCATCACACAAGGTTATCCGAAATTTTGCTTGTACTTAATTGGCTCATCCCCATTCTTTTAGCTTAGATGTTTCAATGCCTCGGACTTGTACACACTCTCATGTTTGATCGATTTTCCCGGTAGGAATCCGCTGGGGACATTTTGCCTAAAAGCTCACCACAAACCGTCCCTGATCACTTTTACGAGAGTCACATCGGCCACCCACAGATTGGTCATAAAGTCCGGGTCGTTATCGCACACATCCTTCAAGCTTGCTATCCATACCCATAATCTTCCTCTACCGGCAGACTCCCGGTCATTGAACATGGCATTCAGCGTGGTCTTTCATCACGATGCTACCGATCCGCTAGCAGTTATCAGCGCCCCTCCCCCGAACGAATCTTCACACGACCGAGCCGCAAGAGAAGAACGGGAAGTTGAAGCTCAAAGAATAAGTGATCTCATCGACGATGAAATTCGCGCTGAACGAGCGGTAAGAAAGAAGGAAGAGGAATCGGTCAAGATCTTACTATTGGGTCAAAGCGAAAGTGGTGTGTTTATTCAAATTCAACGCTTCCTTTGGTCTCAGGCTTTGCAACAGGTAAATCGACAACTTTGAAGAGTAGGTTACGTTGCCTTTTAATTCTCTCATCATTGAACGAGCATCCTAGATTTCCGCATGCGGTTTGCCCGAGATAAATGGATAGAGGAGCGAGCATCATGGCGAGCAGTCATACTGTTAAATCTCGTTCGGTCTGCAAACACCATCCTTGATGCGCTATCACAGGATATGGACGAGGAACAAGACGGACTCAATGATGCGTCCAAGTTCGACGATTACTATCGTCAATATAAAGTTCGCCTGAGTCCGCTGCAGGCGGTGGAGAGTAATTTGAAACGCTTACTCGGCGCAACCCCGGAAGACATCCAACCACGCAAACAGAATTCTCCAACAACTCTCTCACCCTGCGGGTCATCGGAATTCTTTATTCGTTCCCGGGCTTGGCGCAATTTTATTCAAACAACCCGAGGTCACGAGTTCTCGAAACATTCCTTCGAGCGGGACCTACCCAATTTAGTCGATAACACAGAGGTGATCGCGAATTGCAAAGATGACATCAAGGCCCTATGGATGGATGGTCTCATACAGGATATGCTATGGAGACGGAGAACCCGGCTCGAGGATTCCGCTGGCTTGTCAGCTTATTTGTATTCATTTTTCGCTTTCTCTGAACCCATCTGCCCGTAGCTTTTTGGACGCAATCGACAGATTGTCCGCGCGAGATTATGAGCCAACAGATGACGATGTCTTACGCGCACGATTGCGTACGCTTGACATCCAGGAACACGAAATGAAAGTTGATGGTGAGTGAAGCGTCATGAGGTGTTTTCTCCTTGTTCTCTGAATACATTTGCAGATACCGACGCTCCGAAATGGAAGATTTTCGATGTTGGCGGCTCGCGTACACAAGTTCGTGTTTTGCTCCGATTTTCTAATCATGTTCACCACTGACGATGACTGCCAGCGACATGCATGGCTACCGTATTTTGACCAAGTCAATGCAGTCATATTCTTAGCACCAATTTCGTGTTTTGACGAGCGACTTCTCGAAGACCCCCGTGTCAACCGTCTAGAGGATTCTTTCATACTCTGGAAGGCCATATGCTCCTCCAAGCTTCTCTCGGGCACGATCCTTATCCTTTTTCTAAACAAGATGGACATTCTCGAGCAGAAAATCAGAAACGGCATAATGGTGAAGCGCTTTCTCCCCAGCTACGGCGACCGGCCAAATGAGACCAATGATGTTGTCAAATGTACATATTTCTTGCTTGTGTTGCGAGCTTCCAGGGTAATTAATGTCTTGCATCTAGACCTTCGACAAAAATTCAAAGACACGGTGAGGTACTGTTCTCCGGAGCCGCGGATATGTCATATCTACCCGACGTCCGTTACTGTTAGTTCTTCCCTTGTTCCAGGCCGAAAGTCCTGTTAATTTCATTTGCCTAATAGGATACGAAGGCGATGGCTGTGACGCTGACTTCTGGTGTGTGCTTCTGTATTACCCTGTGGTTAACGCAACTTGTTGAAATGAAGGAACAACCTGGCAGTACGCGACGGGATCTTGCGCGAATACCTGAAGCGGGCGGACTTGTTCTGAACGCCGGATCACGAAGTGACAGTAACATTTGTAATAACAGATCATGCGCGACCTGATATAGATATGACAGTTGACGATTTAGATACGACAAGTGTAATGAGCGCACGATTACCCCCTTGCTTGCTGAAGCATTACTCGTGGATACCATATCATAGGTATCTACATGGACGCGAAGCATAATACGATCAGTACACATGAACTTCTCACACGACTGTAAGCTCAACTTGTCTGTCAGGCTACAGAGGTCTCCATCCATCACCTGCCGGCCACTTGAGGTTGTCTGCTTCCTTTGGAAAGTCGCGGCGTACTCTACTGTTCTTCATCCGCTCCAGGTTTTCCCCTGAGCTCGGCTCGTCGTCAGTGGAAGGCTCAGTATACGGATCACGGTCAACATGAGCGCCGTCGTCGTCCTCCGATCGGGTATCCGTCATCAGCCCCTGCTCGCCCTCCTCCACCCACCTCCCCGGCGCACCAATATGCGAATGGTGAACGAACCCCCGCCGACTGAGACCTGCCTCGGCTTTGTACCGCGCCGCATCCAGTTTCGGCTGGGCCTTGAGCTGGAAATTTGAGATCGTTTTCTGAATGTGGGACATTGGCGAGGCGTCGGTGGTGTCGCGATCCCTCGTGAGGGAGAGATGACGAGAGAGGCCTTGGAATGAGGATGTTCGTGCATGCGAGGGAAATACGGGTGAGGAGAGCTCCGTTGTACTTGATGCTGGAGTGACCTGGATGCTCTCGGGACGCTTTCGCCGAGGAGGGGGAAGTGGGGGCGTTGCGGCGTGGTGCATTGACTTGGACCGCGTGGCGCGTGTGGAGGTGGTCGTGGGGGACTCTGCCGTGTCGCTTGTGGGTCTACGATCCGGGTGAGTCGGTGGCGCAGGTAGATGGGACGAGCCGTCTGATGTCGTGATTGAGAGGGTGTTTCCGGGAAGTATTGATTTTCTATTTGAAAGTGGTGGGCGGAATAGGGTGGGCACATATGGGAACTGAGTGTTTACGGTGGCACTTGCTACTTGGTCGATGGAGGGCAGCGAACTTGATGCTGACGACGGAGAGCTGGGTGTTCGTCGGCGGGGAAGCGGAGGTGCAGGGCATGTGTCTTCAGATCCAGATGAACGACTCCCGAGTCCTTTGCGGAATTGTTTTGTGGGACTTAGGCTGCGCGGCCTGCTGCTCGCAGACGAACCGGATGACGTCGTTTTGAGCACCTGCAGAACACGCTCACGGTCTAGCTGTTCTTCAACACGTTTCATGTTCTGGCCTTGTTTGCTAGCCTCCAGCGATTGTTTCATTAGGGGACTCATGATGTGGCTTGGTCTAATACTCTGAGGAGCATGGAATGGTGCCAGAACAGATGCGTCGAGAGGCTGTGCTAATGATGTGCGACGTGGTGGGCCAACCAAGGGCGCTGGTTTTCGAGGAGGAAGCGGTGGAAGTTTGCCGTCCTTCCGCCTCTCTGGCGATTTATTGATAGGGTCTGCCCCATTTGCTTTGTCACGCATCAAGAACGGATTATGGCTGATCTTCTGTGGCGGACGTGAGGGTATGACCGGAGGGGTGTCACATTGATCTGGAAGAGACGATAATGAGTGGTGCGTATCGGACTCGAGCGATTTGCGGAAGGGATTTGTGTCTGGGGAGGAAGAGCTTGAGGATGTGGCATATTGTTTAGATTGGTCGGGATAAAACAGTGGTGGGCGGACTTGAGGCTTGGAGGGAGAAGTTGATCTGGACTGGTCATGGACTTTTTCTGAGATTGGGTGGGCTGCAAGACATTCCGGTCAAAGATGATATTTAGAGGATATTAGGAAGGAGAGTTAGTACACACCTTGCACAAACGCTAGAGTTCTATCAACGCCTTTACCTGACGCAGCGTGAAGGACAAGTCTGAGTGCAGCAAAGAACTGGCCGCCGGTGAGACAATCTGTGTGGAGCATGTTTGGGTAGAACAGTTTCAAGATCTGCGCGGAACGCGTATGGTTAGGACATGAAGCAAGCGAAGAAATTGGCCTAACCTCGTCAATATCAGCAGCTAGCAGATGAGGATATCTCCCTCGTAGCCAAGCTCTGACTTCGCGGATACCAACGGACATAGCCTCATAGTGGGCATCATCATAGAAGGTGGTGGTATTAGGTGAGGCTGCAAGATCATTGAGAGCTGAAGTATATAAGTTGTACTCAAGATCGTTGAGTGCAGATACATGAAGAGTTAGAGGTCGCATTGCAAGCCGGGAAACAACGGGTTTTGCATGTGTTCAAAGCAAGTTACTCAAGCGCGTACCTCTGATCCGCGCTTAACACCCCTTGCACGTGCCTTCTGACCCGCCACCATTGTAATCTCATCCTCAGTCGAACACCGCTCTTTCTTATTCATCTTATACCAAAACATGTCAGAAATCGCAACTAGTGGACGTGAAGATCTTCCCCCACCGTACAGCCAGTCTGGCACTACCTCCTTCCTAGCACCGCCCACGTGGGAGCCTCACTTTATAGATCTTAGCCCGGAATTACCTCAACATTCATCTATTATTCCTCGCAAGCCCTTAGACCCCCCACCTGACTGCTTTTCCACTCCGTCACCTCTGCGAGTGAAATCTAACGATTTCCCTCCATTCAGAATCCCCTGCGCTGGGCATCAGCTCGCAGACGGTTTCCGCATTCTTTATCCCTCGGATCTACTTGAGAAACATGGGATACAACAGGCGGACTGGACGCGCTTCCTAGAAGATCTTGGGATCTCTGCTCGTCTTGCGGGTCGGGGTCTCAGTGCAGTGGGTTCTCGCGTTCCCGTCACAGCACTCCCCATCCGTGGCATATTTAGCACAAGAGCAACTGGGATGGCGTACGACTCTCAGTTCACGAGAAGTCCTAGGGAAGAGGTGCAGACAATAATTAGCGTGTGGAACCAGTCTGCATTTGAGCGACGGAAATTGCGAGTCAGTCTACAAATCAAAGTAGGGGCGGATACCAGGGCCGAGTATGAGCTTCTTGTCGAGTCTCTGTGAATCAATCATCCACAAGGACCCCTACACATACCACCAGAGTTCTTTATATTTCAGATATACGATTCACAGCAGATGTAGCAGCACACGTTTGTAAATGTAGGAAACGTGCTTTCATGCATGGACTACTCATCTTCGGGTTTCAACAACATAACTTTGCAATTTGATTCACGCTATAAATAATCGTTGGAGCTCCCTGTGCAATATGCAGCAGTGCGCTCGTGGCTACTCACGGTTGGTCAATATTTAACACCAGCGTTTCTCGTTGACTCACGTTCGTCTGGATTCATCTCAGCGAACTTATCGATCGCACTGCAGCGGGCCACCCCATACATATATTAACAAGATAGCAAGTTTTGTACGATCTGTCTTCGATTTTTCCAGGAAGTCGAATCTCACAACGGTGAAGAAATTCAGCCTCGATTTGCCTGGAACTTTGTCTAGCCTCCAAGCAGACCACCACAGTGAAGAATCCAGGGGTTCGCAGGGCAGGAACGCGCCCGTATCCTGAAGACAGATAAGTATGCGAATTCGATTGACTTAATGCACAAATATCCAAATTATGACATGTTAACATTCAAAAGGGTGTACTGACGTCGGGACGACACTCACGGTCGTCAAAACATGTCTGTCAGTCAGGTATAGTGGTGTCTATCTCTTTGCTACGAAGCCTATCGAACACAATTTCACGTTCTCGGGCGCTGTGTATCGTGGCCTGAAAACGACGGTGGGTGAGGAGCAGTTCAGCATGGATCGGGCCGACAACCGTTGGCGACAATGAGCAAGCTTGTGACATGTGCAAAGCAGCAAGACCCTTGCATAAATAGCGGCAGGCATGATCAACTTGGGGACTTGTTGGGATGATAGTTGTGGAGATGGAAGGGGTTAACAGGGTGGCATTTGATGTCCACCGGTACCAAATTTGCGAAAAGCGGAACCTGCAGGAACGCCATCAGATTGGTGTCGATGGAATTCTCGCGGACGATGATCACGCTCACCGTGATAAGTTCATCCTCTGGGGCACTCATTGACTTCGTACCTGAATCAAGAACCCATAAGCGTGTCCAAGCCTCAATCTGTAGTGGTGCATGACCATTTCGCGGTGGTGTGTACTATGTAGTTCGAACGGGGTCACTATAGGTCACTGTGAGGTCTTCGGCGTTCGGGAGTTTGACTTTCGGGGATAATTAGGTAGAAAAAGGGAAAAAATTCGTCCAGGAGGAATGAGGACTAAAATGACCACCGCAGGGGTCGAACCTGCAATCTCCTGATCGCGGTTGTTATCGTAGTCAGACGCGATGCCATTTCGCCAGGCGGCCGTGTATTAGCCATCGCCATTGGGTATCCTGAATGTCCCCCTTAATTATTCAAGAGTGTCATCAAGAGAAGGTGCAGTCAAGGTGTCCTGCGGTGGCGCCGCCGCCGGTACTGACAACGGACGCATGTAGCTCGGCGACGGCGAGCAGAAGGCACCATACACCGGCAAAGACGACCTAAGGTACACTTCGGATGCGCTCATCGATGTTTCGAAGGAGTTATTGCAATGCGACGAACATGAGCTGCAGATGGGTGCGTCGAATGTCTGGCGGTTTGGTCGGATTGTTGACGTATTTCGCAGAGCTTTTTAACCTGCTGATTAACCCATTGGAACATGATTTTGCTCTTCGATGGGATCGTGATGATGTCCGAGAGAATGCTACTGCTGAGGAAGAAGTTGCTGCTCTTGGACTCTGGACGCATGGTGCGAGTACGTCCGCAAAAACCTTGCTTGACCAATTAACATGACTGGTAACAGGATAGATGAAGCCCCAAGCGTCAACTTGAAAAATTCAATAAAATAGCGTGTATCAAAGGGAAAATGTTGGATGAAACGAACAATCAAAATAACAAAAGTTGAAGGTGCCCCGCAATTGAATTTTAAGACCGCACTACAAAGAAAGTAAGTACTGCACATGTAGCTGCAGCGAAGGTGTCTGTGGCGGCCAAGTGTCGGAAAAAGGTAACGTACCATTATAATACTGCCGGCTTACAAGTTTGATCACATGCGTTAAAAGGCACATTATAGAAAAATTGGTCATGGGAAGGGGAGGCTCGCCGCAGCGGGCCGAGGAACTTGGAAGGGGTCGGTGCTCGGAAGTCGGAAAACCATCCCAGGGGGAAGTCTCTGGGAGTACCGAAACCTCGCTACTGTGTCCATTGGCTTTCGGCCAAATGATTTAATACATAGGTGAAGACAAAGTCCCAACGAGATAGCTTATTTTTGACGTCAGATTCAGATGGCAGCATTCGATATTACCGGCACGGTTGACATTGAATGCCCACCCACACGCACACATTATTTATATGGTCATTTCAGAAATACATTTCAAAGTTGTAAAAAAATATCTTCTGGTGGGCTGGTACATATTTATATAGGGAAGTTGTAAATAGGTTCGGTTAAATAACTGGTTTTGTTAGGACTTTGGCTTTTAAAAGGAAAAAAATTCTATATATATTGGTCATAACTACAAATAATCACAGTATAGCAAGGAGTGAAATAGTTGTAAAACAGAGATAGGCATTCAGAATAGTTAGCACTCGCAACTGTTGCGAGTGCTACAGGATTGCATATGCAGTGTAGTTAGCACTTGCAACAGTTGCAAGTGCTACTGCAGTACAACTGTAGTAGCTATATTGTTGCACTCGCAACTGTTGCAAGTGCTAATGCAGTACGGCTGTAGTAGCTATACTTATATGGTCATTTCAGAAATACATTTCAAACTTGAAAAAAAATTCCTTCTTGTGGGCTGGTACATATCTTGGAGGGCACTTCTAGGAATGATATGAGCCAACAATGAAAGAAAACGGCGGTTGGGTTGTGGAGATATTGTCAAAATACTGACTTTTCAGCCCACCTGACATATCACATCATTGTCGACCTCTGGATGCTCTGGGACCATCACCAATCGATTCCTAGGCCTCAATAACCTCAGTTACATTGTTTTCAATATCATTATTGAGGTGCAATATCGGAATAGTGACATAAAGGTGATCAGGGGGGGAGGAGGACCTTGTATATCTCAGGAATATGATTTTTCCAGGGAAATCTGGCATGACCATCGTGTTCAGAGGGCTCAAGAACCCCCAGGAAAAATAGTTCTGAAGGACAGGCAAGTCACATGAAGGCTAGAAAAATCGATCTTTGGGTGGGGCAGCATGACAGGGGTGGTCAACTTTGGAACATGATTTTTAGAGCGAAATCTGGCTCGACCATCGTGTTCATATGGTCAAATAACCTCTAGAATGAATCCTAGCTAAAGCCAGGCAAGTCATATGAAGGCTGAAAAAATCAATCTTTGGGTGGGGCAGCATGGCAGGGGTGGTCAACTTTGAAACATGATTTTTAGAGCGAAGTCTGGCTCGACCATCGTGTTCATATGGTCCAATAACCTCTAGAATCAATCCTATCTAAAGCCAGGCAAGTCATATGAGGGCTGAAAAAATCGATCTTTGGGTGGGGCACCATGACAGGGGTGGTCAACTGTGGAACATGATCTTTAGAGACAAATCTGGCATGACCATCGTGTTTGTATGGTTGAATAACATTCAGAAAGGTTCCTAGTGAAAGCCAGGCAAGTCATGTGAAGGCTGAAAAAATCGATCTTGGGATAGGGCACCATGACAGGGGTGGTCAACTGTGGAATATGATTTTTAGAGACAAATCTGGCATGACCATCTTGTTTATATGGTTTGATAACATTCAGAAAGGTTCCTAGTGAAAGCTAGGCAAGTCATGTGAAGGCTAAAAAAATCGATCATTGGGTAGGGCACTATGACAGGGGTGGCCAACTGTGGAATATGATTTTTAGACACAAATCTGGCATGACCATCGTGTTTATATGGTTTGATAACATTCAGAAAGATTCCTAGTGAAAGCCAGGCAAGTCATGTGAAGGCTGAAAAAATCGATCTTTGGATAGGGCATCATGATAGGGCTGGTACTCAACTTTGGAACATGATTGTCAGAGACAAAAATAGTATCACCAATGCATTCATAGGGTTCAATAACCTCGATCATGAGTCCTAGTTAATGACAAATGTGTTATATCAAGGGCTAGTGAATCGATCTTTGGATAGGGCACCATGACAGGGGTGGTCAACTGTGGAACATGATCTTTAGAGACCAAACTGGCATCTCCAATGCATTAATATGGTTCAATAATATCAATAATGAGTCCTAGTAAATGACAGATGTATCATATGAAGGGCTAGTAATTTGATCTTTGGGTAGGGCACCATGACAGGGGTGGTACTCAACCCTGGAACATGATCTTTAGAGACCAAACTGGTATCACCAATCATTTAATATGGTTCAATAACCTCGATAATGAGTCCTAGTTAATAACAAATGTATCATATCACGGGCTAGTAATTTGATCTTTGGGTAGAGCAGCATGACAGGGGTGGTCAACTGTGGAATATGATTTTTAGAGACAAATCTGGCATGACCATCGTGTTTATATTGTCTAATAACTTTCATAAAGATTCCTTGTTGAAGCCAGGCAAGGAATATGAAAGCTGAAAAAATCGATCTTTGAGTAGGGCACCATGACAGGGGTGGCACTCAACTTTGGAACATGAATGTTAGGGACAAAACTGATATCACCAATCGATTCAAAAGGTTAAATAACCTCGAGAATGAGTCCTAGCTAATAACAAATATGACATATCGTGGGCTAGTAAATCGACCTTTGGATAGGGCATCATGACAGGGGTGGCAGTCAACTCTGGAACATGATTTTTAGAGACAAATCTGGCATGACCATCGTGTTTATATGGTGTAATAACCTTCACAAATATTCCTAGTTAAAGCTAGGCAAGTCATGTGAAGGCTAAACAAATCGATCATTGGGTAGGGCACCATGACAGGGGTGGTCAACTGTGGAATATGATTTTTAGAGACAAATCTGGCATGACCATCGTGTTTATATGGTTTGATGACTTTCAGAAAGATTCCTAATTAAAGCCAGGCAAGGAATATGAAAGCTGAAAAAATCGATCTTTGAGTAGGGCACCATGACAGGGGTGGCACTCAACTTTGGAACATGATTGTTAGGGACAAAACTGATATCACCAATCGATTCAAAGGGTTAAATAACCTCGAGAATGAGTCCTAGCTAATAACAAATGTGACATATCGTGGGCTAGTAAATCGATCTTTGGATAGGGCACCATGACATGGGTGGCAGTCAACTCTGGAACGTGATTTTTAGAGACTAACCTGGTATCACCAATCGATTCATAGGGTTCAATACCCTCGAGAATAAGTCCTAGCTAATAACAAATGTGACATATCGTGCGCTAGTAAATCAATCTTTGGATAGGGCACCATAACATAGGTGACAGTCAACTCTGGAACGTGATTTTTAGAGACTAAACTTGTATCACCAATCGATTCATAGGGTTCAATAACCTCGAGAATGAGTCCTAGCTAATGACATATGTGCCGTATCATGGGCTAGTAGATCGATCTTTGAATAGGGCACCACGACAGGAGTGGTAGTCAACTCTGGAACATGATTTTTAGAGACTAAACTGGTATCACCAATCGATTCATATGGTTCAATACCCTCGAGAATGAGTCCTAGCTAATGACATATGTGCCGTATCATGGGCTAGTAGATCGATCTTTGGATAGGGCACCACGACAGGAGTGGTAGTCAACTCTGGAACATGATTTTTAGAGACTAAACTGGTATTACCAATCGATTCATAGTGTTCCCTAACCTCGAAAATGAGTCCTAGCTAGTAGCAAATGTTAGGTTAGGTTAGGTGGTGTCGACACACGAGCGCGAAGCGCGAGTGTGGAGATGTGAAAGCTGTGAGAGGAGACTATTCGGTAGCAAGTTAGCCCTCGCTTGGGTGAGCAGAGGACGCTTTCGATGGTACTGGCCATCTCATCAGGCTGAATAGTGGTTTTTATACCTGTAAGGCTGTAGATGTGAATCTAGCAGTTATTATTGTTATCGTTGTGATAGAACGATAGCAAACATGGAAGGATAAGGGTTATATCAGTACCCGGATCTAACAATCCAATGGAACGCGTTGGAAATACCGTCGCAGGACTACAAAGGAGTGAAAGGAGTCCCTTAGGGGCCGTCATATGATGCAGAGTGGGTGATAAGATAAGATCACCGGAGGGACGGCACCCGAAGCCGTTACCAGCGCGGAGCGCTGGTACGGCTTCCAAAAGGAGAGGCCGCCGGCTTATGCATGACATAAGGGAATCAGGGGTTCAAAAAATGACCGAAGCTTAGAACAAAACTAAAAATGACATGTGAAGTGTCAAATTCTACCGGGTAGTTAACCCGAATAGAAGGAAACTGCTTTAGGTGACAGTCTAATGACGTGCGATCCGACCGTGGGTCAGATTCCACGCTGTCAAGATCATGGGAAAGCAGTGAACGTATCGGGACACGGACCGCCGAAGGCGGTCACAGGGTGGCCCGAAGAAGGGTGAAGGTGTGAAATTTTCAGACACATAAAAGGACGTGTCGAATGGTAGACGGTGGTTGACTTAGTTCTCGCATGGATCGCTACCGCCAATACAAGAATACCGCCACTCTGAAACAGGGCAAGCCCTGGGGTCATTCTCGAGGGGCGAAACGCGCTCGCATCTATCGCCTCTGTCGTCGAAGTACCGAGGAGTATTACAACCGGGAAGTCGCCCCCCTTCAAGGAGACGGAGGGCGAAGCAAGGATTGGAAGAATGACCCTCCATTCCATGATTCCTGGGAGTATACGAAGGAGGTACCATCCATCCTCCTCGCTCGCAGTGTGTTTGAACGCTGAGAAGCGATCAATAGTGAGTGGTGGCTGCTACTTCTTGGACTTGTACTAATACGCATCCAGAAATCCACGCCATCATGAAGCGTCTTCCGTCAAGGGTGCTTCATCAGATAAGCACGAGGAAGTACACTCAGTGGTTGGAGCGCACCAAGGACTTACTGCCGGTCACGACTTGGTACCCAGGTATCGCTACCCAGGGACCTGCGCAACAGGCTGCCCGGTGGTCTTTCCAGCCCAAAAGGTACGTTCTGGTGTTACCAACACCATTTCTTTCCGTTAGTTTTGTTAGTTTAAACGGTTTACTGATATACCGGTCGATTAGGACCTGTATGACGCCAGAACCTGAGTTGTTCAGGAGAGGCGGCTTACTCGGTGACTCCGTTAGTAGGGAGTACCGATTGGCTGTCACTGGTGAGCCAGTTCCAGGGGCGAATAATACTTTTTTCGCCTGGGACAGCGCCTCCGTTCGGGCTTGGAGAGCCGAAGAGGCCGCGAAGTACGTGGGACTAATCGCGCATGAGGAGGAGGACTTAGAGCCCAGGTCGTTGAACGAGGGTAGGCACTGGTGACTCCTAGAGTTACCTGTAGAATACTATCGTCTACCAGAGGTGTAAAGCTCCAGCATGCGAAATGTAATCGAGTGTCTGCCTGTCAACGCCCCTAAGTGTCCAGTGAGAACGGTTACCCGTAAGGTAAAGGGGTTAGCTCTTAGAAAAGATTAGAGTCAGAAGGTTAGCCCAGTTAGCCGTTAGACGTTTAGGGTTAAGCTACGGGTGGCAGTCAGCAAAACATCATCTCCTCGCGGAGTTGATTGCCACGCACGTTAAGTTAGGTCAAAGATTGCTTGATGAATAACAATCTTCTCCATGACTCCAACTTATCGAACAATAATAAGTCCTGTACTGGCGTCAGTACTGCAAATCCTTCCAAGGAATTACATGCTCGTCGTCATTCAAGAAGTACTCAGCTTCGTTCTCGAATGAATCGCGCATTTGACTTTTCTTCCACGTGTTGTAGAGGTCGCCTAACGCACGAGTGCGCTTCTTGCTTACAACACCTCGTCTTCCAGGGATGTCTGACAGTCTAATGTCTTCCATCAATTCCTGTACGAAGACCGGGATATCTCCAGGCTTGTTACATACCCAGTAACGCGCCCATCGACACAACGGCTGTTGGGGATCCAACGGTAATCGGGGTAGATCCGGGTCGCTACTTCGACAGCTCCAACTGAAATCCCCTTGGCTACCAAGGGGCACATCGATCGCCTCATCAAGGTTTCCCGAAGACGCATCATCTCGAGTGATTGCGGGCACAAGAGCGTGGTACAACGGTAATACCGAGCCGGGCAAGGGATGACCAGAGGGAGGGGCAGGATTAGATACACTACCCATGTGTCCGTGCAGAGCACTTTCACTGTCGTCAGAGGAGGGTGAAGCCCTCCCCGTACGCTGTCTTTTCAACGGTGGGGCACCGGAACGAGAGCCAACGTTCCCCTGAATAGCCATCTGCCCGTTCAGTCCGGGCCGCGGAGGCCTAATGTCAGGGGTGAGGGAACGAAGGCGCGATGGCCCAGCCACCCCAGCTTGCGCGAGGGGTATAGGCCGGGCACGTTTGACGCTAGCCCGTGCTAGTGCATCGGATAAGCTCAACTGGACATAGTCCCGTTGTTGTTGTGAAGATGTTGGAGTTTCCGCCATATCTGGGTCCACAATGTCAGCTGCTCTCGCAGTAATGACATGTCGGAACTTTCGACGGTTAAACCAAACGTCTGCGTTAGCAGAGATTTCAGGAGGCATTCTGACGGTGATCGAATTATGTAGGCTGCACCGTCCTTGGAGGTCACACCACGCGATAGCGTTAAGGTGAGTTTCCCAAGATGTCCTGATAGAAGTCAACATGCCGTGCACGTCGAACTGATCCCAAACGGGATTGAACTCGGTTTTTAGGACTAAGAGATTAACCGGGGTGATCTTCTGCAATTCTTTGCGAGAAGGTGCCAGACGATCTTTCCATCTCTTTTCGGAAGTTGTCCTTAATCCACCTGTTCAACAAGGCTGAGGGATAACCGCGGGCCTCGTACATTAATACGATGTCCGCAAGTGCCTGTTTGTAGTGTTCTACACGACTACTCAGGGTTGCTAGCCTTGACATTTCACTAATAAATGCCCCTTTCTTGACATCTTTAGGGTGATTTGTCACGTAAGGGATACGTTCGTGATGGTTCAGTGCTTTGCGATAGGGGCGCCATTCAACGGTGGGGGACCTAGATCCCTTGCCCGCGATGTACACCCACATGTCCAGAAATGGTGCGTTCCATTCCGACACTGACCAGTCCATTTGTAGTTCGTCATGAAACGATACAAAGTTCAAACGTTCTAGGGCTTGTTCTTTCGAGTCTGCATATACAAGCGCAAAGACGTCATCCAAATACCGTCCGTAGAAAGGGATGTGGGGATGTACGGTATTGGGTGGAAACCAGACCTTTTCCGATATCGCGGCATACAGTTGAGCAATATCAGGGCTGCATGCTGCACCCATCGGGAGGCCGCGTAGTTGTTTGTACGCATGGTTACCAAATTTAACGAAGAGAGGTTTTAACACTCCAATCTGAAAACAGGAGAGCACTACGTGCTTCTCATAAGGGCTCAGAGATTGGAAGTGCGCAGTCTTTTGCCACTCGCGTAATACTTTGAGTGCCGCAGAGGGATGCGGGATATTCGGGTAATATGCAATAATATCACCCGTCACAATCCAGACCTTTCGGTCCGAGTGCAACTTCACTTCGGAAAGCCGACGAGCCATGTCCTTCGATCCCTGAATGATCGTGGCATAGAGTTCGTACATCGGTTTCAAATATTTTGAAACAACTTTCGCCGCAGGTGCCTGCATGATGCTGTGGCACGGAACGATGGGCCTATAGCCTGTTGGTTTCTTATGTATTTTAGGAATGACGTAGAATTCCGGCAATACAGGCCAAGCACCATCTTTCTTGGGCATTTTAGAACGCAAAAAAGCGAATAGTTGTTCCCATTCGTCTCTCATAGATATGCCACCGAATCGCTTTATTGTCAGCTTTTCGATAGAGTCTCTAACGTCGACGACATAATCCTCGAGCTCTTGGTAAGTAGCCAACTTGTAGTTACTCTGATCGCCAAGTAGAGTTCGAGCTCCCATAATGAGCCACTCCCGGGTGACTACTGCCGTTCCCAGATTTTTATCTGTTCCGGTGACTACATATTTATGTAGATCGAGATATTCCTTGAGTTCGACCACTTTTACCAGACCCGAGTCTTTGGCAAAGTGTTTTAAACGTGTCTCAACGTGCGCAACATAGGTCTCGCAAAATCGTTCTCCAGCGTTTAAGCCGTCAAGGATGTAATCAGGCAGTCCGTCAGGAAAGTTATCCTTAGGAATTTTTAGATCATAGTCAGGGTCATAGGGGTGTTTTTTGTCACTTTCATTTGATCCGATGAAGTTAATTCTCCATGCAAGACGACGTTTGAAATCAAACCAAGCGTCCATGATAAGGTTGACAGAGGGTTTATTGTACAACAAATAGCGTCCAGAACTACTCAGGATATTCGCTAGATGATCGGGGATATGTACATTGGGACCTATATGACACATCGATAGAAATCGTCTGGTTCGTAGATAATTCTCGTTTATCGTACTAGAAAGCCAGCGTATCGCTAAACTTCGGTGGAGGTTTAGTAAAGTGTCTGGGTAGCTATCGGGGGCATCGTACCGAAATTTATCGGCGATCAATAGTGCCTCAAGCACCGCTATTTTTGCGGTTGCTTTCCCGACTTCTTCGAGGAGGGCTTTCCCTTCTTTGGGCCCTTTGAAGATGAGTTTCCATTGGGTTTTCCTTTGCCAGCCTTCTTTGGCTTCGAGGATTTCTTCGCCGCGTTCTTCGCGGCGTGCTTCTTCTTCGTCCTTTGCCCATTCCCTGAAGAACCATTGTTCTTCTTGGGCTTTTTGGGACGTTGGGAAGGTTTCTTCCCTTTCGAGTTGGATCCTTTCGAAGAATTGACATTCATCTAAGGATAAAGGGACATGAGCAAGCAACTCATGACGCGACGCCATAACAAAATGAAATGCAAGCGTAATCGCGTAATCAATGAAAACGGTATTAATCGTGAATAAGGCATGTAGCGAGTCAAAGTTTGGAGGGAGGGTCATGCGGTGATCGCGCACCTTTTTCATCCTTCGCATGACTTCACGATAAGCACGGTCTGCGACCGCTTTGCTTTCAACTTCGGGGTTGCCACCACCGTCGTTTTCGTCGTCTCGCAACTTAACAGCCTTTTCTTTACGAAAGTCCTTAGCTTCACAATCATTTCGCGCGATTTGAATTGCTCTAGCACATATCGTAGGTATGTCGTCTTTAAGACGATCAAACTCTGATGTGATGAAGGGGAGTTCCCGTTTCAAGTATTGAGGGACGGGTCTTCCGTGATCATCCATAATTTGGTCTTCCCCTTGTCCGGGTGCGACCCATTTAGGATTTTCATAAATCTCTTGTCCTGTGAGAGCAACGACTGCTCGACGATTGTCAAGACAGCCGGCAATACGAGGGAGATACACTATACACCGTATGGCTGAATATTATATAAAACATGTCACATTTTTATTGTTTTATGAGTATCTCATTTGATAGAGGGTGTTACTGGGATTGTGTTCCACTCACTTTTATAAAATTTGGTGGTCAGGAACATGAGTTATGTCCATTTTACTGTTTGGAAGGTGATACCACTCTATGACCATATTCAACAGGTATTATGTCATCTACAGGGAGTTATATCACTTGCATATAGGTCTATAAGTATTATAATCAGGTAAATTTGGTATCTCCATCTGATGATAACCACATTCAGACATTTGCCCTAGGTGAGAGGAGGAGGGGGTGAACTATAGCAATGAAAAAAATTCCTGTGATCCTGAAACTTGGTTTATCATCTTCTCTGACCTTTAAACTGGTGGGCACATGATCAGCTTGGTCACTGGTACATCCAGAGTGATCTGGCTCTGGTGTCTCCTGGTGGGTTGAGATGATCTGAGTCTATCACCTCACAAAAAATTCTGGGGATCCTGAAAACTAGCCTATCATGTTCTCTGGCCTTTAAAATGGTAGGGACATCATCAGTATACTCGCCAGTACATAATCTGGGTTTGGTGTCTCTTCATAGCAGGAGGTGTTCTCAGTCTATGATCTCACAAAAAATTCCTACTGCTCTGAAACTTGGTGCACCATCATTCTTGACCTTTACAATGGTAGGAACATAATCAGCTTGGTCACCGGTGCATCCAAGATGATTTAGTCCTGGTGCCTCCTGATCACTGGAGGTGACCTAAGTCTATCACCTTACAAAAAATTCCAGACATCCTGAAACTTGGTGTATTATCATGTCTGACCTTCCAAATAGTGGGGACATGATCAGCTTGATCACTGGTGCATTTTGAGTCATCTGCTCCTGGTGTCTCCTGATGGGTGAAGGTGATCTGAAGCTATCACCTCACAAAAAAATCTAGACATCCTGAAAATTGGTGTATCATCTTCTCTGACCATTACAATGGTGGGGACATGATCAGCTTGATCACTGGTGCATTTTAAGTCATCTGCTCCTGGTGTCTCCTGATGGATGAAGGTGATCTGAGGCTATCACCTCACAAAAAATTCCAGACATCTTGAAACCTAGCCTATCATATTCTCTGGCCTTTACAATGGTGGGAACATAATCAGCACAGTCACTAGTGCATTTAGAGTGATCTGGATTTGGTGTCTCCTGCAGGAGGTGTTCTCAGTCTATCACCTCACAAAAAATTCCAGATATCTTGAAACCTAGCCTATCATCTTCTCTGACCTTGACAATGGTGGGAACATAATCAGCTTGGTCACTGGGCATCTAAGATGATTTAGTCCTGGTGCCTCCTGATGACCAGAAGTGACCTAAATCTATCACCTTACAAAAAATTCCAGACATCCTGAAACTTGGTGTATTGTCTTGTCTGACCTTCCAAATGGTGGGGACATGATCAGCTTGATCACTGGTGCATTTTGAGTCATCTGGCTCCTGGTGTCTCCTGATAGGTGAAGGTGATCTAAAGCTATCACCTCATAAAAAATCTAGACATCCTGAAACTTGGTGTGTTATCTTTTCTGACCCATCTGATAGTCTGGACATGGTTGGCTAGATCATTGGCACATTTTAAGTCACCTGGTCCTGGTGTCTCCTGATGGGCACAGGTGATCTGAGGCTATCACCTCACAAAAAATTCCAGACATCTTGAAACCTAGCCTATCATCTTCTCTGACCTTTACAATGGTGGGAACATAATCAGCTTGGTCACTGGTGCATCCAAGATGATTTAGTCCTGATGCCTCCTGATGACCGGAGGTGACCTAAGTCTCAGCCCACAAAAAATTCTAAACATCCTGAAACTTGGTCCACCATCTTTCCTGACCTATAAAATGATAAGGACATGATCAGCCTGTTCACTAGTGCATCCAAGATGATCTAGTCCTGGTGCCTCCTGATCACTGGAGGACACCTAAGTTTATCACCTCACAAAAATTCCTATGATGCTGAAACTTGGTTCATTATCTTCTTTAACCTTTAAAATGGTGAGAACATGGTCAGCTTGGTCACTTGTACATCCAAAGTGATCTGGCTCTAGTGTCTCCTGGTGGGTGGAGATGATCTGAGTTTATCATCCCACAAATATTGTAGGGATCCTGAAAACCAGCCTATCATGTTCTCTGCCTTTTAAAGTGGTAGGAACATTATCAGCCTGATCACTAGTGCATCCAAGATGATTTAGTCCTGGTGCCTCCTGATCACTGGAGATGACCTAAGTCTGTCACCTCACAAAAAATTCCTACCATCCTGAAACTTGGTGCATCATATTTCTTGACCTCTAAAACAGTAGGGACATTATCAGTGTGATCACCAGTGCATCCAGGATGATCTGGTTCCCATGTTCCCTAATAGGTGGAGATGATCTGAGTCTATCATCCCACAAAAAAATTCAGACATCTTGAAAGCTAGCCTATCATCTTCTCTGACCATTACAATGGTGGGAACATGATCAGCTTGATCACTGGTGCATTTTGAGTCATCTGCTCCTGGTGTCTCCTGATGGATGAAGGTGATCTGAGGCTATCACCTCACAAAAAATTCTAGACATCTTGAAAACTAGCCCATCGTCTTCTCTGACCTTTACAATGGTGGGAACATAATCAGCTTGGTCACTGGTGCATCCAAGATGATCTAGTCCTGGTGCCTCCTGATCAGTGAGGGTGATCTGAATCTATCAGCTCACAAAAAATTCTAGACATCCTGAAACTTGGTCCACCATCTTTCTTGACCTATAAAATGGTAAGGACATGATCAGCACAATCACTAGTACATTTAGAGTAATCTGGGTTTAGTGTCTCCTGATGGCAGGAGGTGTTCTTAGTCTATCACCTCAAAAAATTCCTACCAGCCTGATACTTGGTGTATCATATTTCTTGACCTTTAAAACAGTAGGGACATGATCAGTGTGATCACCAGTGCATCTAGGATGATCTGGTTCCCATGTTCCCTGATAGGTGGAGATGATCTGAGTCTATCACCCCACAAAAATATTAGACATCTTGAAAGCTAGCCTATCATCTTCTCTGACCATTACAATGGTGGGAACATGATCAGCTTGATCACTGGTGCATTTTAAGTCATCTGCTCCTGGTGTCTCCTGATGGGTGAAGGTGATCTGAAGCTATCACCTCACAAAAAAATCTAGACATCCTGAAAATTGGTGTATCATCTTCTCTGACCATTACAATGGTGGGGACATGATCAGCTTGATCACTGGTGCATTTTAAGTCATCTGCTCCTGGTGTCTCCTGATGGATGAAGGTGATCTGAGGCTATCACCTCACAAAAAATTCTAGACATCCTGAAAACTAGCCTATCATCTTCTCTGACCATTACAATGGTGGGGACATGGTTGGCTTGATCACTGGTACATTTTGAGTCTCCTGGTCCTAGTGTCTCCTGATGGGCAAAGGTGATCTGAGGCTATCACCTCACAAAAAATTCCAGACATCTTGAAACCTAGCCTATCATCTTCTCTGGCCTTTAAAACGGTAGGAACATAATCAGCACAGTCACTAGTGCATTTAGAGTGATCTGGATTTAATGTCTCCTGCAGGAGGTGTTCTCAGTCTATCACCTCACAAAAAATTCCTACCACCCTGCAACTTGGTCCACCATCTTTCTTGACCTTGACAATGGTGGGAACATGATCAGCTGGTCACTGGTGCATTTTAAGTCACCTGGTCCTGGTGTCTCCTGATGGATGAAAGTGATCTGAGGCTATCATTTCACAAGAAATTCTGGACATCCTGAAACTTGGTGTATTATCTTCTTTGACCTTTACAATGGTAGGAACATGATCAACTGAATCACTGGTGCGTTTTGTGGTGTCTCCTGATGGGCAAATGTAATATGAGGCTATCACCTCACAAGAACTTCTAGACGTTTTGAAACCTAGCCTATCATCTTCTCTGACCTTTATAATGGTGGCAAAATAAACAGCTTGGTTACTGGATGATCAAGTCCTGGTGCCTCCTGATGACTGGAGGTGACCTAAGTCTATCAGCTCACAAAATATTCTAGACATTCTGAAACTTGGTGTATTATCTTCTCTGACCTTTAGAATGGTGGGGATTGGTCAGCTTGGTCACTGGTACATCCAGAGTGATCTGGCTCTGGTATTCCTGGTCGGTGGAGATGAATGGAGTATATCACCCCACAAACAAATCTAGACATCCTGAAACCTAGCCTATCATGTTTTCTGGCCTTAAAAATGATAGGGACATGATCAGCATGATTGGTTTAGTGTCTCCTGGTGGGTCAAGGTGATCTGGAGCTATCGCCTCACAACAAATTCTAGACATCCTGAAACTTGGTGTATTATCTTTTCTGGCCCTTCCAATAGTCAGCACATGGTTTGCTTGATCACTGGTGCATTGTGAGTCACTTGGTTCTGGGGTCTCCTAATGGGACAAGGTGATCTGAGGCTATCACCTCACAAAAAATCCTAGACATCCTGAAACTTGGTGTATTGTCTTCTCTGACCTTCAAAATAGTGGGGACATCATTGGCTTGGTCACTGGTGCATCCAGAGTGATCTGGTTCTGGTGTTCCCTGGTGGGTGGAGATGAACTCAGTCTATCACCCCACAAAGAAATTCTTGAGATCCTGAAACCTAGCCCATCATACTCTCTGGCCTTTCCAGTAGTGGGGACATGATCCGCCTGATAACTGGTCCATTTTATAGTCACCTGGTCCTGGTGTCTCCTGATGGATGAAGATGATTTGAGGATCTCACCTCACAAAAAATTTTAGACATCCTGAAACTAGGTGTATTGTCTTCTCTGATATTTATAATGGTGGAAGCATGACAACATCCATAAGTGCAGCCTGGCTAGTCCTAGTGACTCATCATAGGAGGGGGTCCCTTCACTTCACCAGTGCTGGAAAAATTCCTGGCATTCTGAAAGTTATCCTATCATCTTTCTTGGCCTTGACAGTGGTAGGGACATATTCAACTCGATCCCCAAAGCATCCAGCAGAGGCTGATGCTACTCCTTCATCATAGAAGGGGGGGTTCACTCACTATACTACCTTGGGAAAAATTCCTGGCATTCTAAAACTGGTCCTATCATCTT